ATCAAGCCCAAAAGTCCATTGGAACAATACAGATCTGGAGTAGAGCAAACACGGACCTCTACAAAACATCAGAGGTGGAATCAGGTGCCATGGAGGAGTAAGCATCCCCTGTCGATCTGTCACACCCGTCGTGTGCTCATTGTCATGATCGGGCAAACAGAAAAATTCGTTGACATTTAGTGTTTAAATAATGGCCTAACAATGAGTCTGAAAAATGTCAGACAGCATTCGGTTTAATGATAGATTGTATTTGTTGACAAGGTCATTGCATCGACCATAGAACTAGCGAAATGATGATTTTTAACGAGACTGTTGATATCCTTGTTTCATGAACATGTTTCAATAGCTTGCCGCGTTTTAGAAATTGTTCGTAAGTGGAGTATGCCCTTGGGCAAGTGAGAGAGGTATATTGATACATAAGTTAGGGAATTTGACGATAGAAAAGTTGAAGTCGCCACGTTTGTTATGAAGCTTTGTTGTAAGAAACCAATATCGTCTTTTTCTAGTAAAATATCCAAATATGAAACAGATGTGTCAGACTCTGTGGTATACGTATACTTTATTTCAAGTTCACTGGTATATATCGAGTCAATGGAAAAAAAACTATTGTTAATTGATAATGCGTCGTCGATATATCTAAATGTCGAGTTGAGGGCCAAAGCAAGTGTCTTCTTCTCTTGTATGAGCTTTTGGATAAGTTCTGCATCTTATGAATACAAAATAGGTCTGCTAATAACGGGACGCAATTTGTACCAATGGTAATTCCGACAGTTTGTTGGAAGACCTGATCTCCAAAGATTACATAGATATTATCATTCAGAAACTCGAGAATCATTTTAATATCTACTTCAGAGTATAATTTTACAAATGACCAATGACAAAATTAGTAGAATTATGAGTTCCATTTTTATTAAAAAAGAAGTGTCTATGATGTCAAAAAGCCTGGACTTTAATTTATCGTTGGGAGAAGTCTTACGTTTTGAAATTATTGATTTTGGCAGAATTTTACATTATTGTAGTGCATTGGTCAGGTACAATTATTGTAGTGTATAAATCTATGGTAAATTAACAGATACGTGTTTTAGCGGAGGAGGCATAGAAATCACGAAATAATACCCGAAGAGTGCGTCCATTTATTAAAGGTTTTTACAATGCTTGGATGAAAAGGTGAAGATAACAAACATTGATCGATTTCAAAAAATCTACAAACAATACAAATCTGTGAACAGGGCATAAAGCACGGACTTCCAGGAATTCCAGATGTGGGATCAGGTGTGAGCGCTTGGCAAAGGAACAGTTACTACCTATTTTTTATCAGCTTAAGTCAGTCACGGCCGGGGCTCGAACCAATGAACTTCCGATCACGGAGCAAGCGCAGCTACCGTGGCGGTGGAAAACATAGGAAAAAATTTTAAAATTCTGTTTAAATACAGCAAAGTCATGATTAGTAATATTGATATGGAAGCATCCTGAGGAAGTGTAAATTACAGTCCCCCCTCCTCGGTTCAGTTCAATACTGAACTGATTTCTCCTTCTTCCTAGCCAATGAGCTCAGGTGAACGATGTGGCCCATGCGCCTCTTGTTAAATATGATTATAATTATGTGTTCATATTTCATGACTACAGACATTTGAAGACTAGGCCGAAAAAAACTGCATTCAATTAAAAGTAATTTTCCGTAGTTCGTGCCCTTGAAACTAATGATGGCAATAATATTTCCTTTTTAGAGTGGTGAAATGTCATTTAAGAATATTTGATACCCTTTTCAGAAAAAAAAAATTAGCTGCAAGCATTCACAAACAAAAAAATGGTGGAACTCTGAAGGAAGATGATAATAAATAAAATGAAGAAAGTTTTAGATCGAGTCAGAAACAATAATCAAGAGGTTAGCTTAGTGAAATGTGATTTTCCCAGACAGGTAGTAACATGGCAGGTGTGTATCATGTTTTCATAGTGATGGGCTGAAAGCAGATCCAAGAAAATTCGGGCCGTGTCAAAAATTACACCACCAAATAACAGAAAGAAACTGAGAAAAATTAATGGGATTCATCCAGTATCTTTATTGACACTGGGACAGAGACACAGGAAAAATTCCAAATGCCACAGATGTAACAAATACGCCAGTTTTGACCTACTTTGATTTAGAGAAAACAGTTTTACTAAGTGTAGACAGTAGCCCAGCAAGACTTGGAGCAACATTGATTGGTTAACCTTGTATGCAAATACAGTCTGTCGTTGGGTCGAATTTTGACTTACTTTTTTCATAAAAAATTTTAATCCATATTTTCACACTGATTATTTCCTAGGCGGTAAATGAGCTTTAAAGCTCATGTTTTTGTTTTTTTTTTGTTTTTTTTTTTTTTTTTTTTTTTTTTTTTTTGTTGTTGTTGTTGTTGTTGTTGTTGTTAAATGTATAAAGTCCGACTTTAAATAAAATTTACTTGCTTACTTACTTACTGAATTCTCTACGGATTTTCCGTTTATTCGATCATGACAAAGAGCACACTGTGGTTGTGACCGGTCGTCAGGGGATGTATATTCCTTCACGGCATCTGATCCCAGCTCTGTTTTCAGAGGTCTGTATTAACCCCGCTCATAAAATGAGTCGTTAAACGGGCTTTTGAGAATGATTACTGTACATTATTTGAAATTTTTATTTAAATGAGTAGAAGGCTATAGCAAGAGATTTCTTTTTCTCGTGTAGAAGTTTCGGAATAAATTCTGCTTCAAATGAATATAAAAACAGGTCGGCTGATAAAAGAACACAATAAATGCCCATCGGAATTTTATCAGATTTTGTGATCTTGAGTGACAGTGAAATAAATATAACAGTAGAGGACCGGATTATCTTGAATTTCAACCGTTCTTCTGGTTAGTACCGTACAGCATAGAAATCCTGATCACGGGACAACAAAATGAAACTACGTATTCGCAAATCCAGATAATTGAGAGATGAAAGATATCCATCAAGGTCCAGTAACGTCAAGATCCGGACGTGATATCATAATCAGAGGTGTTATGTTAAAGTCTGATAAATTTGTGAAATGTGTGACTGAAAATTGTAGTGAACTCTGATTCTTATTTATCTATGCGTGAGTCAATGTTTTATACAGGACCGCAATGTAAGTTAGTCATTTGTTTCTAATTTTGCTATCCTGTCTAAATAAAAGAATTTATTAGTATTATTATTATCATTATTGAGCAGGGCAAGAATTTTTTTTATTCTGAGGATTTGTTTGTGGAACATTGTTATCTGTAACATAATAGAAATATCAAAAAATTTGCTAAATATTAGATTAATTTCCTTTTTTATCTCTCTTTATTTTATTTCTAATTTCAAAATTATGTCCATCATTAAAATCTGTAGTTGTAACTTTTGCAAAAAAAGGATTGTAATATATTTTAAGTACATTTATCAATAATTTCATATCAAAGCATGAATATCCTAATGCTTACTGAATCGTAACATCGTGTGTAAAGCTAATAGTTAAACCTGATTTAATACCTAAATAATTAAACGTACTTTGTACAGTGTATATGACAGCTATTTAAGGTCTGATTGATAATTCCACAGAGATTTCACTAAAAAACGTATATGCATTATTAAACGCCTTTAAGTGGTTTCTATCACTTCCAACTGACAATAAACCTTAATCATATAGAACCATCATCCCCACCCAAACCCCACACAAAACACAGAACAAAACAGGAAGCTTTTTTTATGCATTCCGGAAATTATATTTTGAAAATTCAGCATTGATGTTGAAATTTTCCATAAAAAAAATTCCCCACCTACCTACCGACCCAAATATTTCATCCTGGGTCGGGAGAAGGCAAGCAAACATTATTCTAAAGTTGGCCCAACATGTTAAATAAAAGAAATCACCTCCAATAAGACATGCGAGTTTCTTTTTATCGTATTTCACCCAATTTTATTTACCCTTCTTTATTTTCCCATAGGATGTCTCACTTAAAATAAAAATCAGGCAAGTAAGATCTGTTGTTTTATTATTTTATTGATTAAATTATTTGAAATTCTACCTGCAATATACACTCATAAATTTATGTATATGGCTCTTAAGGTGTATAGTAGGATCGGAAAAAAAATGTCCAACGAGTAATACTTACTGAAGAAGGAGATAAACATACGATATTATACAATTATTGCTGGGTTTTGAGGTCAATACGATGATTTAGACACCTGAGGAGTACAATATTCACCGAGCCCGAAGGGCGAGGTGAATATTGTACTTCGAAGGTGTCTAAATCATCGTATTGACCTCAAAAACAGCAATAACTGTTTTATTATATGATTAAATGATAGCAAACTCCTACAAGACTGTGTTTTTTTGTTTTTTTTTTTTTTTTTTTTTTTTTTTTGTTTGTTTTTTTTTTTTTTTTGCTTTAATTGAAAGTTTTAGCGAGAAATTTCAACAAGAACACATTGTAACATGAAAAAATGGAACAGGAATAATTCATTATATTGACCTGCAACAATTCCTTATATTGACCTGGAAGGTCACGTGATTCATTATATTGACATGCAATAATTCCTTATATTGACCTGGAAGGTCACGTGTAGGTCAATATAACGTAGTATTTTTCTAACATTGTTGGATCTCAGCCAATCAGAAAGAGGGAAATTATTCAATCATATAATAAATAAAAATATTGAATCTTTTTATATGTATGAAAAGTATATTTTTGTGAATATCTATGTTAGTTTTCATGAATAACAGGGGCGCACAGGTAGTACAATAAAGTTCTAAAACTATGCTACATACATGTAAACTACAATGTAAAATATTTCGAATAGTACTCGTATTGTGTGCAGATTTATTTGGAAATAGATATGTCATAATGAACTTTTAAAACATGTATATGTTGATTGAAACGTAATGATAATTGCTCTTCATAATTTGTCTGACTTTAGGTTTATTTACGATCTACACAGCGATCTATTGTAGAGGTTTACAATGTCAAAATTCCATTGAATGATCGCTGCATTACAGAGTCAATAAGGACCAAGTGTTCTGCTTTTCGTTTACACAAGTCCTATCTTGAGATTATCTACCGAGATTTGTCAACAGGTGCCCCTGTGTTGTAGGGTTGATATTTCATTACTTGTAGTCTTTAAACCAGGTAGGAAGTACTATCATTGGATCCCGGACCATAATGTTTGTACAGCAGTTCCTGTGTTTAATTTGTCTTCTGAAATGCACCACTGTCGTCTTTTCCTACAATCTTGTCATTGTTCATACAAACGACGTCCATGCTCACATTGAGGAAATGAACAAATATACGAGTGCATGTAAACCCGATGACGAGAAAAAGGGAGAGTGCTATGGCGGAGTTGCACGAAGATTTACGAAGATTAATGAGATCCGGGGCCAGGATCCGGACCACACCCTTCTGTTGGACGCTGGGGACCAGTATCAGGGAACATTATGGTTTAATATTTACAAAGGGAGAGAAGCCTCTCGGTTCATGAACGAAATGAAGTACGACGCTATGGTAAGTATAGGAAATTAAATTTATCAAATTATCAAAAATGTAACACAAAAAATAATTAATTAACAATTATTACAACCCATTTATTGAGCTATGTTATGAATTTTTACACATTTAATTTTGTATTCGATGTGATGTGGATTTTGCTAGATAGTGTACATTTACAAATTGAATAGTCACTCTCTTTACACATTGAACACTCGAACAATCATATCTCAGTTTAAAAAATATTTATGAAGACGTGTATACAAAAGCCTGTTAATTTAAAGATCCTGTTGTTTGCTGTCAGTCAAAAATAAGGCCTGTGTTTTTATTATGCAAGTAAAATCAAGTTGTTGATCAACTGATCAATTAGACAAGATCGACCCCTAATTTATTTGCATATTTTGCGTAATCTGTAAATACCTAGTATTTAACCCTTGGAAAGTGTCAGGAATCTTAAACAATTGGTCCACTAAAAATATCAGCTTGTTTTAGTTTAAGTTAAGCTAAGGAAAAATATTATAAATTAGTGAAAATGAAAATTAACACTTTTAATTTTAAAAGAAAGAATTCTATATAGAAGCAGTATTTCTCCATATAAAGCAATGTAATAGCAGACGATGGACCCTAGTATAGGTCGATATGTGGCTTTAAGGAGGTTGGATCCTGCCATCAAAAGTAAGGAGAATTTTTTATCAAGTATATTTTTAGTATTTATACATATAGCTTAATAAAAAATCAAAACAAAAAATGGGGGTCAATGCGCTTCTTTTGGCGCTACAGAGCATTTAGTTTGACCTTTTTGCACTGTAAACACGTCTTACACATAAATCAATTTTTAAAGTTTTTCCTCCAATATTTTTATTCAAATAAATTATGAGAACAAACACAGTCTTATTTCATCGTGAATAGACACATTAAAATTTGTGACAATGAAAAAAATTTCGAATTACTCCGCATGTATAATTATTTGACCTTTTTGCACTCAAAAAATTTCATTTTGCTGGAATCAAAAATTTAACAAGCAAAAAATCATTTGAAAGTAATGACATTTTACTGAATTTAAGAAGGATGGTTAAAAGTATGTTATATATTCAGAAAATAAAATTAAAAGTGGGGGTCTGTGATGTTAATTTTTAGATATTACTAAAATAGTGCTAATTTTAAGCTTAAATTAGGGCTATTTTTTTCTTGTTTTTTCACAATATATTTGCTATATTTATCAAATATGATGATAGAATTCATGACAGTTAATTTAATATATAATTTAGGACCAGTATAAAACAGTTCACTGCACAAAATAACTCTGTGTGCAGAATGCTTGTAAAAATAGGAATCCAAACTTAACATACTTTAAATACTTCGAAAGAGAAAAAATGATCATATTCTTCTAAAAACTCTTCCGCCACAAAATATAGTTCCTCGCTTAATGCTTTTGGTATGGAATTTAATCATGGAGTTTTAACTTAATATACTTAATAAAGTTTAATTTGCATAGTAGAATCCAAATTTATTGTAAGAATTAAAACATTATGCTTAATTTTTAAAATATAGGTTAAGATAAAAATCTGTTCAAAAGCTCAGGAGCGAACCTCGTTAAGGACCCATGTCAAGTGATATTAACCGAAGACACAGAAAGTGTCTGATGTCAATGCAATATCACTTGACATGGTTCATTTCAACCAAATATTGACTGTTCACTGAAGTTTCTAATAGTTATCTTATAAAATCACTCAAAGTGAATAATCTGACAAAGTCCTAACTAAACAGACTTGGCTAGCTGTCATTGGGTCACAATGGTAAGAACATATGCTTCTTATATTATGACGTCACGTTCTACGTAACTTTGGTGCTGCCGAACTCGAGTCGTGCGATATCAATCCGCGGACGCACTTTTGCGACAATGTAACAAACGTTCTCTCTCCAGAGTTGTCGTTCCCGCTACGCTCCCACATACACCTCTGTCAACGCCAGTTATGAAAGATTCTTGGAAAATTTGTAAATGAAGAAAATTTGAGTCAGTAATCGTTTTTAATTATATTTCTTGTCAGAAAACAGAATTTATCTTAATTTTTACTCCGCAAAATAGTTCCCTAACAACTTTGAAAATAAATGGTCTTGAGGGATGATAGATTTTAAATATATGATGAATTATCATCTTAATCGATAATTACAATAATTGATTACGAATTTAATTTAAAATTTTCATTATTTAAAATTTGTACAAGAATCTTGTACAACGAGCGTTGACAGAGGTGTTGGGAGCGTAGCGGAAGACAACTCTGGATAGAGAATGTATAAGAAAAGGACGAATATCAAGCCAATGGAAATTACAAAAATAATCTTCTATAACATTTTCTATTGTCTTGTAAAAAACACACATAATAATAATTAATTTTATTGATTTTATTGATCATTTGATGGTCAGTATTAATCTAAAAGACTTTCACTATTATATGGTGGCATATTTCTGCCCCCTCAATGCAAGTTACTTTTTTGTAATTTATGTCGACATGCAAGATAATTTTATCAACATGCAACATAAATATGTCGACTTTAAGCATTACTGTGTCAACATGCAAGAATTTCGAAAACTTCCCAGAATTATCACATGTCGCCAACATGTGACTTTCAACAGCTAGATGCAACCTACTTATGTTAACATGCAAATTATCTATGTTGACATGCAAAAAAGTATGCTGGCGTGATCAAGTATAACAAAATATGCGGAAATGTCCTTAAACACTGCCTTCCTCAATTTATCCGTCGCGAGGAGCTCAACCCGGGTAGTAAAAACATGTTTCCAACTATCCTCCAAAGGAGATTACAGTAAGTCTTTACTGCAATTTTCAGTCTACGCTATCCATTATGGAATACCTATTCCGATGCATTTTCATAGTATTGTGTGGTAACTGAATATCATGCATTTTCAAAATGCAGAATTATAAACTCGTGAACATGTATAAATGCTAAAACTATACATCTCAAAATTACAAAAAAAATACATAAGACAAATTAAACTGTCCGGGATATTTTTTGCAAAGTAGGTCAAAGGTCAAGGTCAAGTGGATTGTTATTTTTCATTATGTTTTATGAAAACAGTACACTTGCTAGATAGCATGTAGACATACCTTTGGAATGTCAAAAATTTGCCGTGTTTCTGCACTATGAACTATTTTGAAAAGTTGGTCAAAGGTCAAGGGTCAAGAGGATGGTTACCATGGTAATTTACAAAACCTATAATGCCAAGCGGTATATCAAATCCTCTTACAATTCTCGAGATTATAAGGTATGACAGATGGGCAGACAGATAGACGCCGGGTAATGTGATACTGCTCTTCTTGCAGCACGAAAATGTATACACTACTTATTATGTTCTGTATTCAGGTAACTACACTTGTGCCAGATTATCAATTACACTGATGTCGACCCATTATTTAACATTTAAATAAATTTGTCATTATAATGACTTTATACTTAAAGCAACACCACGTCTGAACATGACCCCTAAACGCATTAGAAGTCAATATGGTATTGGATGCCCATGACTCCACGTCTAGTATTTTACATTTTATAAGATTTAATAAAACCCTTTCCGAACATATATATAAAATATTTGATTTTTTTTTCGGACAAAAAATCGGGCAATTGTCTTTTACTCATGAATAACTCAAGACATTATCACTTTGTGATCTTTTATCACATTGATATAATTGCACATTTCTTCATATTTCATTTTTATGTTTTGTTTTTATCAATAATGTTGACAATATTAACATGAAGAAGTATTACATCAACATGCTCCTAACATATATTTGACATGCTACATGAAATGATAAATTTCTCTTTGAAATTAATTACAAGATGCAATTCAATTACCGGGTATGTCAACATGTAAGATTTTATTACCTTATATTGTGAAGCTTATTTATGTTTAGGTGCAACATATTGACATGCAGGATAATCATATACAACTTGTCTTGATATGTCAGATAATAATGTCAACACGCTAGATACATGTACCTTTATTTTGCTGAATTTAATTTAATTTTGAATATCAAAATTTTTACTTGACAAACATGTTTAAGAAGTTGCAAGTTTGTACTATACATGTACTTAAAAAAAAACACATGATAAAAAATTTCTTTTATTTCCAAAATACATACATTTAATTTCAAATGTTATGCTTTGTTCTGCTTCACTGTAATTCAAAACTTTGACTTTAGCATGTTCTCAGTTTATGTCTTTATATTTGAATGTAATATGGTAGTATATTTTGATAAAAGCAACACATATAATCGTAGTTCAGGATATATTTTGTTCCCATCAAATCCTTCTGCCAAAACTTTTTCTTTCAGAGCCTGGGAAATCATGAATTTGACAAAGGTGTTGTGGGACTTATTCCTTTCATGGAAAACGTTTCTTTTCCAATAGTCTGCTGTAATCTTGACACGACCTATCAGCAGAACATGGAAGGACTCTTCAATTCATCGGTAATCATAGATAAAGGTGGCAAAAAGATCGGCATCATTGGATACCTCATAGAGGAAACTGCCTTTATATCTAACCCAGGTATGTCATAATGTAGATAGGTCAATCCATTATAACATTGACATTGAAAAACATTAACACTCTTATCTTAGAGAAGAACTGATTAGAGTCAATGACTACCTGACAAGAAACTTACTTTAATCTGAGATGCATACAAAGATTGATAAAATTAAAGTCAAAATATCATTAAATAATCTTTGGGATCCAGACACTTATCCTTTTACTTAAATTTCTTTTTTAATTTGGATTTTGGCATTCCAAGATTGAAAATTTTAATTCAGTAAATTAAATATTTGTAAATACCAGTGATAAAATAAGCCCGAAAAAGTGTTTCATTCTGTGAGAAAGTGTCATGTTTTTGTAATAATAATTCTTATCATTATCCAGTCATTTTTGCTTTTATCCTGTCTTTTTCTATTGAAGAACCTTTCAATTCAGCTTTTGATGTATAGTGATTATTATCCACTAATTAAAAAATATCCAGGATAACTGATAATATTTGTTATACAGTGCCATTCTGTATTTTTTAAAGGAATTATTGTCTTAAACCAAGAAATGTTTTCGATTGAAGAGGTATTAAACCACATCAAAAACTAAAATAAAATTTCGGCGAATTTTTTTTATATCCCGGTTAAAAAGGGGTTTTCTGATATTCAGAGTTTTATCATAATATTTAGAAAAATGGTCAATGTCTTATTCTCTAGGGAATCATCTGCGCTTTAAAGACGTCATTGAATCTGTCAAAAACGAAGTCCAACGAATCAAATCTCAAGTAGACATTTTAATAGGACTCGGCCATTACGGTTATGGAAATGATGTGAAACTAGCAGAGGCCGTGCCCGACCTTGACATCATTATTGGGGGACATACTCATACGTTCTTGTACAATATGACAGGTAACATGACAAAATATGATTTATGTCTATTTAAATTATTTATCAGTATTGAAAATTCTAGTCAAGGGAACTCTCCAGCAGTGAAAATATGTAAGAAAGTGTCATTAATTACTGATGTATTGTTTCTTCACATCACTGTTATAAATTCGGATAAGTGTAATTAATTTTAATGCATGTGTTCCTTGGCCTGTCTTGTATACCTTATTGTCCTTAAGTCAGATAATTTTTCACATATTATTTACTCCTTCCTGGTCTTGATAATGTAAGCAGAAGTATGTACGAAAGCTTAAATCTATATTGCTTTCTTTTCTGTAAAGTACACATTCTTTTCCTGTCACATAATCAAACAAATTAACCTTAAACGCAACCAAGGTTTATAAAGTCAGCAAAATTACATCAGCCAACTGAATTGTTTTTAGTCCATTGAAGAAAAGTAAAAATGAATCAAAAATATTTGCTTGGTTCCATGGTAGGTAAAGTAGTTCATGTGTTATATATGAGCAAATTCTTGATTTATTTGCAACTAAGCAGGTATGTTTTTTATTACTTTTGTTAATAAAGTAAGAAAAGAGAAAAACACTCCTTATGCACTAAAATACATTGTAGGACCCTTTCCCTCTAATGATAACCCCGAAGGACCTTATCCGACAATAGTTAACCACGGCACAAGGAAAACATTAATAGTACAAGACTACTTTGCTGGAAAATATCTAGGATTCATCAACGTTACGTTCGACTCTAGCAATGATGTAGAATCCTGGACTGGTTTGCCGATTCTACTGGACAACTCAACTTTACAAGGTAAGAAACAAAAAATAATTGTTAATATTGATTATTTTTATTATTATTATTATAAAATTTTATACAGCGCTTAATATAAATTTTAAAAAACTCTAGAGCGCTAAGTCGCTAAAATAATTATTTAAGGAATGAAACTTATTTTGACCTATGTTATACGATATAACATAACTTGGGGCAGTTTAAGCTTTATAAACCGCGAAGAGGTTATATATATATATATATATATATATATATATATATATATATATATATATATATATATATATATATATATATATATATATATATATATATATATATAAACCAACTGTATAATTCAGATTAATGATAAAAAAAATCATTTTTATGTAGTCTCACTTTTATTTAAAGTTGTTAAATACATTAATTATTTTACTATTAAAAAGCCAATGTATGAAGTGTTTTTGTTATGAACTTGCTTTAATCCGAAGGCGAATTAGGTTGCAATCCTTTGCATGCTAATTGGTTTATTTGAGGATAACTAATTGCTCCATTGTTTTTACTTTTTTTAAGATCCTCATATATTAGCGGAGGTAAAGGATATGAGTAAGTTGCTGGAAACAGAGAAACAAAAAATAGTGGGATATTCGTCTGTGTACTTGGAAGGAGACTCAAAGATATGTCGTTTAATGGAATGCAATCTTGGTAAGGACATATGATTCAGGCTTTGTAGTAACTGTCCAAGAAATAAACAAACATCGCAAATTAAACCCAATTTTCTAAATAAAAAAGTTTTTGATAACTCTTAAGAAAATAAACATCTGATGTAAATCTCTGTTTGTTTTGCAAATATATTATGCTTTTCTGTTTTTGAAAGTCATATAATTTTAATTTCGTTTATTTATTAAGATCTAGAAATTATATCCCAATATATTAAACCCCTTTTTCTCAAATATCATTTGCATGTTACTGAATAATCTTCTCCATAAACACTGCAATTTTTCAGGAAATCTTATAACGGATGGAATGGTCAGTTACCATTCAAGAAACATCCCAATGAATAACTCTTGGAGTAATGCTGCCATTGCAATTCTTAATTCTGGTGGAATACGTGCACCAATCGAAAGTGGTAAACTAACTACAGGAATGAGTCCAATTTCCCCTAGATCTGACAATTTTTTTTTTCAATAAGGATTTTTATTCAACATTGTTTACATTTTAAAAAAAATCTAATTTTTTTATAAACTAAATGACGAAGAATTAGTGTATAATTTTTTAGATAAATGAATGCCTTCTATAAAATATTAATTCAGAATTACTCCCTTGTCTTATTACTCTATTCAGAATTAATAACTTACCATCATTAAAGATATTAAAGTCTGGAATTACAGGATTAATATGCGTTTCTTTCCGACTGTAGGAAATATATCCCGAGGAGACGTGCTGACAACAATGCCGTTTGGGAACAGTGTGGATCTTATTAATCTCCAAGGAAAGTATCTGAGACAGGCACTGGAGCATTCTGTGGAGCGATATGACAGGCTTAATAGAGTCGGGGCTTTCCTTCAACTCTCAGGTAGTAAACTAAATAACAGAGAAATTTCACTGTTTTGAGAAAGGTTTCTACATTTCTCTCTCCCTTAAAACTAGAGACACCTGTTAAAACCAAGATTTTTAAAAAAAATCATTGTAATACAAACATTGATATTCTCTCCAAGAATTTGTGCACAGAATAGTTTGCATATTTTCTTGCAAGAAATATACATGACAACATAAAGGGGTCTGTATTATTTTAGTGCATTCTAGCTACGTACACACACTGGTCAGGCACTATGTGCAGCAATCAGAAGTTAGTGCTGCCAGTATTTCTATGATATATTCAAATAAAAGATAACTTTCGATTGTATTTATTAATCGAAAACAACGATTGCAGGAAATAAGAATTCTTCTAAAATCAGATAATAAAGAGTTTTGCTTAGTTACACCGGTACGTCAGAAAAATGTACATCATCTTAGTTGTATGTATATAGGACTGAGAGTAACTTACGACCTGTGTAAACCCGCTGGACAGAAAGTCGTCTCTGTTTACACACGATGCAGGAAGTGCCCTGTTCCAAAGTATTCTCCTTTAGATGACAGTAAAATATACACTATCGTTACTCTTGATTTCGTCATTCGGGGAGGAGATGGATATCAAGTCATTAAGGATCATCATACAGATCACCAGCGATACAGTGAGTTACTATCGGTTTTCTTTTATCTTTTTAACAGGTAAATTCTACAAAAAGATATTTTTGTATAATGTTAGCAGGTAATAGATGCACTATTTGGTCAGGTAATGTTTATGCTACCGAACATTGATAGTAATATAATTATCGTTTTTATAAAATCCAATATTAGAACATTGAATATTAAATGAAAATGTAATTAATTTGAAAACGTCTTTGTCAGTCAGTATATGTGTATTGCAGATAACATCGACAGCGATGTCTTCACAACATATCTCCAATCACACAGTCCAATAATTAAAGGAGAAGAGGGAAGGATAACTCTGTTAGAAGACTGTACAAGTAGTGGAAGAGTTGTCAAACCTAACACGTTCTTATTTCTTTTAATTATATTATATATTTTTGTTACATTTAGATAAATTTGCCAGATCATCTCATTGTTATAGATATATTTTGAGTGAAAACTACATTTGTATAGGTACATATGATAGAATAAATGGTTACATTTCTTCTTGATATGAAATTGTGATCTCTATATATTTTTTAATGATTGCTCCTTTAAGCATATTCTAATAAAACTAAAGACAGCACAAACACCGAAAACTTTTGACATTTTTTGAAAATAACAGACTCACCTCTATGATAAATGAAAAACGGTAAATCCCACACGAGGGTTCTCCAAAAGGTTGGTGGAATATTTTTGTATGATTTTTATATGGTCTTTTTAAACCGCCACGCTTTACGAAAACAAATACTGTTCAAGCAACCCGCTTGTTCCTTAAACTTCAATATGCCAACAAAGGCATTGACGTATTCAATATAAGTAATATTCTTAATCAAAAGGGTCTAGTCTTGTATTTCACCATACATATTTCAAGTTGAAGTTTAAACATTGAATTCCTTACAAATGTACATCGACTATTGCTTTTTTTTAATTACAAAAAAACTCTAAAGTGCGTAGATATCGAACATCATCTGAAACATAATCCTACAACATGTTTATGTTCTTCTTCACCCTACAACTATAGTCCTGCTGGACACGACATTACTGGCGACGTAAATATAGTTAGTAATAGGGACCTTAAATCACTCATAAGGGCCAAAATTAAGGGAACCCCGAACTTTCAACTGGCGTCATTATTTCATAAATATTATACAGTTTTTGGCGATGGGACAAACATGAAAAAGAATACCTTGACACTTTGACACAATGGATTAAGAGCATCAGATGGATGCTGAAATCTCCTATTAAGCGATTGAGGGGCAATATGAAAACCGTCTATCTTTCTGTCTTCAGAATAATTCAGAAGTGAAAAAAAGAATTAGGTACATTACACGATTAATACGTACTGGTCCCCGCTGAGAAAGCAGGTAACAATATTTTATTTGTTCGCAAGGTTCATTGTTTTAATTGTATTTTAGAGGAAGTTGCATTAAATTCAGCAAATGGTAATCTAACGTATACCCATAGCTCCCTTTCTAAGGAAGAAATTCTTCAAAATAGTGTGTCAGTTTTTAATATTCCCGACAATCAAATTGAATTTGAATTACCATACTTATACTGGATACCTAAACCACATAAAAATCCTTCTAAACAAAGATACATAGAAGGTTCCGGTAAATGTTCTACCAAGCCTCTTTCTTTTCTCCTCACTTAAATATTAACAGCAGTAGAGAAGAAACTTCAGGAGAACTATACATTAATTTATTTGAGAAGTGGTGTAATTCAGATGTTGATACTGACAAACTCCAAGGAACCTTTAGAAAATTTTAAATCACAAAACTTTACCAAAATCAATAACATCAAAACATACGACATTTCAACACTTTATCAATGAATATCAACAGTCTCGTTTAAAGCCATCGTTTCGTAAGTTCTATGGTCGATACAATTATCTTGTCAGCAAATACAATCTATCATTAAGTCAAATGCTGACTGACGTTTTTCATACTAATTGTTAGGCCATTTTTTTACACACTGCATTGTCGACTGATTTTTCCGTTATTTCCCGATCATAACAAGGAGCACACGGTGGGTGTGACCGGTCGGCAGGGGATGCTCACTCCTCCATGGCACCTGACACTTGATCCCACATCTGATGTTTTAGAGGTCCGTGTTTCCTCTGCTCCAAAATTTGTATTGTTTAATGGACTTTTTAGCTTGAATATTGTTCGATATCTCCATATATTTCATTTGTGCAACCTTTCCGTATGATGAATTAATTTCCAGGCTTTTTTAGGTCACAGACAGCTGTTTTTCAATAAAAATAGAACTCGTAAATTTACTTACCTATTCATTATTCGTTTACATAAATTATTTTCTGAAAAAAACATTCTGATTGTACACACAAGACTTCTGAACTTGATATTAAAGAGACGCTTGAATTTCCAATTGACAGTATCTATATAGTTTTTGGAGATAAGGTCTTCCAACAATCTCTTGGAATTTCCATTTGTACCAATTGCTCTCTTATTAAAAGATCTATTTTTGTGTTCAGATGAAGAAGAATTTACTCAAAATCTTATTAGAAGAAGAAAATACCGTATAAGCAAAATTTTAGCGAGGATTTAATTTTGGCATTATTAGCGAGTGTGCTGAGATCGCTAAAATTGAATATCGCTAAAAATTAATTGCGTTTTATTTGTTATAGCCTCTTTAGTGAGCATTCTAAAATCGCTAAAATTACTTCTCGCTAAAAATAAAATACCAGTTTTCAAGGACAACGCTGAATTTTCCTCTCGTTAAAATTTTCACTTATACGGTACTTGTTGTGGTCTCCATATTAAGATATGTCGAAGACGTATTATCAGTTAACAAAAGTTACTTCCATTCATATGTCGACTTGATATATCCCAGTGAACTTGATATAAAGATACCACAGAGTCTGATACATCTGTTTCATATTAGGATATTCTAATAGAAAAAGACGTTAATGGTAACCTTACAACAAAACTTTATGATAAACGTGATGACTTCAATTTTTCTATCGTCAATGTAGCAATATATCCTTATCACCTGCATACGGGGTTGATTCGATACGCAAGAACATGAACAATTTCTAAAACGAGACAAGCTATTGGCAAAAAAGATGGTGAAATAAGAAAATCAACGGTCTCGTCTAAAGTTATCATTTCGCAAGTTCTGTGGTAGATAAATGACCTTGATAGCAAATACATTCTATCATTAGTACTGAATGACGTTTTCATGTTAATTTTTAGGCCAGTATTTCAAAATTGAATTGTCTATGGACTTATCCGTTTGCCCCGATCATAACAAGGAGCACACGGCAGGTGGAATCGGTTGACAGGGGATGCTTACTCCTCTATGGCACCTGATCCAACCTCTGGATTTTTAGAAGTCAGCGTTTGCTCTGTATTGTTTCAATGGACTTTTGAGCTTTTGATTATTATTCGTAATCTCCATATTTCAAGTACATATGTATGTTAAGTCTCATGTGTTTGTTTGTTTTTTTTTTTTGGAACAACCTAAAAGATGCCGATAAAATTCAAATGTTTCATAATGTTTTTTAACTTCAAATTGTCGTCTCATGGCGTTTTGCTTCAAGTTATGAAGAAGATACATCAGTTTGTTGGTTTTGGAGATATGGTATTTTTTTTACTGTTGTTTGTCAATAACTTGTCATAACCGCTAAGTGCGCCCCAGTACTTATATACATACCATATGAAAACAAAAAGAACTCAGTCAGAAGTGCCTAATGTGGAAAATAAGAAATAAAATGCTTTGACCTCATCTGTATTGAAACGCCCATACTTAACCTCAATTCACTGGGTGAGTCTTCAGAAAAGTGAGTTTCCAGCTAACATTTGCATTTCATTTTGTTTCTTAATTTACCTTTTCGATGTCATATAAGTAAACTTGCTATCTGAATCCTCTGATATTGTATAAAGTGACAAGCATGACAATGTGTGAATTGTTAAATATTTCTAAATGATATTCTTTGCTACAAAAATGTTTCAGTGGAAGATTGTTATACTAAGCTATTTTTTTCGATCTCGGTTACATGTTGAGAAATGTTATTTTATATATAATATTTGTCTTCTTATTCACCTTTCAAGTCATTTGAGTAAAAATACGAATATGTTAATAAAATTTCCACACAAAAATATTACTGGAAGCAATTGTGTGAAGTGACCAGCATGTGTTAATTAACCAAACGTCATTCTTTGCTATAAATAGGAAATGGGAAAATTTCGTCACTTCTCTTCAATCAGCAATAGACATAACAATCATGAATGTTTTCTCTCTACTTTTGATGTACGCATCTTTTGCAATGGTTTGCCATCAACGGCAAGCAAATGCTTGTCCGGGAAGAGAAAGGTTGAGAGCATGGCTCCCTTTCCGGGCCTGTACAAATCACATCAGGGACGTCATCAGACTAGTGTGTACAAGTTTTCCTTCTTTGGTTTCTGCAGCTTCAGGTAAGAAAGCTGGTGACACTTAGCTTTTATTCACTAATAATATGAATGTTTGCAATTTTAAAATTTACTATATAGTATTGTTTATTTCATAACTAAAAATATGGTATTTATCTATTTTTAAAAACAATTAAATGGTATCAATTATATAATAATATTACTTTTACATCATGAATGCATACGGAGAGAGAGAGAGAGAGAGAGACTTTTTTTTTCAATTTACTAAGTATTTATGCTTAAGAGGAAAAAGTACAAAATTTGCAAAACTAATCTGGTGTCATTTTCAAATTTGAGAAGTTTTTTTTTTGGTTTTAGATCAACAACTGACACTCGATTTATCAGCCGACTCCACAGCACAAGAAATCAGTCACGTGATGTTTTGTCAATGTTGCATTCATCATTGTTCCTTTTCTGACTTGGTGTCTTTTTGCCAGTTTCTCGATCACATCTAAACATTGGTCTTTTTTTTACCTGTTGAATTAAAACATACTATAGCTATGAAAAGATTCAAATACCATTTTACCTATTAATTAGACGCTTACTAAAACTGACATAAAATGGTGATAGTGTTACAAACAAAATAAATATTGTGAACTGCTACGTGTGTGCTAATCAAATAACATATTTTAGCAAACCAGTTTAATCTCAATTTTTTTTTATATTTGCGCTACATGTTTGATATTTTTTTAAATCAACCAATGAATGACCTGTCAACAATGTTCCGTCCAAACAAAATTAATTAGGTTATCTTCTGTCAATGTTCTTTCTGTGGCTCTCTGTCAATTGGTCGATCGCCTTTAGAAAAGACAACGATTTAAACATGCAGCTAAGCAAACAGTCTATGTATTTTCTGAAATCACTGTACGAGAATAATAATGTTATCTGAAATTTGCCTTTTTGTTTTTGTCAATTATATCAGCATGAAAAATGCAATACTTAAAAAGATTAAGGTTAAATATAAAAGATTGTATAAAGAGGAGCCTAAGTGGTAATTACGACTTATTCCAATAAAAGGTCGTATACTGGATGAATTATTGTTTTCGTGAATAGAAATAAATTTCTGACCTATGTTGATTTTATTTGTTTATTTATTTATTTAATTTATCACTGAAAAGTGTTTAATTAATTTAGTATCAGTACTGATATAGAATAACAAATTCTTAGTATATAATTTAGTTAAAAGAATACAAATCATTAATTTTTTGCACCATTACGTTTTTCTAAATTACAGAGTTCATTTATTTTTAATTTGAATTACTTTGTTGTCTGAAACAGGGTGTACACGTAAACATACTTGAGATTCTGGAACTTGTTTCCATTTCTTTTTCTTTTTCTTCATTTAATATTGGTTTTCACGTAATGTAAATCTTGTTTTTGTTTTTTGCTTCTTCGGCGTATTTGATTCGATGTGCGCAATTTTGTTGATGACGTTTGTGTTAAAGTAAGCCGAAGTATCTCTATTTAAGACGACATCTTCAGAACTGTGCAGTTTTCAAATCAATAACCCTGTGGGAACATTTAGCTTATTATCTAGAGGCAAAATGAAGGTTATAGTAATCTTAGTTGTATGTGTTTCAATTGTTGTATCCAAAAGTGACCGAAATGCAGTGATTTGTTCCAATGGGATCAAATACGATTTGTCCGCTGGACATGTCGGGTTCGAGTGCGCTTCCTCCCTGTTGGACAGTTTGGATCTCATTTGTGGCGGATCTGCTAAATTTCCGAGATTAAAAGGTTTGCCTTTCTAAAACTTTTTTATAACTTAAAAAAGAATAGACTATAAGGTTTGGAATTCAAATGCAGTAGTTAAATAAATAACGACAAAATTAATTAGGAAGGCGTCAGTCTTTGTAAACCACATTCAATTGCATTGCAGCAATAAGCAAATTATGTATCCTTGCTCTCTTTTTAACACATATTAGATTGTTGCATTATCCTAATAACTTCTAAGGTAAAGTCTAATATCAGGGTAATTTCTCTTGGCATCTCGGACTGGTCTTCATCAGGCATATAGTTACTATTAGCTGTTAAATCATAGATCTTTTATATCTGAAAGGGACGTTGTCCACATAATATTATATCTAATACAAGTAGGATTTTACAATATGGAACAATATTTCATTTCTTAAAAACGGTAAGAAGAAGTGCAATGTTTCAGTAAAAATTAGAATGATTCTCATTTTATACTTTGCATCCTCTTCTAAACATTATAAGTTCTATGCGTAACCAAATAACAATTACGAAAGCAGCAAAAGTCGAAATTAACAGTAACCACATTCCTTCTATTTCTAGGAAAAGTTCTCTATTGTCAATTCGGTCAATGATTTAAAGGTGCTTGGACACAGATTTGAAGTTAATATTTTCTCAGATTTTCTGTATAATTTCATGACTTATATGTTGCTATAGCATTTCATACTAAAATATAATAAAAATCTTATTTCATCTCGAAGTTATTGAAACTTCAAATTTCTGGACGCGTTTGATTGACACATCCTTGCACTTTCACAATTTTTAATTTTATTCTTAATACTTAAGAAAAGTGGCAGTTTTGTTGTGTATAAATGAAAAGTATTAAAACTATAATCAAGAAAATTCAGAGTAGAAATGTTCGAAAGCAAAACCCACTCACAGTATTGTCATTTCGTGCTCAGTGGTGTGTGCAGACTTTAACAATTGAACTCACCCGGTGAATCGTAAACATTAACAATAACAGAGCTCGTGCCCTGTTTACAGAAACAGTTTAGGTTTCACGGATGTATTCAATTTGTTAAACTCTGTACACAACACTGAGCACGGGCTGACGTTATTAGTGAGGGGGTTTGCTTTCGCACATTTCTACTCTGAATTTTCTGGATTATAGATGTAATGTTTTTCATTAATACAAAACAAAATCGCTTCTTTTCTTAAATATTAAGGATAAAAATAAAATTTGTGAAAGTGCAAGGATGTGTTAATCAAACGCGACCAGGAATTCGTAGTTCCAATAATTTCCAGATAAAATAAGTTTTTAATTATATTTTCGTGAGAAATGCTATTGCAATATATAAGTCGTGATATTATACAGAAATTTTGAGAAAATATTAACTTCAAATCTGTGTCTAAGCACCTTTAAGGCCATAGAAAATAAATATGGCTTATCAGAAAAATTTGGGAAAAACTTCAAAGGCAAACTTTCACAAAAACAGTTTTATATTTACATCTACTGAATATTATCTCCTTTATTTCTTTAAAAACCCATTGCCATTTATCAGTCATTAACATCGCTAAGCATATCACCACTTCAGATTTCTTGAGCAGTGACTGTTCCATCAATGAAACGTACAATGACGTACATATCAATCATACACTATTACATCCACTAAATTCTACATTGAAGTATTATTTGTACAGATATAGATATAAACAATAAGATATTTTTCTTTGGTTGTTAGTACGGGAATTAACGTTGCAGCTATTGCAGAAAAAAAATACATAACCCGCTAACGCAGGTTATGCATTTTTTCTGCAACAGCTGCAACATTGATTCCCTTATTAACAACAAAAGAAAGCATTTTTGTTTAAACAAATATCAAAGCATGGCCTTTCAACATTATCCCACTACAATAGACACTTTCGTGTCATTGTAGCATTGTTTGTGGTTTCTTCAATTTTAGCTAATGACATCAGAATTGAGTTGAAGTTTACCACTGTCCGAATTTTAACAAAGCTTTTATTTGTTAAAGTTGCAAGTCATCAATGTTTCAGTGTACATTAACTATATTTCTAAACACAGACAATTTATTTATTCGTTTTTTCTAATAAAAAGTTTTTATCAACTGTCTTTAAACCACCCCCCAAAAAATGTCCAAAATGCTATCATTACAGAAATTCAAAGAGGAAGCTGTAAATGAATTTCGTTCATTAAAAAGTGACTTTCCGAGGTTCATGCACCTAAATCTTTCATTTGTAAATATGGCCATGACATAGTTAAGCCATTTTTCTCCTACCCTATGAATGCTGGAAAAATACATTTGAGACCAGTTGACCTCTTTTTCTAAAACAAGTTTGAACTGCGAGAAATAACACATAAACATATCATGCCATCATAAACATGTTGTCCTGTGTAAGTCCAAACAACTAAACATATTGTCCCCTAATTTATCCTGATGTCAATCCATAGTGAGGGCTGTTATTGAGCGGCAAATCCTCTAAGCTTTAAATCAGCATAATCTCTGTGAAGCTCCTTGAATTATCTAGAATATTTACAACTAATGATGTTTACATGGCATAGTACGAAAATAGAAAGATATTTCTAGGGTGCAAGGCTTACTAGTTTTCATTTAAACGGTTGAAATTATATTTTTATCACATGTGACTCCTTTATACATTGGATATCGTTCTCATCAAGGCTCTTAGAAAGAAAACACACAACTTACTGAATAAAAATCAAATACAACCATAAACCATCGGAGACCCCATATACATCAGAAAAATATAATACTAATTATACATGTATTTCTTTAAAACATTTTTTCTCTTTTTATGCGACCAAAATATGTTCTTCGTTTTGAGATACATCATTATCAATATTTGTACAAATGATACCATTAAGTTACACCTTTAAATACCTTCATGGAAAAGACTGAAGAAACGTAATAATTTTGATTTTGTTTCTATATGTCAATCTTCTGATGCTTCATTTCTTTAATGTTTTTATTTTAGGACTTGCATCCATTTTTCAAGAAGAACATAAGGCAATCAAGGAATTTGAAAAGGATTTATTCTGTACTTGCTGCTTAAGACAATGTTCGGTGGATGAAATTAGGTCATTTTGTGTGCGTAAATAATGATTTCTTAGAAACAATTGTAATACTGTTCTAACAACATCATTGCGATACTCTAGAGAATTACTCTCAAATGCACAGTACAGATGTATTGTTCTTCTACGTAAATAAAAACACCCTCAATAGAATTTCTTCTCTTGTAATAACAATACATGTTTACAGAAAATGTTATTTTCATTTAGTGTATACATAAAGGAAATAAAAGTTTTTTTTACACAATAATATGTAAAATATTTTCTTGCCCTTTAAATACTCATAAACAGCTATACATTTATATACAGTAAAGCAAATGCCAACCTCAAAATTTTAAAATTTTAATTGTTACTTTTTAAGTCTTTTCCTTTTGATACTCAGTTTTAAGAGAAAAAGAAATTAACGTCTCAATTTTGCACAAAAGCAGGCTAATATATTTACAGAATCTGTTTATGTGCAATATTATTTACTGGATTTATCAAAAATAAATCCTCCTTTAGGCGATATAACTTAATATTCAATTATACAAAACATCCTGACCATATAAATATAGCAATTTCACAGTGCTTCAATTTTGTGTTATAATTATGAAGAATATTTTTTAAAGTCAAAAATTGATATAAAATTATAATACAAGAATTAAAAATACAAAAATGTACATTAAACACTCAGTATAAAAGGAAGACATAACTTCAAATGAAACATTGAATTCGTCTTGTAACTGTTTTCCTCTGGCAAACATTATAAGCTCTCTGTTAGGGGGATTTCCAGAGTTGTTATTTTACGCTAATATGGTACAGGGGCAATCACCATTACAAGCTACTGATTGGCTCCTGTCAGAACAGATAATGAAGACTTATTTTGATGAATTGTTAATACATTATGGCAAGCTTGTAAAAACTCATCAGTGGATTCTAAAGCCTGATTATTCTAGCATCTGTCAGGATTAAGAATGAGAAACGTTATTTGATTTCATTTCTTGGTTGTTCTTTAAGTAAACTAATTGGGATAAAAGTAAATAAGATAAACGATATTTAAAAACAGTCATTTATCATATATATAAAGTTAAGTACTCGTACACAACAGATAATTAATTTTATTTCCATGAATTTTCAAATGCTAAAGTTATATACTCACGCACATCGGGCTTGGCAGCTGTTACCGTATGTTACGCCATCAGTACCGCACACAGGGTCAATATTTCGTGGACACAAACAAGGCTTGCTCTTAGGACAAGGACAGGACCCACTGCATTGTTTCTCAGTGCCACTGAAACAAAAAAATGATTTATAGTACTGATTTTTTTTCTGAAAATATTATCATCAAGATTTTTTCTTCAATTCAAAAAATAAGATAACAAATATATATGCATATCAAAGAGTAAGAAAACACTGTTTTTTTGTTTTTTGTTTTTTGTTTTCCTTGTTTTGTTTGTTTTTCATTGCAATAACGACAATGCCAAGTGTATACGATCATATTTTGTATAGACCATGGTTAGGTAAATATATGAATAGAGCAAAATACAATTTTACAAAGATTTCATGAACGTAATCAGCATAATTACTCTTAGTAATTACTTCACAATAAAATTATATTTAGACTAAACTTGATTTTTGATAAATATGACTAATTAATTCCAAAACTTATATTACAAAGATTATAGCATTTCTTTTAATGTTTGCCTGGACTCTGTACAACTTCCACAACCATATAAGACCATGATTGACTTGAATTTTATATTATTCAATACGTTTATCTAAGATCATTCTAAATGATAAAAACGTCATTGTTCATTTATTTTTTAAATAGCCCCTTATATATATATATATATATATATATATATATATATATATATATATATATATATATATATATATCCCAATTGTGCCTTACTCGCACTTAGCTGAGCATTCGTTATCATATGTTTTGCCATTCATTCCACAGACCGGTAAATATATGAATGGGCACATGCAAGTCTTCCGACAAGGACACTGTCCTTCACAATCTATGCTTTTGTTCCTGTTAAAAAACGTCTGAAGTTAAAAAATCTTATAGATATCCAATTCTTTTTCAAATATGTTCAGAGATTAAAAATTAACAAATAAATGTCATTTATCTTTTTTTTATTTATGTATTATTATTTAATTCATTTCCTTTTAAACAATATCATGTTTTCATTTTAAGCACATTTTAATCACAAAGGGATTAAAACTTTTAATATTTCAACTTATATCGGGTTATAAAAATAATCAAGGTTAAAGGAAAATAAAACATAAGCATTTTTTTAAAATCCACATCATGTTCACTTACGCACATCTTGCTCCACATTCATTGTCATACGTAACGCCATCTTTACCACATACGGGTTTTAGTATGAATGGGCAGGCACAGCCTGTTTTACATGGGCATGTTCCGTTACATTTAACAGCCACATTCCTGTCAAATCAAGGAAATCGTGCAAAGAACGTAAAATATAACAAAAAAAATTTAATTGAGAACTGATCGAAAGAATTTATAATTACCTATTTTCTAAAATGCTAAAACCAAGCAATGAACTTCGCAAAATGAAGAAACACAAGCTTGACATGGTATTTTAATAGATAATTTAGTCTTTGTAAAATATTGAACTTTACTAGTTTTAATATCGATGTAGCACTGTTCGAGCTTGTTTAATGTTCATACAATGTTTTATCTTTTTTGTATTGAATGGCAATTTCTAAGATTTGGCAAAACTGACGTTAAAATATAAATTGCACTTTGGGCATAAACAGGACTAAAAAGTCCAGCTTTCTGAAAGAATTGGAGCAATGAAAAAACTGAATTTACTCACACAGCTTCTGCAGAGCAGCGATTACTATATGTCTGTCCGTTTACCCCACAAACAGGGTTATATACCATTGGACACACCCGGAGAGATGATTGACAAGGACACTGACCTTCACATGCTACAGAAATATCACTGAAAAGTCAAACAAAAAGTCCAGTAAGCACAATTTTGAATTAAAGAATTAGCTACTTTTTTTCAATCTGACCTACTGCAATATTGATTGATTACGTTATTTCTGTTATATTCAGATTTGAACTTATATAGTCAGTGATAAAATAGTGTTATATCGTATAACCTGTTTTGCCTTCGTCACTGTATGACTAATGTCAAAAACTTACTAAGCCGCTTGACGTCGCATTCAAGTTTTTAAAATATGAAGTCATTTTTTAGGGGAAAATTTCTTTGCAATAGATAATAGTAAATCAAATTAATACAAGATAGTCAAAAGGAATATATTCAATAGCTACCAAGGTTGTACTTGTATAACCTGGGTTGGGACAGTTTACGATTTTTTATAAACCGCTTGCTTGATCTTCCAATGATATACATATTCATGAATTTCTTATTTATCAGCACGTTCATGAAATGCTTGTATTAGAAATAGGTAAATTTAGGAGCTGGATTAAAGGATCAATATTTATAACATCTCACTTAATATTTTTAATAATTTCATGGTGTCAGATTACAAAACACTTATAAATAGCCAACAGTAAATAACGAATAAAGTTCAAAACGTGCTGATCATTACATGTTGTATATGAATTTCGATATTATATAGTGTTGGCAGTTTGTTGGTTGATATACGGTTTATTCCTTAAGTCAGGACAAAGGAGATTTGTGTCTTTTATATGAACATGATATAAATAGAAAATGCAAATAATACAATTTTGACATGGCATATCGAACCTGCATCCAGCGCTACACGCGTTGTCGTATGTTTTATTATCAGACCCACAGACAGGTTTGTAAATTTCCTGGCATATACATGGACATTTTCCCTCTCGAAGAACCTGGGTTCCCCTGAAATCCAGAAGAAAATAGTTTACAGAAAATATTAATTCTATCCATTAGATATTGAAGAGACTTCAAAGTCCATGAGATTTTCAATTAATATTAATTAAAAATAATGATTAATATTTCATGTATTGCCGAAGAGACGAAAGAAAATCGTATTTTAGTTATATAGAGTTGATCTCTAGATAAGGTACTTGTCAATAATGCTTGATCCTACATACCAACGCAATTCATCGAGAAAGGAAAATAGTGAAATTGAACAAAAAATTAAATTAGGTAAACCTTGGCAGATGAAACTTACTTCATGAACAAACTAAACGTTTTCCCTTTATCAAAATTTCAAACCGTATTTTGAATATATTTCTTTGGTTAGCATTCATTTCAGTTATTTATGGTCATGGTATAAAACAACAAGAGTACGAATTAAAAGATATGAAAGTTTCAATTCGCACCACTTACATCTAATCTAGCACAAACATGCAATACTCAAGATCAAAGCCAATTATATGAACTTAAGTCTGATGAACAGATCAAAATCACAGTGTATTTATGACAATTTCTATAATGGTATCTTAAATAAGCAAATTGCAAAGTAGCGGTACCCAATCATAATACAATTCGTGTATCTTGAATAGGAAAATAATGAATAGTTAATAGCCCAGAACTTAATTTAGAATACGATTATTCAAGACAAAGTATTCTGACAGGCTCTCATTTTAATTATCAACATGTACTTCATAGCTTTTATTTTTGAAACATTAATTGATTTTAAGAAAAATTGATGATTACGATGCGCATAAATAAATTATCACTTTGATATTTGATGCATAAATCGGTTCTTTTGCTTCAAAACACAAAATGCATGGATGAAAGGGATCGATGTTTTATTTTGTATTTATACGTTGTAAATATCCTGGAAAAACTAAGTAAGTTAGTCAATGAATTCAACATTTAGTATTTATTCAATATTCGTTGATGTGTAACATTACCCTTGTCTGGCCAGGCATTCATTATTGTACGTTTTCCCATCAGAGCCACACACAGGATTATAAATCCGAGGGCAGGGGCGTAGGTTGCTTCTGGTTGGGCAAGGACACGCTCCCTCACAGTCCAATTGCTCGCCTCTGATTCCATAAGTATATCAATGTTATTGTATATTTGATTTTCATAAAAACACGTCAAATAATTCATTGCTTTGGATAAAAAAAAAGAATCTGAAGAATACTCTATATACACTGTGCTTTCTTGTTAAAATGTTCATATTGTAAAAGACCTAAAAATGAGTTTTATTAGTTTGTATTTTATCACCCAGATGGATTTCTTACGCTTGTTCTAGGAGACAACGGTTGTTGTAAGTCTTTCCGTCTCTACCACAAACTGGTAACATAATCCGTGGACATGGTCTTAAATTGGTTGTGCATGGGCATGACCCGTCACAGCTTACTGTTTGGCCACTTAAGATAAAAGCAAATTAAAAATAACTATGAACAGAAAAAAAGCCTTGAACCATTAAATACAATATTCTTAAAAATAACTTGCTATGAAATTAATTAAAATTCATTTTACTGTGAAATCAATAATTTTCGTGGGGGGTTAATTTTTGCAGTTTTTCTTGGTATGTAAAGCACTACGAATTCATGCCCTCCATGAAATTTCAAGATTTTAAACTACAGTTTCATGTTTCTTTTTCAGCCACAAAATCAAATCCCCACAAACCAATGTTTTTTGTTCAAACCACAAAAACATATCCCACGAAAAATGGTGATTTTACAGTATTTTGCTCTTGCATCCAAGGCCATATCTTTGGTACTAATTAAGAACATTGCAAACAAAACTAGTTCTATTTCAATCATCAGAACCAATACACACGTAACCGTTAAAAACGAATATAGAAATTTAAAGAAAATACATGTACAAACATTTACAAGATGTTATCAAAAAAGAAAAAAAAATTGGCTCTTTGATAAGATTTTTTTCAGATTGACTTTCATACCTGCAGTTTGCATTGCACGCATTGTCGTAGGTTTTATTATCAGCACCACAGACAGGTTTAAGGATCAGCTGACAAGAGCATGGGCATTTTCCCTCCTGTACTACCTGAACTCCTCTGAATTACACGGTTATAAAACATAATCGTAAAAGAGATTACCGAATAACATGCATTGGAAGGATAAAAATACAAAACATGGACGCTTTGATAATTCATTTTGAGCACCATATTGTCAAGAAGAAAATTAATTTTCATTCTGTTCACGGTGTATCTTTATATCTAATGTGAGTTGTAGTAAAGATTAGGATTAATGGGTCCTTCTAACGCAAGGACGAGTAAATTTTCCCCTTTATTGTAATCAATTTTCATCTCGACAGTGTGACAAAGCTTCTCCCATTACGATTCATTCATTAAATTTTGGATAATTGGAAAGATGATCTCAACTATGAAAAATGTTCTTCGTTACAGTTCCTCTATCCAAAAGGTTACATATGTTGGCACACTAAGTACATATCCTGCAATTATTGTTTTCTTATTCATTTTCCTTCTGTAATTATGTTATGAAAATTTAATTATGCCTTTCTTTTAGTACGCAACTTTGCAGTCATGACGATGAACAAAACCATTTACTGTATCTGTGAACATTTATTTTTCTTCTTTGACAGTGATATATAAATCAACTTGCCCTTGTAATATGGGATATATTAACATGTCTACAAACTTTGTGAATTGTTTCAGTGAACGAATTTTTATCATGGTTTTGCTGTCAAAATGTGTTACATACATGTATATTATATATACCTATAATACAAAGCTCGGGTATGTTCAACATTAGTTTCTGTTATGTTGGCTTAGACAGTATCAGGAAGCACTCAAAAATAATTGTAAATATTAGTAAGATATGATCGTATTTGTTAAGATTTACTTATTTGGCTAGAGATATGTATGAAAATTGTGGTGATAAAATACCTGTCTCAAACATTGTGGGACTATCGTAAAACTTATTGATATCTGATTATTTGTGATATTTAAAGTTCAAATTCTAATTAATGATGTAAGAACTGTCGATTCACTTTGATAAATGCTTGGTATTCGACCTATCTATTAATAACTTAAAGTGATATAAATTGAAAATTTGTGTTAAATTCTATTTTTAAAAAAGCAATCTCAAATAAAATGAAGCACAAAAATAATATACCCCTGTTTGGCCAGGCATTCATTATTGTACGTTTTACCATCAGAGCCACACACAGGGTTATAAATCCGAGGGCAGGGACGAAGGTTGCTCCTGGTGGGGCAAGGACACTCACCCTCACAATCCAATAGCTGACCGCTTGAAGAAAGTAAAATAGTATACTACTGGTATTACATATACATGTATAATATAATTAAAATTAAAAAAAAATTAAAAATCCTGTACAAGTCATTGATTTTGAGAAATATATTAATGCCATCATCTGAAATCAACAACTCATATAATATTAATTACGATATTGAATTTCAATTAAAAAAAAACAAACTAATAATATCTGTGTTTATTACCGAGAATAACAACACTGCGTGGGGCTTTCTGGAGACAGTGGATTGAAAAAAAAAAACAATACACTACATGTTTAAAAGCCTCAGCTACGATTTGTACTTTTATTAGATATAAGATGCTTAACTTTCCCTTCCGATAATGTTTATAATGGAATACTAAATGTTTAAAAGCCTCAGCTATGATTTTCATTTTAGTGATTAATGCACTGTATTTTTCAACAATGTCGAAAACATTGTTGCATAGCTTAAGAATTTTTTAATGAATGGTTTAATATTGTCGTTCAACTGACAGTACTTGAATCATACTTTGATTGCTGCTTAATTATCGTTCTATGAAATATGCCAATGGAGTATTTGGTAATTTGAATTACAAAAAATGAACACATTCCATGAACATTTTTCTAATATCCATTTATTTCTATTCAATTAACACTAGTTAATTACTAGCAATTTTGAGTCATAGACATCGCTCATTTATTCGCTATTTACTACCTGATCTTTGAATGGCAGTAGTTCGTACATACCTTGATCGTTAGAAACTCATACACAATAATGGCTTTCAATTTTACGATTTTTTTCTCCATTTAATTTTTGTTTTTTAAGAATCGTCTTTGATCATGTTACTTTATTATATAGAGTCTTTAATTGTAGAAGGGTAAATCAGGTATATTATCCTGTTTTCTCAATCTCATACATCTTGTTTCCCCTCTAACTATATTTTCTCTCTTTAATCAAGTCTTACAGGCTTAGATGTCTCTATACTAAAAGTACTTACGCTTGTTTTGCCAAGCAATCATTATTGTACGTCTGACCATCTGCTCCGCAGACTTTGTTTATGATTTTTGGACAAGGAAGTGAAGGTTGTTGAGAGCAAGGACATTCTCTTGTACAATCTACTGTTACTCCCCTAAAATTAATAATAATAGAGTTTGACAGACTCGGGGGAAGAACAGTGTTTTTTTTCTTCCTAAAGATTTGCAATGTGATAATATGATTGTTAACATGCAGTTTATTTCTAGCAATGAAGACAAAAGTGGAAATTAGCAGAAATTTCCTTGCAAAAATGGAAATTAGCAGAAATTATTTTGGATATTTTAGTTTGATGGAGAATTTTTATTTCTAAAAATGTTAACTTTAAATTTTATTGTCGAAAACCTATTGAGAAAGAAAACCATTTTTGTCAATCAGAGACTACTGAAAAATATGTCACCAACGTGTTGTTTACGTTTCTTTGTAAAATCTTCTTTGAGAATCTTTGTTAAATTCATAGTTCAAATTATAAATCGATTCAATGTCTGACACTGTTCTTACGCTTGTCGGGCAAGACAGTCGTTGTTGTAAGTCTGGCCATCAGAGCCACACACTTTATTCATTATACGAGGACATGGTAGTAAGGAGTCCCGGCAGGGACATTGGCTTTGACAAGCTACAGTCTGGCCTCTGTAATTATCACATATTATTGTATAAATCATACATTCGTGACAGAAAATTTTATGTTATCATCATATAATAATTATCAATCATAATTTTATTTTCGGAAAACAATTATTCTGGTTATTCTTCTGCTGTAGCAATTAAAGCATAATTTGAAATTTCAATCGTCAACTTCCCTTACTTATGCAGCAATATACCTTTATCACCTGTATACGGGGTATATCTCTCTCAGTTGATTCGATATGCAAGAGCATGTTCTACGTATGTACAATTTCTAAAACGAGGTAAATTATTGACAAACAAGTTGATGAAACAAGAATATCAGCTGTCTCGTTTAAACTCATCATTTCGTAAGTTCTATTGTCGATACAATGACCTTGTCAGCAAATACAATTTATCGTTGAGTCAAATGCTGACTGACGTTTTTCATACTAATTGTTAGGCCATTATTTACACACTAAATTGTCGACGGATTTTTCCGTTGTTTCCCGATCATGACAAGGAGCACACGGCGGGTGTGACCGGTCCGCAAGGGATGCTCACTCCTCCAGGGCACCTGATCCCACCTCTGATATTTGGAGGTCCGTGTTTGCTCTGCTCCTATTTTGTATTGTTTAATGGACTTTTGAGCTTGAATACTGTTCGTTATCTCCATATATTTCATTCTTCAGAACACATAACAATACAGAGTGTTTTCTTACAGATGTATTTTCTTTTGAATGACTTCTTGGAACTTCATGGTTATAAATGTGAAATCAAAACGGTTATCAATACATGAAAACGTAAATATTTTTACTTGAACACTCTCAAAAACATCATATACATCCACCATAGATGGCTTTGTTGTGTTAGAATTGAAGTGCTTATTTATACCCCACCCCTAATCCCCGCAAACAAAGTTTTGGTGATTATATAGGAATCACTTTGTCTGTCTGTCCGTCTATCCTTGTAATCTTGTCTAGGCTATAGCTGGAGAATCATTGGAAGTTCAAACTTAATACAAACTTTAATATTCTTTATGATCTGAGGATATGTTCTGACTATAACACAAGGTCATCGTGACAAGTTCAAGGTCAGAAGCAGAAAAAGTATAAAATCTTGTCTGGGCTATAACTTTATAATGAAGAATCACTAGAAGCTCATAAATGATACAGAGATTGTTTATACAAGAAGGTCAATTTGGCAGGCACAAGGTCACTGATTTAAAAAAAAATGTAAAATTCATGACATTTCTATAATTTTCTAATGGGGAAACATTGGATGTACTTATTTCACTAAAAGATTACTTATGACCAGAGGATATATCAATTTTTAATTAAAGTCTTTTTGGCAAATTCAAGATCACATTTACAAAATTTGATTGGATATTTAAATAAAATGCAGTGGGGTATATTTTTTAGCTTTCAGCTTATAGTAACTCTAGTTGATTTCTGTCCTTTTTAAGTATTATTTGAAAAGTAACTTTTGGTTGTGGAAAGTACAGTTATGTAGTCACCGAAATGAAGTTCAAATAACCATATAATGCAAAAACTATTTTTCATTTCTTCTGCTTCACCTTCGATATCATATTTTTGCTTTTTTCGTATATCTTCGGAGAGGTGGTAATCTTTTCAGTAGAATAGCTGATCAGATTTTTTTTCTTTTAATTTGTAAATACTAGTAACTCATCGAATTGACTAAGTTGTTTTCCATTAATACATAGGCCTAATCAATACTTACGCTTGACTTGCAAGACAGTCGTTATCATAGGTTTGTCCATTTGATCCACACACTTGTAAAAATATTCGAGGGCAAGGTTTTAATTCCTGACAAGGACACTGACCATTACAGACAACTGTTTGTTTTCTGAAATGTGTAGATAAATAGATATCTTAGATAATCTGCAATGTATTTCAAAGGTATTTTGGATGGACTTAATATTTCTTGTTATGAACACTTTTTAATGTAATCTTGTAATATTAAACATCAAAGTTACAGGGGTTTTTTTAAACTTTACTTTTAGTCAAAATGTTTTACTACTTTAGCTCCCAATAATATTTTACTTATAATGAAAGTAATTTCAAAATATTTTTAAGGATGTCATTTCTTGATTTATTTTATCATAAACAAACATATCTTACTCGCACTTTGCTGAACATTCGTTGTCGTACGTTTTGTTATTAGATGCGCATACCGGAAGATATATCAGCGGGCATGCGCATGGGCATTCTCCCTGGCTTGCAATTTTTACACGCCTAATGACAAAAAGAAGCAATGTGTTTCTAAACATTATTAATACCTTTCAATACAAGCAAATATTATCAACTGCCGAAAAAAGGAGTTCGTTAAACATTTGTCTTAAAAAGCGTCTGCATTTACCCGGAAAACTCACTTGCATCTTGCCATACAGCTATTACCATAAGTAACGCCATCTTTTCCACAAACAGGTCTTCTATTCTTCTTACATCTACATCTTTTAGAAGGTCTCTTGTTTTTCTTTGATTTCTTCCTATACTTTTTGCATTGTCTCCTTTAAGTAAGCAAGTATTTTTAAAAAGCTTTTAAAATATTCAATGCTAAATACCATTTCATACATATTTAATTATTAAGTAGAACCATTCATCAACTTAATTGTTTTTATGAAGTGTTTGGCTACCCAGTGAACATACTTTTCAAAGTGTGAAGAAAAAAACCTTCTTTATTTTTGTAATGATTCGTTTATTAATCCGTTAGATAACCATTGTTTTAATTTTCATGACAGACTACATGTAAGATATAAGCTATTTGCATTTATTTTACTGTTTGGAGAAGGGGGCATGTAAGAATAAATTCTATTCACACATGTTTAAAAAGGGCTATTAGGTTGACCAAATATATATAATTATTATTACAATGGGGAAAATCATTTATTAGAGTTATTTATCCCCAAGCTGATGTCTGAACTTATGTTCTTTTTCAGGAAATGTTGAACAAAAAGCTTTAATTGCTATAAATACTTTCTATGAATAGAATGTTTTACAAATATTTTTTAACATGCACAAAGGTAGAAATGTCCGCCATGTTAACTCAGAAACTTCTAAATTAAAAAACAAATCTTATATTAAGGTTGTTAATCTGAGATGCTAAATTTCAAAGCTACTTAATTAAAATTTTAAGTCTTTGTTGTCCTTGTTGTGTAATTGTGTAATATTTTTATATGTTTTTGTCATTATTTGTAATTATGTAATATCCATAATATGTATCTTTGTTGTCATTGTTGTGTAATTGTGAAATATTCTTGTATGTATCTATGTTGTCATTGTTGTGTACTTGTATAATTTTCATATGTATCGTTGTCTAATTGTGTAATATTCTTGAAATGTATCTTTGTTGTCCTTGTTGTGTAATTGAATAATATTCATGATATGTATCTTTCTTGACATTGTTGTGTAATTGTATAATACTCTTGATATGTATCTTTGTTGTCATTATTGTCTAATTATGTAATATTCTTGATATGTATCTCTGTTGTCATTGTTGTGTAATTGCATAATATCTTGATACGTATCATTGTTGTCATTGTTGTGTAATTGTATAATACTCTTGATATATATCTTTGTTGTCACTGTTGTGTAATTGTGTTATATTTTTGATATGTATTCAATGAATAAAAGTTAATTTTAAAAATACTTCCGAGAAAGATATTTCAAACCATGTGGATTGTTTATTTCTCATGAATATTTCTGAATGCTGTAACATGATCTTGTTTACCATATGTATATGTTTATCAATTTGAAGTCACCGTTCTTTCTTTCCATCTCACCTGTTCATAACCAACTGTTGAATTAAGAAATTAATCAAATTTTTGAAAATTCATGTGGAAATAAACTATGACGCTTCACGTCGGCATATTCCATGAAGCGGGTTAGCGCTTCATGATAAATATACAGATGTGAAGTGTTGTAGTTCGTGTACCTCACAGATTTTGAAGATTCTATTTATATTTTATACTTAGATTATTTATCTGATGACTAACCACAAATTATGTCATTAAACTATAATTTTTAAGAAAAAAATAATTGCACTGTATTTTTGACGTATCGGAAGTATTCATGCTCATCCATGCGAGCTCATGAGGAAATGAATTGCATTCCTATTTGTAAAGAATCTTGAGGGAAAGTTATTAGAAATGCATGAACAGCTGATTAAGGCTCATCAATCTTCTGTTCACTCATGAAAAAAAAATATTGCTCTTATGCTTATGATTTTCCCCCAAGAATATAAGTTATAATTAAAATGCACACAATTTCACACAATTATATGAGAGAGTCAATTGTAATTTGTACCTTTATGAGCTTTTTATGAGAGTCAGAAATGGTATTTTAACTTTACAATTTTGTAAAGGAGTGATTAGTTATTTATCTCACTGAGAGTTATCTCTCTTATGAGAGTATCGATGTACCTTAAGTGGTGAAATTCCCTTTATCTTTCGTTCAACTGAGTATTTAATATTTACCTGCAGGGATCGTAACATTTCCTCATCGAATTTGCATCCGTAAGGCAACGGGTTGTTGGTTTTGAACAATCACATGTTGGGCAGGGACACTGGCCTTTACATTGTGAAGACTGTCCACTATAAAAACAAAGAAAAACGTTAAGAAAACATAAACATGGTAAAGATAAGAGAGAGATTTACCCAATAGTTTTACAGCATTTTATTACTACGCTATAATTACAATAAAATGTGAAAAGTCTATGTCCTACTGCGGGAAATACATTTCTCATTAGCTTACATGCAAATTATTGCAAGTCATTAAAATAGATGAATAAGCAAGTCGCTTAGGTATTAAGCATTCACATTTAGAACAGTTCTGTGACCAATTGATAATTTTGTTTTCTTTTCTTTTTTCCCAAGAGTAAGAAAAATAGTTACTAGTAATTAACAAACAAATAGGCCTCAAGTGATCTTGAATTTCGTGTACAAAGATCAGTAACATGAAATTCATATGAATGTTTCATGGTTACTTTTCAGGAAGTTTAATGTAATATTTAGATTTGAAGACTCATGTATCACCTGCACTTTGCCATGCATTTGTTTAAGTAGGTTTTCCCGTCATTTCCACACACTGACTTCTGTTTCTTCCTTAAGCATCTATCGCAGCGGTTCTTCTTTTTACAAGGACATGCATTGGAACACTTCACTTTTTGTCCCCTTTTAAAAATATTAATAGGAATTGCTGTCATTATCTAATCAAGAATTTGCCAATGTTGCTAATTTAAATGATATTATCAACACTTTAAAAATATAGAGACTTCCTAATGAAGCTATTATGATACGTACGCGCACTTGGCCTCGCACATGTTGCCGTAAGTTTGTCCATTTTTGCCACAGACTGGAGCGTACTCGGCAGTACAGATACAAGGTTCACAGGGACAGGTCTTGTTACATGCTATAGTTATACCTCTGCAAACAAACAATACTAATGAGTAGCAAAAATGTTGATTATAAACTTTTTAAGCTTTAATAAACTGATAAAATAATCTGCTATTACTTGAAACTTAAAAGATGACTATAAATTTATTGGTATATTTATTTCTTTATATTTTAAAACCATAAAGGATATCATCGTGTAATATATTCAAGTTCCTTTCCAAAATTAGTCTGTGAAATGTTATATGGCATTGCAAAATGGCACATGTATTATTTCATAGTAATTTATCATGCAGTTGGCATGAGCAAAAAAAAATCGATAACATTACGCGTTCAAATATGATGAGGACATAATTGTTGGATGGAATTACAAGAAACTTTTTTACTCAAATTTATAAGCCTTCTTTGATGCCTCAAGAATGTCCATATAATTTCAACTGCACAGAGATTACCTTTAACAAAATCATCACTCTTTTTACATAAGTAGTGGTAATAATTAAGACTTACTTTTTGATAGTCTCATATAAGTAGTGGTAATAATTAAAACTTGCTTTTTGATAGCCTCACATATTAAGTAGTGGTGATAATTAAAACTTGCTTTTTGATAGCCTCACATATTAAGTAGTGGTGATAATTAAAACTTGCTTTTTGATAGCCTCACATATTAAGTAGTGGTGATAATTAAAACTTGCTTTTTGATAGCCTCACATATTAAGTATAGGTGATAATTGAAACTTGCTTTTTGATAGCCTTGCATTCGTTCCTGTAGGTTTTTCTATTTACACCACACACAGGACCACTTCTTTTATCACACTTTGATTTCTTTTTGTCTGAAAAGGCACATATATACTGCAGCTGAAACGAATGACTGGGTATGTTCGATTTTATAAGACTAAAATCCTTAAAGATTTTTTAAAACATCTTGATATGCAACAGTCCTTTTTTATACTTAAAAAAATCAATAGTTATATTTTTTCTTAAAAGCTTTTCAGAATCCAACTATTTGTTCAAAAACAATTTTTGCACTCAATACATGTAGTAAAAGGCAGAGTCTTCCTATATGTGTTGTACTCTTAAGTTTGATTTAACGAATGGGTGGAAAATTTAAGAATTCACACAAAATGTGAACAACATCTTAATTCATTTTAAAAAGAAAATCAAAGATAGTTGAATAGAATTCAATTCAGACTTTTCTCCATCCGAGACGATATCAGAACGACGCATTACTCTATTTAATTGGGCCATATAATTTTATTGGGATTTGTCTGTTTACAGAATAGAGAGCAATAATTGTGTCATCTTTATAAAAATTTGAAAACCTCTCATAGTAAATCAAAATCCAAAACTTGAGTATCAGAAACTTTGATTGATTATACCCAGCGAAAAATTTCAATTGTTCGTATATAAAACCATATTTGGACAAAATTTCAAAGACGAATGGGGGAAGCAGTTCCTTTAAAAAAAGTAAGAAAAAGAAAAAAGCATAAGGATATAAAGAAGTATGAATTATCAACATTTATTGTCACAGACATCCTATCGATGTTCAAAGTTTCTCGATCATATTTTTTTTATCTATAAAACTTTTGACGGAATTTCTTTCTTTCTTTCTTTCTTTTGTTTTTTTTTTTTGTTTTTTGTTTTTTTTTTTTTTTTTTTGTTTTTTTTTTTTTTTTTTGTTTTTGTTTTTTTTTTTTTGTTTTTTTTTTTTTTTGATAAAACAGATTTAGGCAAAAAGACTTTTGATTTTTTTTATAAGAATTCAACGATTCTTGTAAATTTATATCAAAGTTGACATTTAATAGATATAAAGAATAATCTAGAAAGCTATTAAGTTTATTTACAACACCTATAATATACTAGTTTAACACAAAAGACAAGCATGGTTAGAAATAAAAATGTCCATTTTAGAGGATTCTTCAGATAAATGTCAAGATAAATTTTCTTATCATAAATTCCCAAATAGTTTTGTGAAAGGGTAAAGTTGCAAGTAAAGTGACAGAGTGACAAACACAATTCGCTACCCCCCAAACTGGTTCTTCATCTTGATGTGTCCCCACACTGGTTCTCCATCTTGATGTGTGTAAAAATATAATACCTGTAGGAGAGTGGGATGGAATCACAATGCACGAAACAACACAAACATGGTTAGGAACTATCCTTTTCTATCCTTTCGACACTTATAGGAACCATCCTTTACAATCCTACCTACACTTATAGGAACCTATCCTTAACCATCCTACCTACACTTATAGGAACCATCCTTTTTCTATCCTTTCGACACTTATAGGAACCATCCTTTACAATCCTACCTACACTTACAGGAACCATCCTTTACAATCCTACCTACACTTACAGGAACTATCCTTTACAGTCCTACCTACACTTGTAAGAATCATCCTTTACAATCCTACCTACACTTACAGGAACCATCCTTTTCTTTCCTTTCGACACTTATGGGAACCATCCTTTACTATCCTACTTACACTTACAGGAACCATCCTTTACAGTCCTTCCTACACTTTTAGGACATCCTTACCATCCTACCTACACTATAAGGAACCTATCCTTAAATATCCTACCTATAGGAATTTTTCTTTACTATCCTACAAACATATAGGAACCATCCTTCAATATCCTGCTACACTTAACAAACATGGTAACGATTATTTTTTACTGCCATTACTCTTAGTATTGTCTCTCGCTGTGCAATATGCATTACAGTTCTTAAAAGGATAATTAAAGTGACCCCAAAAGGTTAAAGGTTTAATGCTTTTGTATTTTATTGCAGCATAACTGCATTAAAAAGAGTACCAGTGTTGCAAATCATAAAAAAAACAGTTTTGAGTCTTGAGTTCGATTATTCATGCAGAATTAACCAACAAATGATAAGCCAATCACTTTGTATGATAAAATGGAATTTTGAGAGTTTGTAATTGCTTTTCTTAAAAATTACTGATATTTTATTTAGGTTTATTTTCCGGTTGTAACTTTAGAAGAAATAAGTACCTTACCTTTGACTCTTTTTCCATCACAAACATCAACACATATGATACTAACAATTAAAACAATTATGAGGACTTTCATTACTTTCTGTTTATATTTTCCTTCCATTCTCTCCGTTCTGTCCCAGGCTACAATTTAAAGTAATTTACGAAACAAAGTTAGTCGGGTACATGGTTTTATAGCGAGAAACAGTGTGAACAGTATCAATAAATCCGCGTTTTATGGGTACGTTAGAGGGAAAACATCGTAAATAACAAAGGATTGGTATTTATTTAAGCTGTCAGAGCCGTGAGAATTAAGAAAAACTTACATTTTTTTGTTACTTTTAACTGAATCAAGTCTAAATTAAGAGTAAGGGGAAAATGTAAGGTTAGCTGAGTCATTTAGAAAACCGAAATGCATGTATCAATATTTGACTAAAAAGGGTTTGTCATTTTCTGAAGGATTGTGTACTTGAAATTATGTCCTGGGGAAAAATAGGTTCCTATACGTAACAGAGCTCGAGGTTGTGCATCTTTAAATTTTAATTTAAATATTGTAATATTTTAATCTGAAATTGGCGGCCGCTGTCGACCATCGTACCAAAAAAAATTTTAACGCATGGCTCGAGTAAAAAAATCAAGACAGAAAGACAGACACGAGAACAAAACTTTTGAAATCCTAAACTTGGTGTATATTCAAATTAAAAAAAAATTACTTCGCACAAAAGTATATTATATCCTTAATTCTCTGTCAAAGTTATTATGATCATTTTGAAAATTGTACAATTTAAAACCTCAGAGATAATGCTTACAAGCGCCGCTATGTCGGCTTTTGACATTTTTGCTGATTGGCAGGGCGCTTAATATTTAGCGTTAAAAAATGTCCTTTTAGTGGAATATTTATGGACATTTTAGCAGAAGATTTTTAGGACATTTATAGCGGAATTTATGATATAATGTGTACACTTTCGCTGGAGAGTTAAGTCAATTATAGAGGATATATAATTTTTTTGTTAGACTGCCTGCTTCCCGACCCATACATTTTTTTATACAGTTAATGTGTAAAACTATCGGTTCGGATAGGAGGTTTGCAGTTTTTCATGGAGCAGATCCAAGAAACAACTCGATATGGATTTCCATACGCGACAGCCAACTGCTTACTGCGTGCCACTGTCAGCTGCTTATTGCCAACTGCTTACTGTCACTGCTTATAGACGGTATTGCTCATTTTGTTATCTTTTGAAAATACACATGCTTAAATAATCTTTATGTAACATAACAAAAAAATGGCGGGTTCAAGAATTTTAAAAGGGGAAGGCGGAGTAAGAAGTATTTCCTCTTGAAAAAACAACATCTAACCCCAAAATTTCTTTGCAAGCAAAATAATTCAACATAATTCAAAAGTTATTTTGACAGTGGAGAAAATCTGTCGATATATTAGAAATACTACGGAAAAAATCACAAATACTTTTGTCTAGAATAAAATATCTTGTGATATTTTATAGTGTTTCTTTTTCAAACATTTATGTCATAAATCAAAAGGCCTTTTACTCTATTCAAAGCCTATTTTTGAATTTTCATATGTATGTCTTATTTAAATCAATTTAATGGCTAATGTCAGGCCTGTAAAAACGTAAGTGGGAAAGGGGGGCAATAGTTTTGCAAACATAAACTATATAATGGAAAACGAAGCTAATTTACGGTTGTGTTTCTGGATTAATAACATTTGTGGTCTTTTTTTTTATTACTTGTATATCTCTCAGCTGATTCGATACGCCAGAACATGCTCTACGTATGAACAATTTCTAAAACGAGGTAAGTTATTGACAAACAAGTTGATGAAACAAGAATACCAACAGTGTCGTTTAAAGTCATCATTTCGTAAGTTCTATTGCCGATACAATGACCTTGTCAGCAAATAAAATCTATCATTAAGTCATATGCTGACTGACGTTTTTCATACTAATTGTCAGGCCATTATTTACACACTGAATTGTCGACGGATTTTTTCGTTTTATTTCCCGATCATGACAAGGAGCACACGGCGGGTGTGACCGGATGCTCACTCCTTCATGGCACCTGATCCAACCTCTGATGTTTTTGGAGGTCCGTGTTTGCTCTGCTCCCGATTTGTATTGATTTAATGGACTTAGAGCTTAAATACTGATAGTTATCTCCATATTTCATTGTCAAACAATTTTTGTTGGACTCTCACCCCCGCCCCCACTTTGTCTGAAATTGCTTCCTACAGGCCTGAATGTTACCTAGAAGGAACAATATATTTACATAGCCAAACACCTTGTGATGTATGACGTAGTACTGGAAAATAAATTGCTTAAAGGTTTCAGAAGACATTTTACCCATGGCAAAATTATTTGAAATTTTCCGTAGTGTTCATGATCAAGGACCCAAGGTTCATCACACAATAATTGAGATGGGGTCCTTAATTAACCTGTAGTTGACTTCTCAAAATTAGTAAATATTGTGTTGTTTAAAAAAACTTTTTGTTTTGTTTTCTAGGAGACTGTCTGTAAAAATAAAAAATAATTGTGCTTGACAGGATTTCCAGAAATATGTGATCACAAAACCTTCAATGGTTGACATATATAAAATAAAAGTTTAACTGTTCAATCCGTCATAAGAATAAGAAATAAAAATGATCTGTTAAAAAATGCTTACAAAAAGTACAAAAGTGTACTTGCGAAATGATTATCAACAATTGTATATCCATAGGGTGAAAATATTTATAAAAACAGTTCCAGTAGCCATTCAGAATTCAAAATTTCACAACTTGTCAATGCAAGTTAGGCAATCCTAGACGAGTATTTTTTTCGAGCCGTCTGAAGTGACGATTTCTAACATTTGAACGAGGAGATCAATTCGAACTTTAATTTCCTGTCTTCTACATCAGTAAAACTCATGCATCCAATCCCTAAGGATATTTACACCTCATATGACAGTTGGGCGATGATGTGTTAAGTTTTAGAAAAGCATTTCGTCATTAAAATTGTTTGCTATCAAATGAAATCGTTAGAGCTTGAACGTTTTTTATGAGAAATGCTTAGAAGCATATTTCCATTAATTGAACTAGTCCGTTCCTCAGGTTATGAAAATCGGCAGTTAAGTAATTTAAAATACAGTTATGCATTTTATAATTGAAAACTGATTGACAAGTATACCGTATTTTGGATTTTAAAAAAAACTATAAATATCCAGGCATTCAAAAAAAATGCATGTTTTTTCAAACTTATGCAGTATTGGATCAATCCTTTTAGTTTTAATTATTACAGTGCAAAAAGTATGTTATATCATTGGAAGATATCACAAATCACTTCCAATTTTATTTCATGCTAATAAACACTGGTATCTAAATAAGGCAAAACTGAAAGAAATTCTATTTCTCTAAAATTGTATTTATTTGTGTGTGTGTGGGGGGGGGGGGGGGGTGCAAATATCTAAATTTTTTTTTTTTTTTACAAGACTGTGAGTCATATTAAGATGTGTGAAATAAAAATTGTTGAAAAAAAATCAATGTCAAGATTCATTCCGAGGCTTATTCAATTAGAGGTACTGTGAGTGGGCTCACAAAATACATGTAGTACCCCCTTCACCCATTGCAATTTTTTTAAAGTGCTTGTTTGCAATGTTGTAAATGTACATGTGGCCTTGAACTTGCCAAAATTACCTTGGTTAAAAAATGGCACATCCTCTGGTCAAAAGTAGACTTTCAGTGAAATAGAGACATCAGTTTTTCTCCATTAGAAAATTAAGGACCTGACGCAAATTTTACACCATTTCTGCCTGTGACCTTAAAATTGCCACACTAACCTTGGGTCAAAGCTATGACATAATTTTAGCTCATAAATAATCTTTAACTGAAGTCTCAACTTCCAATAAAAATGTTTTACTTTTTCTGCCAATGATTTGAACTAGCCAGAATGACCCCGAGTCAAGGTTTTAACACATCTGCAAGACATAAATACTATTTGGGTTAAATATGAACTTCTAATGTTTCCCCATTAGAAAATAATAGACCTGACACATTTAACACTTTTTCTGTCAGTGACTTTGAACTTGCCAAAATGACCTTCAGTTAGAGCATGACATATCCTCAAGTCTGAAGTGATCTTTGTGTCAAGTATCAACTTCCATTTAGCCTTGACTTGAGAGTTATTATAGGCAGGAAATGAATAAAACAGTGACAGACAAGAAGAAGATGGGCGAATAAGGCGAGCGCAATGCCTACAGTGCAATAAACATAAAGGTGAAAAATTAAAACTCAATTATAACAAGATTTTCTTTGATATTCCATCTAACATAAAAGTATACTTTTTGTACAATCTCCACAATTTGCAAAAATCTCACTAAGACTGAAATTTTTTACCTATGAAATGAAATACCATACACACACTAAATATGGCAAAAAGAATCATTTTCCCAAACTAAAACACAATTTTTCGATATGAGTGGATCTTCGCTCCATATTCTTCAAAGTTTATCCTAAAAGATTTGAGAAAAATATACATTTTTTGGTCAACAAAAACATGGAGCAAATACCTTAAAAATACACTTTTATGATTCGCATCTTTCAGAGAAATACTTGAAGTCCATTTAGTCAAGGGTGAAGGGTCATATCACAAACATTATTTAAATGCCACAATTCATCAAGAGCTGTATAGCGTATTGGTTAGCGTGTTAGTCTCAAATAAAAGATTTTTAAAAAAGCGTGTTAGTCTCACAGGAAAATGACTTTTATTGCTAGGGTTTGAACCCCACGAATTTATTATTATTATTTTTTAAATAACTGAATCATTTTTGCCAAGAAAATTTTCCTCAAAAAAGTTTTGTTTGTCATAATTTCATAAATTTCAATGACCTTAAAAATGCATTCAAAACTCGAGGGTAAGCAACCCCCAATTTCGTGAATAAAAACACCAACAATGACCACAGTGATGAAGTAGTCAATGATGAATCTAAAAAGGATATTGTAGTGTCTTGTTCACATTGTTGAAGGACATTTCCCTTCAATATAAAGAATGTATAGAAATTCTGCTTGTCTGCATATGTTCATAACAAATTTGTATCTTAAATGTATGGCAGGTATAACCTTAATATATTTATTTGGACTGTTTGACTTTAGCTCTATATTTAGCTCTATACCCTTATCACCTGCATATGGGGTTTATGTCTCTCAGTTGATTCGATACGCAAGAGCATGCTCTACTTATGAACAATTTCTAAAACGAGGCAAACTATTGACAAACAAGTTGATGAAACAAGGATATCAACAGTCTCGTTTGAAGTTATCATTTCGTTAGTTTTACGGTCGATACAATGATCTTGTTAGCACATACAATCATCAAGTCAAATGCTGACTGATGTTTTTCATACTAATTGTTAGGCCATTACTTATACATGTACACTGAACTGTCTATGGATTTTTCCCCGTTTTTTTCGCGATCATGACAAGAAGCACACTGCGGGGTTGACCGGTCGGCGGGGGATGCTCACTCCGCCATGGCACCTGATCCAACCTCTAAATTTTGAGGTCCGTGTTTGCTCTGCTCCGAATTTGTATCGTTTCATTGGACTTTCGAGATTGAATACTGTTCGTTATCTTCATATTTCACTTTACTTAATTTCAGTGCAATATAATATGCCTATTAATCTGATGTTATTCATTTTTTTATGCCTTCAGGTCTTCAAATAGGAAATGTTGCCGATATACATGTATGGCTGAAATACTTCTGACTCGAATATTAAATGATGATTGATCAATGTACCTAACACTATTAGGAATTGAACAACCAGACATGCTTGAACATAACATAGTTCCCCTGTAACACACATGTGCATGTAACAAGTATGAAAAACAGCTGAAGTTTGAACTCGTTTTATTGTAATAGCACCAAAAACCATCAATGAATAAATAACTTTTTAAAATTTAATGCATTCTTTTACAAATTTTGTCAAAATCAACAGAGATTTGAATTTATACATACAACATCCACAGTAGTAGACAGATATTGGAATTTTAAGTTAAAATACTTTGGTTTCCCAATCAACTGTCAAAGTGTGATTTTTTTTCTTTCAGCTTTGTTTCCAACATGACTTCTCCTTTCCTCTCCAGTTAAAATTATACAAAAAGTTTAAACCTGCTTTCAAAATGCAAAAAGAATGTGGGGAAAAAATTAAATCTCGTTAACACAAAACAGTCATATGAATAAAACTGACCCTGTTTTCCATTTTTTTTCCCTTAACTTAGAAACTTCAAGTTTTTAATTTTTTTTGATGATAATTTTGATGATCTTCAAATTGTCAGTGAATGACTCGAAGAAAATTAAACATGCTGTGATGCAATGCAACATCGAGAAAAGATGGTGTGTTGAAAGAGGAATCAGCTGTTTTACTGGCTGAACATCACTGACCATGGCTCACAGACCTATTTCAATCAGCTGGCCTTAAATGTACGTTTTTTTAAAACCAAATCCGATGAAAAACATTATCTATTAGGATTCTGGTTTCACTGGAGTCGCGTCGTTATTGTTGACACATTCATCTGGCATGACGCATTTCCACAATCCGTAGGTTTTGCCTACAGTGGTTTGCCAAAGTCGGAGCGTCCCATCTTCACTTCCGCTGGCATACAATTCACCATCAGGGGAGAAACGCACACAGTGTACAGGGCCAAAATGTCCTTTAAAGGACTCTGAAATCAGAACAATCAATACTTTTAAAAAGATTCAGTAAAATGACTGACAAACAAATGCATCATAAATGCACAATACATGATGATTTCAGTTTATCCTGGTGCCAGTGGAAAGAATATGAAATTTTTTTCCTCCAATGCAGCAAATTACTTACTATTATGTCCACAGGTACTTGTGTACAGGACCCTCCCCCCCCCCCCCCATATTCAACCCCGGGGCTTGTGTATAATGTATAGTGGGGTATTTTTGTGTGGAACGATTATTTTGGGGTTTTCACGATTTTTTCCTATGGTACACAAGATGAATAAGTGCAATTAATATAATTTTTGAAAAAAATGTCCAACAAGCCCAAGGGTTGAATATCGGGGGGGGGGGGGGGGGGGGGGGGGGGGACTGTCCACAAGTACCTGTGATTATGTCTCATAGATGATCGAAGTACAATAGGAAAAATAAAACACAATACCAGGTACATGTACCAAGACATACACGGATGTACCAAGACATACGCAGATGTACCAAGACATATACAGAAAAACTGATGTAAAGGGAGTCACAGGTGCATGTACTCACAAGTTAATTAAATTAGATCTTCAATCTACTCGTGCATTCGACAAACACAGGTGGTCAGGATACAAGTAATTCAAAGATCTAATTTGAAATAGATCAAGATATTCTGGGACTGCATGCAGTGTTCTGCTAAAATTTCTGTGTCCAAGGACATAAACAGATCCACATTAAAAAACACACAAAGGTGCTTGTGGGCAGGACCAAATTCAATTTACTGATTCATTATACAGTCAGGAGCATCAATTCACTCAATTTTTCATTATATCTGCCATACTGGTGTTATAGATATCAAAAGGTCAAAAGTAATTAAATTTTATTCACCAGCTGCACTTAGGCACAGCATTGATGTTGCAGCCTTGAATTTTCAATTACTTAAAAGGGCATATTGAAGCACAGAGATGGTTAAAGTACTGTTTAATTAAATAGTCATTAATTATATGTCCTTGAACACTGAATTAAGTTTTTCATCAAGGGAATTGCCAGCAGCTATCATTGGTGAAGTAAAGAAATCATTAATCCTGCAACAAATTCGAAGGATACAGAGTCAGAGAAAACTGACATTGGAAAGAAACCATGAAGTACACAGACATTTTCTCAGTATTAATTAACTGTAAATGCAACTCAAGTATCAAGAAATATGGCATTTAAAGGTTACTTCAAGGAAGTATTTCAAAATATTTACAGAAATCCAATGATTTCATTCGGAGAAAAAAAAAATAGAAAACAAGACCCCCTGGGACAAATGATACAAAAAAAATCTCTCTCTTGGTAAAAACTTTATAGTTCTTTTGCCTTGGACTAGAATGATGCTCTGTCATTGGGTAACGGATGTCACATCCCTGCTGTCAATGGTTTTGTGGACGGTGAGTAGCAAAATTTGGATGGCAACATTGCAGATTGAATAAAGTTAAGTCATCAAAATTAAAAGAAAAAAATCATTTCAGTGCTATTTTCACATTTAAAAGAGACTGAGAAATTCATATGTCCTTACCTTACCTTACATAATCAGTAAACAATAAGATGATGAGCAAAGAAGATTTGCACAGACGAGAAAATTGTTTAATTGTAATTGATCTTGGTAGGTTTTTTAACTGTTATTGGTTCTTGACAAAACAAACACACTTATTAGGTTTGTTACTGACAGTTCACAGAAGCCAAAAATGATTAAAGTGTCCATTTTACACATATAAGCATTTTTCTATAAACAAAATGCCTTGCTATTTTCTGGTGTTACACTTAATCAATGCACGTATTAACACAGAATACTTGGGAATAAATCTTTGAATTCGATTGTTTGTTTGTTTTTTGTTTTTTTTTTTCATTACACAATCTTTGGAGCTCGAATTCAATTTCCAAAGAATTTCTCAAACATTGGTAAATAAAGCAAAAAATCCTAAATTTTAAGCAGGATTTTTTTTCTAAATATTAAATACATGTAAGTATAGTTGATGTGAATACTGCATACAGGGAAATTACTGCCCCCTTCATTTTCACCCCTCTCACCCTCATTCAAGTTGGTGAATTTAAAATGGGGCACAATTGTTTGCAAGTCTGAATGGGCAAAATAAAACAGGGCAAAAATAACATAGTAAAACATAATATTTACATTTTCAAATGTCTTTGTTCAAGATAAAATTACAAATAAGGAAACAACTTTAAACACTCATAAAGGTATTTGTTCATCATGTGGCAGAACTGCCTTCTCACTTTAGTAATATCCTGTGTGGGGCTTGCAGACATAGATTTTTTAGATTTAGACTTAGATTTTTAATTATTAAATAAAAATAGCATAAAAATCTTTTTTTTTAAATTCAATGTTTTACGATCATGATCAATCAGTTTTCTCAAGTGATAGCGAGCGAAGCGAGTGGCTCAAAGCGCTGCTCATCACTGCAAGTTCTTTAAGCAATGCCTGGGCGAAGAGAAAATTAGGGCTTTGCACATTGATCCAAACAAATTTTTTTCTGCAGTAACTTTTGGTCCCATGATGCTTTGCGAATTGCATCTCGCCACAAACTATGTTCTCGAGATAGCAAAAAAAGTTCAACAATAAATAAAATCACATTGATTTAATGGATATTGTAGAAAAAAACAGTAGATTAAACATTCTTCATTAAAAAAAAGCACTGTTCAGGCTTCGATTTTGTAATGCAACCTACATACGACATCATGTGATGTCAGAGTCTAGATCGACATACAAAATGTCACGTGTGGTTTGAAGAGACCGTCAGACGGATGAAAATTAAAACTGAATAGGTATCTGCGGTCGCCCTAACAGTCACACCATCAACATATTATTAGTTTTCCTGGTTCAATCAAAGATTTATCCAGATTTACCCTGGGCTGTATTCCATACACCCCAAGGCTGAAGTCAACCGATCAACTCCTTCAAATATGGATCACACTTTGTGACCAAAATTCTAAGTTTGACCTTTTCCCATCATTTTTTCTTATTTACAGTAAACCTCGTTTAGTATGAACACAGATTTAATGAATTTACAGATAAAGTGAATTCATACTGAATTCCTGGCAAATTTTTGCAATTCTTTGTAAAGTGTTACAGTTGTAACACTGATATAACGAATTCAGGGATAAAGTGAACTGTATTTGTGTCCCATTTAAGTTAAAAAATAATGATATTTACATCTTTTATAGCAAATTTTAAAAGATCTCAAAATTTAACATGTTTAAAGCATTGAAGTAAGTTATTATTCCTTAGTATTTATATTTTGAATTAATTCATTATACAACTTAAGTAATCCAAGATAAGTTTTGTATTCAATATTTTCCAGAACATATGTGGTAGTCATATTTGAAGAGAAAACATGTATATATTTCAAACACTTTACCGAATTCGTTTTACCGATATCAGCAATTATGGATATATCAAAGTTACATGTAATTCACAGGTCCCCAGGACTTTGCTACAATCAAGTTTTACTGTATTATTTATTTATTCTATTTGCAGAACTATTTTCTTAGACATACAAACAAAATGATCTCTAAGTGTCTATAACATGTTTGGCAGTGGAATGTTTTACTTAGTAGGAGAGGACTTATATAGGCAGTGCCTGCTGTCCAATCCTTTTATGGTTATACATAATAAAATATTGTTTAAAATTACCTAGTTCCTCTCCTGTCTCATAATCAAACTTGTACATCTTAAAGTCCTCTCCCCCACATACAAACACTTTCTTATCCTTGTGGAGAGATGCCGAGTTCACCTGAGTCGGGGCAATGTAATCCTTAATCTTCTCATACCTATTTCGTAGGGAAATAAAATAGTCAAATAAAACATTCTGGCTTTCACTTATTGTTTAAAGAATAAAGGATAAAATCTACACAACACTCTTGTATTTTTTTTTATTTCTTCATACTTATGCTGAAAGCAGCAATCAGTAGAAATAAATAATATTTCATTTCAGACAAAATTATCAGTAGTCTATGATATTCAGATTTGTTTTCATAAAAATACCTTCACAGAAAAATAATCTAAAAAGAGACAGTGTTCAAAACATTGACAGGTCTATTACATCAACTAAAAACAAAACAAAACAAAAAAAAAATAGATGTATCGTAATGCCACAAATGCCCCCCCCCCCCCCCCCCTCCTCCCCGGCAGCCAAAATTTCAAAATGCAAATTGTAAATTGCATATTTGTAGCCGAGATAATGATTAGAAACTGTGACTATTTTTAAATCTTTTCCAAGTTTAAGGGGGATAACTGTCAAAAATCACTGGACCAGGACCAAATTTGAACTTGACCTGTATTTTCTGGTAAAATACCTGCATATGCAATTTCAACCTTATACATATATACATCCCTACAAAAGTTAGAGAGTGGAAACTGAAATTTTTTTTTTCTAAGTTGAAGAGGGATAACCCTATCAAAAATCACCAGACCATGACCAAATTCGAACTTGACCTGTGTATTCCTTGACGTATCCATCTGTCAAATTTGCGTTGAATGTGTGCAACTGTTGCCAAGATAATGAATGGAAAGTCAATGATGACAGAATGATGGAACAGGGTAACACTATATGTACCCGGCCAATTTATATCTGGAGCATAAAGATATTTATGTACCACTCTCTGTGTATACCTGTCAGCATTCCAGAAGCTGGTACAGTTACCATGGGTAATGACCAGAATTCGTCCGTCCCTGGACAGTTCTAAACTGCTGGGGATTCCCGGAAATTCCAGTTTCTTAACCTCTTGTCCACTGACTGTGTCCCATACCCTGTTCAAAACATGACAGAATTTCATGTAATTATATCAATGAACTATCAAGAATATCCCACATCCTTAAAAAGGAAATTAGCTATGATAATGTCCTATACATAGAATCTTTTTTGAAAAATTTTTGACCAAAAAATTGGATGTGCACACAATTCACAGGCATTTCAGACAAGTATTTCAGGGTGCCAAACTTGCTAAAAACATTCAATTTTCGTAATTTACAAGTTGGCAACATTTACCACACTTTATTTAAATTCGTTTTATTCATGAGTAACCTTCAGAATAATGGAAGAAAACATTCAACACTTCACATGTCCCTTCTCATTTCTTAAGCATTAAACAACCAATGAATATAAGATATCAGTGACATTTTACAGCACATGATGATGAGTTCATACAAAATTGTCAGAAGTGGCCATTATTGAGTTCTATGTGCACAAAGGGAGATAACTCCTGCTCATTATGGAGTTCTATGTATACAAAAGTATACAAAGGTAGATAATTCCTGCTCTGAATTTTCCTGGTTGTAGACAGAGCACTTGAAACAACTTAAAATGAATAACATTATTTGAATCTAAAGTAGCGATGTCTATAGTTTATAAATTATTTACAATTTAACAGTAATCAATATTTCCCTAACATCAATTTTACTGAAATGTGCACATCCAAACAAAAACATGTACAAGAGTCAATGTAAACAATGTTTTAAGATTTTTCATTTTGTAAATATAGCAAACTACTAAATACATTACACAATTCATATCTTTAATAGCTTTATTTTTTTTCTGTTAGTCACTGTTTAACCGCTTAAAAAAGCAAAGCTAAGATAACAAAAAATAATCTGTATATTAAATGTAATATACCATCTAAAAATAAAAGTACAGTAAAACATGCTTATAATGAATTGATGCTTACAGTGAAGTGAATTTTATCCATATAACTTTAAAATACATTGTAAACATAATGAATATAACAAATTATGTTTTTATCGAGGCAAAATTGTCTGTCCCTGGCACTTTGTTATAAGCATGTTTTACTGTATACAGCACTTTCTTGGATAAAACTGAAAACTAAAAGGTTTTCTTTCTGTTGTGGTTTTTGTACCTGACAGTTTTATCATCCGATGCACTTATGATCTGTTTACCAAACTGAGCAAATATGGCTGCCCTGATGTTGTGTTCATGTCCACTAAATGTGGCTTTGGCCTCTGTAAAATGAAACAAATATACAATATCATATCACTAGCATCCAACTAGCATAGGCATTCTTAACAGCAGAAATCATTTATCAATAATTTCCTCAATAGTGCGGATGTCCAGTAACATGATGTCTATACTCACATCAGACAGGACTCTCAGACACTGACAGACAGTGACTTGTACTCACATCAAACAGAACTGTCAGGCACTGACACATACTCTCATCAAACAGAACTGTCAGGCACTGACAGGCAGTGACTTATACTGTTTATTTCACATCAGTTCAAGTATTAGCATATACAGTAATTAACATATTAAGATAATTACAACTTATTTGAAAAACATTAGAACAAAATTTACTTATGATTTCATTTGTTTTATTGATTCTTTATTAATCAAAATGCATGCACAGCACATGTCGTTAAAAATTTTGAATATCAAGTTCACACACCCACCCCACCTCCACCGTAAAACACCAACCACATGTACAGTCAGGACACATAATTATTCACTTTCCCAAATTCGCTGCAATTCAGCAGCATATTTTTGCTTCAAAAACAAAAATAGGGTTCACACTATAAATTGAGAAAATGTTTCCTCTTCCTATTTTTGTTACAGTGTCAAGCTACTAAATTGATGATATATATATATATATATACACAATTTTTTTTTTTGGTCTGCTGTCAAAATAAAAAAAAAAACAGGATGTATTGAAATGGGTCAGAAAGGACAGTAGCTGACCATTGAAGTAAGAAAACTCATAATAAATTCTAAAGAAGTGAACAGAAATGTTTCAGAGTTATGAAGAACTTTAGGAATACCAAGTTCTAAGGTGAGAAGTGTCATTTAAAAAATTTGAACATTCTGATGTAGAATACTGTCCAGGAAGAGGCCAGAAGTCTTTGTTCTCGGTGAGAGACACAAACTTCTCAGATCATTTAATAAAGAGTTCTATTTATGTCCTGAAGAAAACTGAAAACAATCCTACAGGGACATAACCAGCATAATTAATGAAATAGTGATCATCAATTTTGTATAAAAACTGTCCAGGGAACAATAAGTAAAGTGGGGTGTGTACAGAGTCTACCTAAACTGTCCACTCTTTTTCTTGCCTGAAACCACTTTTTACACATTTTTTTTTTTTTTAATTTGCTAACTTCACCAACTGCTTTTTTTTTTGACCTGAAGTTAAGGAAAGTAGCAGTCAATGAAGTTAATAAATGAGAATGTGTAAAGTGAGAGAGAAAAAGAGTTGACAGGTCAGGAGGACTGGTGTAAATGGATATTCTGTGAAGAGATTCAGATTATTATTGGGGACAATAAGATCTATGTCTAAAGAAAAGTGGATGAAAAGTACAACTCTTAACTTGAGTGACCTGATCCAGGACAAAAGTTAAGTGTTTTGATCTGCGGGTGTGGATGTTTTGAAGATCTAGGCACAATATTAACTAATGTTCAGGCCATAAAAAAATAATTAATAGTTTCTCAGGCCAAAAATTTCAAAATTCAATGCAGCAGGCAGTTTTTTTTTTTAAAAACAGGTATCTTATTTTCATGTCAGTCGTTCAACAAAATGATGATATGAACTGATTATCAGTTTTTTGTTCTCTAAATATACTAATTATAATGTACTCAACTATAAATTATGTTATTCTAAACATTTCTTTAAAAGTTAATTAATAAAGGACTGTATAGACTAGAAGAATATTGTTTATATAAGAAAAACGTCTATCTATTATTGTTATTAAAAGGGAAATAACTCAATTTTCTTTTTCAACTTGGAAAAATAGAAAATTGAGTTATTTCCCTTTTCAAAATGTCAATAAAATTGATGGTTACAGACTACTAATTTTACCCCTATTTCATTGACCACGCAAGTAGTGCCAGTTTAAAAATAGAGCTTTTTTCTTAAAAATTCTTTGGGATGTATATGGGGTGGAATGGGGTTATTTTTGGGCATAGATGGAAAGGAGAGGGTCTGAAAAAAATTATAAAATTGATAATAATGGGAAATTTTGCTTTTAAGCGCGTAGTAGGAAGGGTGTAAAGAGGCCCATGTTTACCCTTTCCTCGAAGGAAAAGTGAAATAAGCAGGGTAGGGGTTATTTGCGATGCCATAGCAGGACTTGCAGACTATGAATTTTCCCGAGAGCCTGAAAAATTTTTGGACTTGAATTGTTGTTACTCTATGCCAAGTTTCAGGTAAGTTGAGCCGGTGTGATTTTTTAAATTAATTTTTACATTATAAAGGAATGTATAGCAAAATAATTGGTAGTCTGTGTCCTGATCAATGCGGCCGTTTTTGACCTGATGCGGTGGTGCCTGAGAAACTATTGATTAATTTTTTTTGGCCTCAAGGTAACAAATACTTACAAATAATTGAAAATAATATCTGGCCAGTTATTGCAAGTCATTTCCCACACAATGAATACATTTTCATGAATAATAATGCTCCTGCTCATCAATCAAAATTTGTTAAAGATTACATGACTAATAACAGTATAACTACATGAAAATATTAAATTGGCCAGCACAATCTTCAGATTTGAATATAATAGATAACATTTGGTTGCATCTGAAAAGGGAATTAAAAACCTGTGTCCATCTCATAAACTTGCAACAATATCTGATTGTGGAAAATCAGACCATGTAGGAAAACAATCCATTAAATTACCTAAAAGACATTTATAATTCCATACCAGGATAAATAAATAAAGTAATTAAGACGAAAGGAAATTTGACCAAATATTTAGGTAAGTTTCTAAATTTATCCAGAACAAACAGCTTTCTAACTTCACTGAGTGGACACCTTTTTCGGCAGCCATTTTGCAAGTCGTGAATAATTAAGTCCCATGACTGAACTTTTATAACAAATTATGAGCACATTGCATGTACCAATTTATACTAAAATGTAACTTGGTAAATATTAAAGCAATAGATTTTTCTTCAGTTTGTACAAAAGTGCAGGTATACATTTTCTACCATACTTTATCAAAGAAACTCATTCTGTCTATGTACCATATTCATACTTTTCATTTTAATAATACTTGAAGTATGTTATTCCATTAAGATTAAAAGACATCAACACTGCTAAAATATTTCCTTCCTTTTCACAATATTCTGAATTTTTTATGCTCACCATCTAGCTAATGTCTACTTTTTTAACACACATATCAAGAGTAGGGCTGGGACGATATAAAGAGATATCAATAATATCAATTCTCTGTGAGGACAATACACAAATCGATAGGTATGAAAAAATATCGAAATATCACCCAAAAAAATCTGACTCATGTTTTTCTTTGTTTACTTAACATTTTGGGTTTAATATATAAAATAAGTATGCTAAATATAAATATGAAATACCGTATATACTCGCCTATAAGTCACTTTTTTGAGAGTTAAACTTTGGTCCAAAAACCTCTGTCCGACTTATAGGCGAGTTATAAAAATACTGGTATTATATCGGGTCAATCCCTTAAATATAGGCTTAAACAAGATGTGTTTGTGAAACACTGATGCCCCCGTATGGCAGCTTATGGCGAAAGTTAAAGTTTCTCAAATGCAAGTCAAAATCCAGGCCAAAAGATAAAAAATGTTAACTTTGAAAGCCCTAGCTGCAACTGTTCAAAAGTTATGGTGAAGGTTAAAGTTTTTTAAAAGTAAGTAAAACGTCAAGGTCAAGGTCAAAGTTATTGGTATCCAAAGGAAGGTCTTGTCACAAGGATTACATATGTGAAGTATGAAAGCCCTAGCACCAACCATTCAAAAGTTATGGCCAAGGTTAAAGTTTTTCAAAAGTAGGTCAAACTCCTATGTCAAGGTCAAAAGGTCAAAGTGTTTGGTATCCAAAGGAAGGTCCTGTCACAAGGATTACATATGTGAAGTATGAAAGCCCTAGCACCAACCATTCAAAAGTTATGGCCAAGGTTAAAGTTTTTCAAAAGTAGGTCAAACTCCTAGGTTAAGGTCAAAGGGTCAGAGAGGTTGATATCCAGAGGAAGGTCTTGTCACAAGAAATACACATTTGACGGTTGAAACCCCAAGCACCAACTGTTCAAAAGTTATGGCCAAGGTTAAAGTTTTTCATAAGTAGGTCAAACTCCAAGGTCAAGGTCAAAAGGTCAAAGTTGTTGGTATCCAAAGGAAGGCCTTGTCACAAAGAATACACACGTGAAGTTTGAAAGCCAAAGCACCAACTGTTCAGAAGTTATGGCCAAGGTTAAAGTCACATAAAATTTTGCAAAAGTGGATCAAACTCCAAGGTCAAGGTCAAAAGGTACCCAAAGAAAGGTCTTGTCACAAGGAATACACATGTGAAATATAAAAGTCATAGCTCCAACCAATCAACAGTTATGGGCAAGGTTAAAGTTGACAACAGACAGACAGACAAACAGATAAACAGACAAACAGACAGACAGGACAAAAACAATATACCCCCGGGATCTTTCGATCCGGGGGCATAAAAATACAACCGACTAATAGGCGGACCGACCTATAGGCGAGTATATATGGTACATAATAATTAACACCACTTGTGTAAAATAATTTTTTTTCACAACAGATATACAACTTCTTGCCTTATTTGTAAAGAAATGTTTTGTTCATTTCAATACAAATAAAAGACTTTATAACCAATTCAACATATCATGATACATATTGTATTGTGGCTCAAATATCATGATACGTATCGATATATAAAAAGCTGTATCATCCCAGCCCTAATCAAGAGAGTGAAATAAATCATTGGTAAACATAGCAAACACTTTAATAAGCTTTTCCCTTTCTTATGAATGTACCTAATTCTGGCTGATTTAGATCAAATATTCGTAAAAGCTTTTCGTTGCTTCCAGTCAGTAGCTGGGTATCATCTTCATCAAAGTCAACAGACTTAACAATGTGCTTGTGAGCAAATGAATGTAGCTCCTCCCCACTCAGCGAGTCCCAGATTTTTCTGCAATTAAACAGTAAGTTTCTATCAGATATACTAGTATCTTCATCAGGACTCTTTTTGTCAATATTTTACTAAAGATGACACATGAAAGCTTATAAAAATTTATGTTCATGTTCATATCATCAAGTGTCAATTAAATATCAAACTACTTGTTAAATAAAATGTCAAGTGCTTGGGAAAAAACAATAATCTTCCATAACATGACAGATAAACATATCACTATTTTATTTAACAAATTCTTAAATTACGCTGAGAAATCTGCGGCTCCTGTGGCGGCCCGAGTAGCATCTTTATTTATCGTGGCTCCCCATACTGCTCCTTTGTGGCCTTTAAATGTCCCAATCCAATCCCCTGTATCTCCCTGTCTAAACATAGGGTTTCCATCTAAAATTTAAAACAATCTTGTCTACATCTTGTTAAGAGCAAATTAATACAAGTAAGAAGATCCAAAAGTGTTTTCTACCAAATAGCTTATACTTTCATACTGTTTTAAAATTAAAACATGCATTGTTCACGAGAGTATTGCATAAGCAATACTGGTCCCCTAGCAGCAAGTGTATAATCTGCCTCCCGTTAAAAATTAAAAAGGCCAAAATTTCGTCAGTAGTCACTGAAGCAGAACAAAACACAAGCTGATCTTAAACTCATTAAGGTAGACCTGCATACCAAAAAATCATCTCAATATCTGCAATCGCTTGGGAAAAAAGAGCAGAAAACAAAGTGGAAAATCTGGTTCCACTTAAAAAGGCCATATTTCCATAAAAAATCACTGAAGCAGAACAAAATGCAAACCTGATCTGTAATTCATCAAGGTACACTGACATACCACAAGTCAGCTTAATATCTATAAGCATTTAGAAAAAAGATGGAGGAACAGCCAGACAGACAATGAGGAAACCTATAGACCCCTCCAGTTTCACCGGTAGGGGACTAATAGTACAAGGTCAAAAATCTAGTCACCGTGCAAACAGCCTTGATCTTTTTTTATGAACAGAAGGGTTAAAATTCATTATAAACATAACTCGCTATATCAGATAGGGAATGAAAATCATATCAGTAAGTATGAATTCATTGTAACAATGTTTTACTGTATTCCATTCCCTTAGCTAGCTATATTATAATAAATCTTTCTAGTACCCTAAAATACTTTTCAAAAGGGGCAAGGTTGACTGCAAGACCAAAAGCCATTTGTCCTTGTCCTTCTATCTCTATTTAATAAATATTTGGTACAATATTAGACATTGTGCTTGATGCTCAAAATAGTTCAAATGTATAACTAGTATTTGTAATAGATCAACAGACCTAATAAAAGTTGGATAAACATTCTATGTTGATAAACATATATATCCTTTAAGGTGGTGTACAGTTATCCAAACAATGTAAATACATCTTTTGCTTAAAAGTATTCAAAAGCTGCAATGTTAGAACTATCTTTGATTCTGGTTACTTTTTTGATAGTCCATAGTACTTGTATATATATATGAATAGTCAAATACTTGCAACTTTTTGTCTGTTTCTTACAAAAATCATTTTTGTGAAAAACTGCATATAAATAGCTTTATCAAGCTATTCTGAATAGCTTAATAAAGCTATATAGCTACTGTAAAAGTGGTTATTTACGCGTGGGGGAAATTTACACTACTTACGCGGTAAGCTTAGAACCGCGTAAAATACCCCCGCGCGTATGGTCACAAAATTTCTAAGTTCTGGAATAATTCTAGACTTTTTCTAATACTGATATACCAGTCGAACCTGTCATATATTAATCGTGGTATTGAACGCACGCGAGTAGATAAATACATCACAAACAGTGATGAAAATGGGTTTTTTTTATTACATTGTGCAATGAAAAATGCATCTTCGTATTAAATATCTTAAAGCAACGTCATGCAAGTAGAGCTTCAAAACGTAATTCTCATTTTCATTTCCTTTGTATGATTGTACGAGTACGTCCCTCTTAATTTCAAATAATTAGTTCAAAATGTTACACAAATTCACAGTCACTATACAAACATATCTATTGAATTAACAATTCACACATATCTATTGAATTAATTGTCAACACTCGCCACCCAGATACAGGTAAGTAGATCCCACTTTGAAGTTTGAGCTTGCGTAAATAATTACAATGAAGCGTACACCAGTTGTTCACACTTCACCGCTTTTGACTGTGCAGATCACCGTTATATTTAGCAATCCAAGGAACATGCACACATCGATGACCAGTATAAATTCTTTTTGTTTTGTTTTATTTGTCTAATTTCTAATTCATTTTTTCTTATTCATTAGTGTAAACTTCTTGACCTTTTCAAAGGGGGACAACTCGATATTAGTAACGATGGCTGCGTAAATTTTTCTCGGTAACTCGTGCAACCGTGTATATTACACCCACGCGTAATGTTTGACAGTCACAAACGCGTACTTAAGAACCAGTGTAAATAACCACTTTTACAGTAATTCAGGCTATATAGCTAAATCAAGAGATTGTGTTTGACCCGTGTATATTCAATGGCCTTTAATAGATAGTTTTCAGTAGACCCAAATTAGCAAGAGTTATTTCCCGTTGGCCGCCATATTAGGGGGCAACATGCTCATATTACTTCATTATTCAACCAACTTTAACTTTTTATACTGGCTATTGTGGGGTAGGAAGCATTGTTTTTCTGAAAAATATACATTTGTTAAAGCCTCCTTTATTTCATTATTTTTATTCTATAAAGATTTCCCCCCAAATATTTCTGCTACATCCTCTTAGATTTGGTAAGACAAAGAGGAAAAACTACCAGGTTGACCCCCAAGATGGCGGCCAAGGGAAATAACTCGGAGAGAAAATACGTCATATGAAAACTATCTATAGTATAAAAAATAAAATGTGAATAGAAATCCAAAAAATCACTATTTTTTTAATAAATATTTCTCCAACGCGTGTTCCATATTTTTTCATCATCACACGAGACAACAATCAGACGACAGACAGACAGTCCATTAACAATAAGCAATGAATAAGGATATGTGCTATGTCACTGTATGTATCCTAATTTTTGAAAAGTTTTGGAGAATCGAGTATACAGAGTAATTTAAAGTAAATTAAGAATTGAATTGAAATTACGAGAATAGAAAAAAAATTTGAGCACCTTATTTACTATTTTGTTCAATTATTATAAAATTTCTTTACAATAAATCAATATGAGGAAATTCGGATAAAAGTGAACACCCATATTGTTTCGAAAATTGATAAAATCTTCAAACATTATAATAGTCCAAACCTTTGCATGCACTTATAAGAAAGTATCCAAAAGGAGTTATATCGCTGAAGGCCAACTGGACCACTGGACGCGTGTGGCCACTGCATGTCAACGGTGTTTGCCGCAATCCCGACATGTTCGACGTCCAGTTGAACCTTCGGAATACCTCGGAACAACATTTGGTATCAAATAGGGAAAAAAATCAATTTCGGATTTCTCCGGAAATTTTTGGCATTATTTAGAAGATGGAAAGATACTATACACATGTTTATGTTAAATCTATATTGAATTCCAGCTTAATCACTGATACTTTCCAGCTTCATCGGTAATTAAAAATATGCATCTTCTGCATACATGATACATTTTATTTTATTAGACTAAGTTAAGATGGGGAATGTCCATGGGCCTGTAAAAGAGATCATCAACGACTGCATTTTAACACCTCGACGAACTTCCAAGAGAGAATGAATTTCTGGGCCAGGTAAACGGCATGATCAAAATCAAAATTTAACTTGTTCGCGATTAATTGAATACTAAAGTACCGGAGACATATTTAAATTTCTATACAAGATTGCACAGAGAACAACTGAGATCTATGAATTGCTATGAATTGATTTGAAAACAAAATAAATTTAAACGACAGGTACTTGTACACAGGACCCCACCCCCTTCTCCCAATATAGACACCGAAATACCGGGAATGTTTTTTTTTTTTTTATTTGTTTTAACTTTGTTTCATGAATTATTCTTCTAGCACATGTATAAGAATAGTATTCAGTACAAAAAATCCAGAAATCCACATCCGTGATGCAGATTGTTTTTTTAAGGACAGACGATACGTTCCTCAATTTTATACATAATTTTTTCTAGGAATTTGTCATTGAAGTATTGCTACTTTAACATGTTTACTCGCAAAAAATTGAGGTACCTTACCAGGTATTTGTGCAAGATACTGGAGGATGTTGTTTCCTATATAATCCTTTTGGAAAAAACTTAATTTGCCAATATCACATTTTTTAGTGTTTCAATTTTTAAAAGACAATTAAAAACCAGTTCAGAAATCAGAAGGTAATTAAAATTTTGAATATTTTCCACACAATACGAAGATAAACAAAACAGATCTTTGAGGAACGTATCGTCTGACCTTAGTTTTGAACCACCAAATTTTAAATTAGTATAAGAAAGCATACTATCCATGTAATTTGGTATGAAAAACGGATGAACAATTTTAACATCACAAAATACAAATGTAAGTTTTATATGTATTTATGTCTCTATATGCTGACACTGCCGACTCGAAATTTCAGTCATAGGTATGGGGAAGGATGTGGGGGCTTCTACCGTCTATTTTTGAAAAGGGGGAAGAGGAAAAGTATCCTTACCCCAACTTTTCTACAGAAGAAGAGTTGAAATAGTAAATACGGTGTACGGCACTAGTATTTGGAAATCCCTTCTTTTTTTTCTTTTTTTTTTCTTTTCTTTTCTTTTTTTTTTTTTTTTTTTTTTTTTTTTTTTTTTTTTTTGGTCAAAGGTTTGCGTCACTAAGCTGCAAAATAGAATTCCCCGACTGCGGCCATGAGCCCCTCCCCCATGGCCAACTTTTTGACGAAGAAGTAATGTATAGTATGTGGTAAATGCTGAGCCCTATTCCCCATCCGTGTTGGAATCCGAGGCAATCGACAGAGGTTGCATGTTCCATGTACATATCCATGTATATATATATATATATATATATATATATATATATATATATATATATATATATATATATATATATATATATATATATATAACAAATATAAGCTTTAGACTGAGATTTAACATTCCTTGCATGGTTTTTCATAAAACTCTGCATAGTTTAATTTTTAGACACTATATAATTTGAACCAAATGATTGATTTCATCTAATTCGCGTTAAACAACAACAACACTAAATAAAAAATTATTTGAAATAAGATTTTGATTTTGATATTTGGCTGATACTCGATCAAAAGTTCCGCTACATCGGATCTCATAGCAATAAAGAAGAACTGGTGTAACAATCGAGTCAAAAAAATTTCCAAAAGTTTACATGGATCCAAACCAATGGTTTTCTTTATCTTAAAATATAGGCTTTTCTGGCCTTTTCCATAAGTACTGACATAGCTAAATTCAGATTTTCATCACATTTTAAAGTTAATCCAAGATAATAAAACTTGATGCTGTTTGAAGGACACTTCCATTATATGTAAACTCATTGTTACAAAGTTTACCATTTGAGTTAAAAATAAGGACTTTAGCATTAACCTGTATTTTTCAGCTAGAACAATATGTTTCAAGAATGTTCAAATAAAATATAGCCTAAATATACAATGTAACCTCAAAACTTTTAAGAACTTTTAGTATCAGAGAGTGTGAATTTTTATAAAAGGCAAGTTTTAGGTTATATTTGGGATTTTTCAGTTGTAATACTTCGTTAATGTGTCATAGAAAAATATTTTGATTTAAAAAAGAAGTCAAAGAATCCTTGGGTACGGAACACGGGAGATGGAGGGGGGTCCCGTCCTCAAGTACCTGTGGTCTGTGCGAGAAAGAACATTTACCGTCAAAACCCTTGGTCAGTAAAACTACTAATAACACATATCAAAGGTCGACATGGTCACCAGTCAGAATAATTAGTAGGCTTAGTAACATACAAAGTGAAATAGGTAAAAATGCATTGATGAGAATGATGAATGAAAACTATATAACAACATTTGAGATAATAAAAAATAATTATTCTTTATTTACACAGGTGCTTGAGGACAGGACCCCCCCCCCCTCCGATAATATAGATCCCCGGACCTTTTCGACTTTTTTCTCATACATTATCTTTCAATGACATATTTGTGATATAATCTATACCTACAATTCGAAAAATTACCTAAAACAAACAATTTATAAAATCTACCCCGCTCTCTACATATAAATCAACATATATATACAATCTAATTATAGATTATATATATAGAGTGGGGTAGTAATTTAAATAAAATGTTTGTTTAAGCCAATTTTATATCACAAATGTGTCATCCATATAGGCCCTATAATTTATGAGAAAAAAGTCGAACAGGCCCGGTGGTCTAGAAGGATTTGGTAAATTAAGTACATATTTTAACTATAAAAGGTCATTCAATTTTGAAAAATACTTGAATATGAAAAACCGGGACAATCGGGTAATTCTCACAAAATTCAGAATTAGTAATCATTGCTTAAGGGTAGAGACGGGTAGATATGAAAGGATACTTAATAAATGTGGTAAAAATGAAATTCTTCCCAGGAGTGAAAGAGTCTGTCGTTACTGTACTTCAAGTCCAACTGAGGATGAAATACATTTTTTGCTAGAATGTTCATTGTATAATGATTCTAGAGGAGAGTTTTTGAACAAAATCGTTTTAAAAACTTTTCCAAATTTAATACTGCTTAATAATGTTGACCTGTTTACATGGATTATGTCAAATGAAGATTCTGAGTTTGTTGTTTTATTATGCCAACATTTAAATGAAAATTTTAATATGAGAAAACAACACAGTACAATATAGGCATATTACAGTCATTATACATATACTATTTGTATACATTTTATGCATCCCAAAAGTTGACAGCTAACTCTCTGTTCAATATACAATTGTTTGTTTTGTTCTGTTTATTGTTATTTATGACTATGATTTCGGACACTGTTCATTTCTGTGGGCCCAAATTGGTTGAATAATATTCTATTCTATATCGGGGGGGGGGGGGGAGCGATTCTGTCCTCAAGCACCTGTGTTTATTTATTGTTCTAAAATCAAACCCACTCTGCCACATATGCTCTTTCATTTTTCTATTATCTAGCTGTAGAACTTAGAAAAGAGGATCAACCAGACGTCATACATATTCCGACTTTATCTGTCCGTACCTATTATCAAAACCGGATTTTTTAGAGGACTTCCGAAGAGGCGCTCATATCCGCAGAATCATAGCGGCAAAATTGCAAAGAAAAGAAAAATGTAAACAAACGTATGCATTTTGAATATTTCTCCTTAATTTTTTAGTTGGGATGGTTGAAAGTAATGAAAAGATGTATGTCAGATTAGTCTATTTGATTTTATTGACTAAGTATCCAGATTTTTTAGTGATGTAATATCGGAATATAAAGGTCTAAACCCAAACTCCAGGTAGTAGATCTATTTAAAATAATATTTAAACATGCTAACAGGTCCAGTACAATCACTACATTTAGTTATTTAACTTGAATTAACTACGTAGTTTTATTTAGCTACTTGAAACAGCCTGATTTGGCTATTTTCATGGAAGTTTTTATTGAAAACGTAGGCACTCCCCATCTTAATGTTAAAAATATATATCTACTATCATGACTATACTATAATCGTTATGTTTATAGTATAGTTGATATTTTTTTTTTAACAATTAAGATGGGGAGTGTCTATGATTTAAAATAGACAAAAATCCAGAAGTATTTGTACAGTTGTCATGGCTGTACTGATTGTGATGAAAACATACAAAAGGTGGCATTATGTTCTATCTGAAAACAACCAGTATCAATCTTAGTAGTGATTGTTCTCAAGTAGTGCATTGTTGATCGTGGAGTATGGGTTACATATAGTACATTTCACTCTGTTTACTTTGGCATGCTTAAGACAGGTCCAGCACAATCTCTTGATTTAAAGGCCGAGGTTTTCAACCGGTCGGTTTTCCTCAGTTAAGTTTGATGTGGGGTGGAGCTTAATTGAAATGGCTGCGAAGCCCCGAGGGAACCAAGCTGGCTTGTGTATACCTACCTATATACATAGGATGTTACCTGTATATTACCTGTAAATGTTTTCCCAAGACATAGTTTAACTTCGCGTGTTGGTCAATCGAAATGTTGATCGTCAAATTTTTGAAATAAAACATGCTTAATTTTTGATGTAGACTGATTCCTTAAGTTCAATTCTTTTTTTAAAATATGTTTAAATAAAGGAGACAATTTTAGTTTAATTTTGTGCGTTAATAAATTTCAAATCTTTGGTTGTAAGCTGGCGACACCGTGGGAAATAGTCATTCACAAAAACGAAAGTAGAAAAAAGTGCGGTCCTGAATAAGTCTCTAAAACTTAGAAATCCTGTCTGAAGGCTAAATTTTGTAGAATATACATAATAAATTAGATAAATATTTTTTATAAAATACCTATGTGATTAACCCATGATGCATGTTTCATAAAAATGGTCATGGCATTCGCATATTGTTTCTCCGACAGGTAGATGAAATGGGAATATAATCACTTTATCGTACTTTTTTTCCTCGGGATCCATAATTCTAAACATAACTTGTATATGCAATGACAGCTTTTATAATACTGCTTATTTCTCTTTAAAACTGGTTATTTTACCGTAACTTTCATCACCATGTCTCAAGAAATATTACATGTCTTAAAATTTTTAACTTGGACAATATGACTATCTCATAATTATAAAAAAGGAATTATTATTTTATTAAATTACACGATGCTTCCAGTGCAGTTCAGTATTTTCTGTTTTAAGTAAAATTGATGTAGGTGTAAATTTGGATAATCTATACTGCATTATAGATTGTATAGTGAAATGAACCCCTCTTTCTCAATTACAATTAAATAGATATATTAACTCAATGATTTTATTTTTCATTTACATGTATTTTATTATTTGACAGACTGATTAAATATAAATTATATATGGCTAATTACTTTATCATAAAGTAAAAAAAAATAATATCAGCTCTGGCTGCTTCTTTATCACTGACGATGTTATATATGCGGTAGGCATCAAAGACTGAATGTTAATTCAATGATCGATACGATCCCCAGCCAAGGTATACAAGATATACACAACGGCAGGTAACAAAATGTCAATCAATTTTCAGTATCCAATCTCAGGCTTAATTTCATCTGATTGACAGGGGTTCACAGACCAGGTAAAACTGAGGGTGGTGCTTATTTCCTCCCCCTTTAACTATTTAGCTTGAATTAGCAATATAGCTTTAGTGTAGGTATGAATTTCTACTCAATTTATTACAAGGAAAAAAAAAACATTCTTGTTGACATGAAATTTTACCTTGTTAATTTTCACAGAGCTTCTCTCAGACTATGGAAGGAGAAAATTCTGTGGACATATATGCAGATTTGTTGGAAGACAACATTCCTACAGAAACCCAAGAACCAGTGCCTCTTGAGAAGGTATATTGTATTGCATATAAAATTTATTTAAATTGGAATTGTTTGAATCTTTGTAATATGCAAAGTTTAATATTTGATCATGTGTGTTGATTGTGCACATTGTAATGAATGGATGTAAAAAATTACTGAGATTGATTATTTTTTAAACATTTTAAAAGAAAAGACATATGTATGCATTATGAACTTTTGTCAAAATAAACATAGTAAGAAAGAGCATGGATTGATATACCAGTATGTAATTTAAGGAAAAAAATATTGAAAAAATGATGATTAAAAAAATCAGTATTTACCAGATATAATAATTAGAACCTTCAGATCCTGTTTTGTATAACAGTCTTGTCCTACTTCCTAGGTCCCTACAGTGGCGTGCAGTATTTTGTATAACACTCTTATCTTACTTCCTAGATTCCTACAGTGGCGTGCATTATTTTGTATAACACTCATATTTTACTTCCTAGATTCCTACAGTGGTGTGCAGTATTTTGTATAACACTCTTATCTTACTTCCTAGATTCCTACAGTGGCGTGCAGTATTTTGTATAACACTCTTATCTTACTTCCTAGATTCCTAGTGGCGTGCAGTATTTTGTATAACACTCTTATCTTACTTCCTAGATTCCTACAGTGGCGTGCAGTATTTTGTATAACACTCATATCTTACTTCCTAGATTCCTACAGTGGCGTGCAGTATTTTGTATAACACTCTTATCTTACTTCCTAGATTCCTACAGTGGCTGCAGCATTTTGTATAACACTCATATCTTACTTCCTAGATTCCTACAGTGGCGTGCAGTATTTTGTATAACACTCATATCTTGCTTCCTAGATCCCTACATTGGCGTGCATTATTTTGTATAACACTCATATCTTACTTCCTAGGTCCCTACAGTCACGTGCAGTGTATCTGAGACTGCTGTTGGCTCTGTAGATGAATCAAGTCGACTTACAGCTTTGGACCTCTATGATGACTTGATAACAGATGAGGGTGTACAAAACCAAGTCTCATTCCAAGAGGTACACTTCTTTAGCTATTCAGGGCTCAGCATTAACATTTGTCCACTTGTCCAGTGGATATATTTCACAGGCAGGTGCTTATTGCTGGGCACTTGTCTAATTGGACAAGTGATTTTTCTATGAAGAATTTTTTTTTTTAATAGTTGAAAATGAAAAAAAATAATTTTCTATGAAGAATATTTTTTAATAGTTGAAAATGAAAAAATAAAATCTTTTGTCAACTTTTTACTGGGAGTTCAAAATCAAAAGCATGCAGTGTGTAATTAGTTAACTTTGAGCCAGATCGTAAAAATGCTGCTCAGTCATCGAATGCGAGATCGATGTTACTACGGTGGCAGTACTTTTGATTCTAGTTGCATGGATCTAACGAAATTGGGGCTTTTAACATAGGGTAGGAAAGCTGTAACAAAAGAAGACCAGGAAGGGTAATATAAAGGATTAGAGAAAGAAGGCAAATAAACATTTGACAGATTTCTTTTTTCATATTTTTGTTGCAATTTTTCTATTATATTTATGAAGCATTTACCACTACTTAAGACAGGAGGATACAATTTAGTTCAATTATTTGCAATATGTGTCAGAAACTCATAAAAAGAACTCAGTGAATATATTTTATTATATGATTGAATAATTCCAATCTCTCTGATTGGCTGAGATCCAACAATGTAAGAAAAATACTATGTTATATTGACCTGCATGTGGCTTTCCAGGTCAATATAAGGAATTATTTCCAGGTCAATATAAGGAATTATTTATTGTACATTGGACTAAAAATAGATAATCATATAATAAAACAGTTATTGCTGTTTCTTGAGGTCAATATGATGATTTAGACACCTGAGAAGTACAATATTCACCGAGCCCGAAGGGCAATAATTATAAAATAGTCGCTTGTCTGAGTCCACAAGCAAGAAAAAACATTTATATAGAGCCCTGCCATTAACTTATACACATTGGTTAGAGGAATTGTACTGTGTTTTAAATTTCTGACTGACCCTCCCTATAATCTTGAATGCCAATTTATAATATTTATTTATAAAAAATATCATATCAAATTTCATACGAATATTATACATATCATTGAGACAAATTCGACTGTGTTGTAATTTCCTGACCTTGACCTTCCCAATGACTTTACATCTTGCTCTTTTTTACACAGAAAAGTCTTTGTGAGAATAGTACATTGTACCATATCTACTTATAAATTTTCTTTATATAGAGAGAATGAACTTAAAGCAATGAAATTTTTCATTATAGCTGTTAGATTGATGGAATAAATAAACAGTACATACCGTGCTACTTTACATGTAGTTAACAACTGTACTAAAGGTATCAGTTCCACATAAATGTATATGAAAAGATGTGACAATTATTCTTTCTTTTAACGTAATCTTCTTTTAGCTCAGAGGTTAGAAGCAACTTACATTTCTTTGAATGATACAATAAATATGTACTATTGGCAGGACATTCATGCCCTATTGAATTTATTTTTATTTGTTTTATAGACCATAACAGGATAGTATATACTTTTTTCAATCACTACAGATGATTTTATAATTTGATTCTTTAGTTGAGTGACCGGTATCAGAGAGCTTTGAACACAGTCAGTGATTTGGAGCAACAGCTACAGACAGCTAGGAATCATGAGAGATTTTACTCAGAGAAGAGCAAGACACTGGAGAAAAATATCTCCCTGCTGTATGTCACAGCGAAAGCAGAGTTACAGAGGAAAGACACACAGATTGAGGAATTAAGGTATTCAGGTTTGACCTGACATGTATTATCTAGAGATAGAGTTAAATTTAAGGAGAATTGAAAAAAAAATCATTGATTGAGTTTCCCCAAGGAGATCAAGCAGCATTATTTTAATCCTAAAGCATATGATTTTGAGAATAAAGATAATTGAGTTTTTATTAGACTAGCTGAAATTTTTATTTTGGTCAAAATTTTTTTTTTTATAATGGCGAGACATTATCCAAGAAGTTATTGCACTTAACACAAATGTTAGTTATCAGTCAACAGTGAATGGTTTACACAATACTCAGATGACTAAAGGTCAAAGGCTTTTTTATCTAGAGAAAGTAGCTTCCATATCTCAAAATATATTTTAAATATCTACATTTATTAGGGCCCTGCATAAAAATTTTGGAGCCCTATAGGAATCACATTGTCCATTTGTCTTTCAACACTTATGTTGTTACATGATAACACAAAAGGTTTTCAACAAAATGTTTTCAAATTTTGTACTTTACTATTAGACCAAGATACCTATAGAATTTAGGGTCAGGCCAAAATAAAATTATTGTTTGTTTGGAATTGCCTCCCACCTCATTGAAATGACTCCTCCTGGAAAAATTTTATTGACCAAAAATAAGAATGATTTTTTTTTTATTCAATAAATTCTTGGCCTGTTACCACATGTGCCACCCAACCACTTAATAAGTGTAGGATCTAGGCAAAACTGGTTGATGGGAGATACCCTTTACAAAAAGGCAGAAAATAATGTGTTCATTCCTTATAAAGATTTTTATCATCAATTTTTAATTTAACTTTAATTTTGAAAAAAAATAATTTCCCTCCCTCCCTCCTGGATCTGAAACCTCCCAGGTGGCAATTCCAAACAAACAATTTTTTAAGGATGGTCTCATATAACTTGATATATTTATATTATTCAACAACAGTATATACAGTAAAACTTGTTGAATCCGGATGTTGTGCATTCCGGCATGTTGTTCAGTCTGGTGTAATATTTTAGTCCCTTGAATTTTCTTTATAATTTATGTTTAATAAATGTTGTTCAATCGGGATCTTGCTTATTCTGTAAACTGGCCACTATTTAAAGAACTAACTGCTCATAATTAGTACAAATTATCTCCTCTAATCCAGCCACTTATTTTTACCTGTGATTATTGTCCCGTTAATGATCTATCCTGTATCGACTGTTTAGAATTTAACAAACGTGATAAAAAAATCATTAATGGCTCAAGTAAGGCGAGGAAACTCACAAAAGAACGAGTGATAGTGATGGTTGCGTGTAGCATGTCTTTTGAAAAAAAAATTTGGGAGACTTATTCATGACCTTCTTTCTAATTTCGTTTTGCGTGCACCACATGCAATTCCAATTACTTCCCTTTGTGTTGCTAGTTTACAGCGACCATAACAACAGAAGATTTTGGTCCAGTATTCATTATACCATTTGAAATTAACAAATACAGTGTCTAAATATTCAAACATATCAATTTTAAAAGAAAGAAATGAATTAGGAATCTGTCCCTAACAAAATAATATTTACAGCTTTGATGAGGTTTTGGAGTGTGTTTAAGGACGTACAACACACCCACCACCAAAAAATTCCTGTCGTTTAATTTTCACTAATTTTGTATATTTTATACGTGACTATATATACAATGCGTATGCACATTTTGGACAAAATCGTTCGAGTTGTATTTGGACAGGAAGTTCCATAAGTAACCCCCCTTTGGTTGTTCACGTGGGGAATAAATTTTCGATCGGCTAGCTATAAAATCCCTGATTTTCAAAAAAGTCCAGCTAGTCTGGCTGTCAAATTTCATCGACTCATTCATTTAACCATTAACCACACAAATAAAGTATTTTTGTAGAGGTACACATCGCCAAAATATTTTTTGAAGAACTTAAACAGAAAAACTATGGTTCATTTAAGCCTTGAAAAATGCGTATTTTTCAATTATAATATTTTTTTACAAAAAAACCTATCGTTTAAATTTGTAAAAAATACGTTTTTCGTGTAACTGGTTACAAAAGTAATCTTGATAATTTTTTGTAATTTTTTTAAACGAGCCATTTTGAATTTATAGCGAAAAATCACCCCCCCCCCCCCCCCTTTCTCCTTAAATCACGTTTCTCAAGGCTCTTTCAGACGTGGGACGAAAACATTGTTAGATCTACAAATACACATGAAAAATTCCAAACTAGAAAATATCTTGCTTTAAAAAAAATTATTTACATTATATATCAGAGTTTTTAAAACTTTTCAGTTCATTGAAATGCAGATGTATAGACAATTTTTGACGAAGCCCCCCCACCCCTTTTTTTTTTGTACGTAGTCATTAGAGCTTGATGAAACATAGGTTACCCTCGAGATATTTAATCTTTTAAATCGCTGAAGTACCAATTAATTAATTCATTCATGCAGATTTAAATTCTGACAACTAGAATAAGAGTTAAACTATCAACTACTAGAATAAAAGTAAATCTTATTATCTAAGGATCATATGTCCACCTGTCCAATATGTAGTCCATACACATAGCTGACATGCATTTAATTTTATACCTGCGTATGAATTCAACTTACATAGAATTTCAATTTTTTTTTCATTAAAAGTGAACGCACAATGTTGAAAATTCAACTCGTCTCTTATGTAAACAGGCTGGTAAATGTAATATATTGTTTCTTATTTATTTCAAAGAAGAGAGGGGTCTAAAAGTAACCCCCCCCCCCTTGTATGCATACTTTTGTTGCTTCTATAGATAAAATGGAAATATTCGTCTACATTAACTTAAATTTATTAAACTGTAAATTCTCCATCTATGTTTAAATTATTTATGTGTCAAAATATTCATGTACAGTGATACATGTATGTATAAAACGTTTTGTTTTGATTCGAGGAAATGCGCACTGAAATTGTTGACAGTGGTATATCATAATCTAGATGGTCGGACAAGGCCAGTTTGTCGCATATAAGATATTCGTGAATTCGGGCTATTTCAGTAAACAATTCTGTTACATTTTCGGTACTTACTTAGTATATATTATAGTTTTCAGTTCTTGAGTTCATCAGAATTCACTGTTCGACAAACAGGAGGAAATAACTCAACTAGGGGAGGGCGGAAATCTCCCACATATTTAGAGTTGTTCCTCTTTGATCAGTGAACTTTTGGAAACGGGTTGTAAAACATTTGTTTTCTTAAAAGGAGAACAAAACAGTATTTATATGGCTAATTCTTAATTTGAAGATAGGCCCGTGATCTGTTAATGTGAATGTTACATAGCTACATGTAACTGTAACGAAAGAAAGCAATGTATCATAAAAAGATAAAGAATATTGTTATGCTAATATTAATATTAATAATAATCACGGATACGAGTTTCATATAAAATTAAAGAAATTTTAGACATAATTTTTCTTTTCTTCCCTATTTATGGAGGAAGGGCGGGTTTTAAATCAAAAGCGCAAATAATCAAGAATACGATTTGGTATTTCTAAAGAAACCACATCAAACCCGTTTTCTTATAATTACGTCGGGGTCGATTCGGTCGTCATTTTGACGCTTTATTATAAACGTCAAATTTGACGTCAAGTTAAACGTTTAATTGAAATCGCAAGAGTTATCTCCCCAAGTGTGTTGTACGTCTTTAAAACATTTAATGATTTTCAAATTTAATGAATGACCAACAGTTTATATATTTCGTCACTGAATAAAAAACTTAAATGGAAATGAAAATTCTGAAGAACAAACAGAGTTCAAAACAAACAAAATAGATGATTTTTTCAAGTGAAATGCAAAAAATGACACATTTGATCAAGAATTTATTTACCACTCTTTGTTTATATCTATGTAATTTTTAACTTGTTATAGCAGTTCAATTTTCTCCAATCGGGATGTTGTCTAATCTGGCCAAAAATTTTGAAACCACTGGTCGGATTAGACAAGTTTTACTGTATATCCACAAACTGTATTATATCCATGACACTTTTCTTGTTATATCTCAAATAGATTTCAACGTAATGTTTTCAATTTTTTTACAGAAATACTTTACTGTAAGAGGTATACACATATAGATTTTTCTTCTGTCTGTATTTATGTTTGAATGTATATCCATGATGCTTTTGTTGTGATGCGATAATTCAAACAGTTTTCAATGTAAACATGGTAAATGTGTAAATTTATGTCTAAATATTTTTTTTCTATTGTAGAGAGAAATTGAAATATAGTAGTCTCAGATGGAAGCCAGGCTGTTTTAGGTTTCACAGAAAGGATTTTCTCTCAGAGGAAGGACATGCAAGAAGTAATGGACATAGTGCAAGTATTGGAACTAGTGAGAGAGACATTCACCGGGAGTCAAATATTTCTCCAAGGAAGAGAAAGATTGTGAGCTCATGGGATGACCTGAAAGAAAATTTTAAAAGACAGAAGAGGGATGAGCCTTGCTATGTAGCAGTTGATGCAAGTTCCTCAAAAGGATTACATATTTACTCTGAAAAATCCAGGGATGGCTTAATATCTGCTAGAAAACTGGTGGAGAAAAGCATAAAAGATTTAAGAAATAGAAGATCCAATGAGTATAAAAGGTCCACAAAGGAACAGTCAGAATCTGTGATGGAAGGAGACCTTCCTGTAGAAGGTAACTGTAATGTGATCTCAAAGTCTGATCCATCTGGCAGTCTAACTACTTCACAGCGCAATGAAAACAGAAGTGAATCCAAAAAGATGAGTGGAACTGAAGACAATAAAAGTGTTCTCACTTTCAAAGGTTTAATTGACAGCCACACAGAACATGCAGAAGTGGAAAAATCAAAGAGAGAAAAATTATCAAGTGAACAAGTAATTGACAGTCACACAGAAGAGGTAAAAACACACGTTGAAAAATTATCAAGTGAAGAAGTGTGCCAAACTCCCGATTCACCAAGTGGTGGAGTTGGTCAGTTAATATCAAAGGACAAGTACAAAGAACATTCTCCATGTAGATCAAGGAAAGAAACAAGTAGTGTTAAAGACAAGCACAGAATGTATTCTGAGAAAAAGAAATCTAGCAAGTCTGAGAGACCAAGTCATGCAAGACGAAAATTGGATGAGAAAGAAATTACTGCTACAAGCCAAAGTAAAGTTTCTAGTATAAGTGCTGATTCTTCCCGTAGACGAACATCTGAGCATTCAGGGAGAAATTCCAGGATTGTGAAAGACAATGAACTCAAGAGGGATACAGAAGAGAGAGCAAAGAGTAATGATTTGAGATTTAAGCTACAACAGAAGAAAAGACTCAGATCAAGTGAAAGGAGGCAGAAAACATCACCAGACAATAAAAAGAAAGAGATTCCTACAGAACAAAAAGATACAAAGAATATCAAGCGATATAAATTGGACAGAACTGAATCCGAACAAAAGGATAAGTTTCTTGAAAGATTTCCCAACAGGAAGCCATCATCACAAAAATCTGATGAGATACAAGTGCAGGAAAAACCTCAGGACTCAACATCAGATATTGAGAAGGTGTGGTCGTTGGTCAGTTCAGAATCATCAGAATACTTACAAAAATCTAGCAGTAATAACTTCCAAAATGTTTCAGATAAAAAAGAATCTGAGTCAACAGATCATAAAGCAGAGAGGTATCCTGATACATCGTGGAATAAAAAGAAACCTTTAACTCCGAAACAAAGCAGTAGACGTTTTGATAAAGTGAATATTTCAGAGGTATCAAATGTTGAAGAAGCCATGATCAGAGTGAATGAAGAGAAAATTTCAATGTATAGTAAAGCATCAAACAAGGAAGTAGAGGCATTGTCAAACAAGCCTCTCAGTGCTTTGAATAAAGATATTTCTCAGGCAGACAGAGAGGATCCTACAGAGGGTCTTTCATTGAATAAATCTCAGGGAGAAAATAATCCTGGTGAAATAATCCAGGCAAGTTCAGAAAAGAGAAACTCAAAATTACCACCAAGAAGCCAAGACAATAAATATTGTACTGCAGATGGCAAAGATGCAGCCAATGTTTTCATTGAAGAGTTGATATCAATAGACCAAAGAAATGAGAATTTTTTCTCTGGTGAAAAAGATCATGATCTTGGTGCCACACCAAGTAAATCAGTTTCTCCAGAACATAGTGTAGAAAATGAAAGTAAAAATGAGGAATGTTACAAAAAATCCTTAACAGATGTGCATGAAAGTAGTTTAAGCTGTTTTGATATTAAAATCCATGTGTCTGAAACAGAATTGAATGACTTGCTTGGAAATGAAGATAGCTTAAGTGGGGGTGTTATGTCAAAACAACCTAGTCATCAGAAAAAAGAAATTGTAAAAGATTTGAAGGTTTCATCAAGAGATCAGTCAAAATATTCAAGCCGTATGGACGCTTCCAGGAATAATAAAAATAAAATTAATACTACAGAAAAAGAAGGTAACAGGTCCTTAAGTCAAGGAAATGAGCCTGGAAGATCAAAGGCAGTTCTGAAGCTTCCACTTGGTCCAAAGCAGGTATTTTCAGAGAGTATTGTATTTGAAAACACCCAAAAACCAAAAGTCTTGAGTGAGAAAGTATTTACATCGTGTAAAGGCACAAAAATAGTAATGAAATCTGAAGCTTTGAAGGCAGAAGAAAAAAAACCTGTATCTAAGAACAGTCTGTCCAAGAAAGAATACGATGCTGATCGTGAATTCCTCAATCAATTGAAGACAAAGTATTCAAAAGAGCAATCAAAGATATGCCAAAAATCAAAAGATGGATTAAAAAATAACCAACCAGATACTGTTGAGCTATCAAAGATGTGTATAAAACAGAAAGATGACTTGAAAGTTAGCGAAGTTGATACTGGCAGTGAAATTAAAGAGAAATCAGGGTTTCCAAAGATCTACAGTGCAGGTATTGTAGAAAATACTGAGAAGCATAGAGATAGTGCTGATAAAATTAAAGACAGCAAGACTTCACTTAGCACATGTACATTTGAACATCAAGATCAAGGTCTTAATCAGAATATATTAAGTTCTAATGAAAAATGTGAAGAAGAGAACAAAATTATTTGTGATGAGGAAAATATTTCAAACAATGAGGGGGATAATAGTGTTGAAGAAGGAGTGGTTACAAAAGAGCAAAATTGTACCAAATCAAAAGAAAGCTTGAATTTGGGGGATATTACTGAAACATTAAATGAAAAGTCGATGGCTGAAGTAACTAAATCATTCTTAGGTGAGAACTCTAGTTCTACGAAAGCAAATGATCTGGATAACATTTCTCTGGAAAATTATAAGGCAAGTGAAAGTACTCCAATTACAGGTATGGGTATTGATGACCATAGTTTCAGAGAGACAATAAAGGAAAAGGCTGTTGCACTGGAACATCCCCCAGTTTTGAGTTCTGCAGTGTCCATTGATTTCATACGTAACAGCATCATAAAAAAGATTGAAGAAAAGAGTCAAATGTGTGATGATACCAGTACTGTAAGCAAAAGTGTATCATTTATCACTAACAAAGTAACAGATAATGGATTACAAGAACAAGCCCCTGAAAAAACTATGCCTGTCGAAAATTTAGTGATTACAAATACTGTGGAACTAAATGATAGTAAAGTGAGTCAGGAACAGGATGTGAAATCCTTTACAATGCCAACTTCACCGGTCAGACAAAAAATGGATAACATATGCAGAGAAGTGCTCACAGAGACTGAAAGTATTACTGAGTTTTTTGATGACGAAAGTCAACTAGATTTAAAAAGTGCTGTTTCTTTACGAGCTAAGGATGGGATCAATGTAAGAAGACAGTCGTTCGAAAAACAAAATGAAGATAAAGAATCTGATGAAAATAATTGCTCACCAGTGGAGGAAATGAACTTTGATGTTGTTGAGGCATTTGAAACAGAAAACAATACTGGGACACCTTTAAGGGACAGTGAACCAGAAGAAGGTGAAGTACATTCCTCAGATAGTGAAAATGAAGATCAAAAAGGTAAGGAAAAAGTAATGGGAGCGAAAAAATTCAGAAGTCTTTCAAATGCAAGTGATAAAGAACCAGGCAGCAGAAACCGACATTCTTCAAGTCACAGATCAAAGTCAGAATCAAAAGAGAAATATAAGAAGGACAGAGTCGAAGATAACTCAAGAAGATCTGGTTCTGAAGCAGAAAGGTCTCTGAAACCAAAAACACCAAGAAGAGACTCTGAAAGAAAATACGACCCAAAGCAGGATAGAAAAGACAGAGAATCGAGGTCAAAAGAAAAGTCATCCTCTTTTAGTAGCAGTAGAGAAAGAAAAATTGATGATCGAAGGAGAGAAAATGATTCAAAACATTTAATATCAGGTAGACACAGCAGGACAAGAGTGGAAGAAGTGAATCGGCACAAAAGTTCGGAAACAATTTCAGACAAACGTGAAAAATCACGACGTGATGCTACAGAGACAAAAGGAGATCGACATTCCAGATCCCGCCATAACAGTGTAGAAACAAAATCAGACAGACATCCCAGAAAGCTCCATGACAGCTCAGATACAAAGTCTATGCATAGGAGTTCAAGTAGATTGTCTCGAGACAGCCATAAATCGTCAACAAAGAGAAAGTGATTTTTCTTAAGAAAGTTCTGAGATGTTAATATATGTACAGAGATTCACATTGTAAAATATGTTTATACTAATATTATGTGTGAAAAATATTTTTGATAATATTATGTACTTGTGCACACTGAAATCCAGTTATGCAACATTTATCAGGACTTTTCATGAATTATTATAATATTTTCAAGCTCAGAAGTCAATCATCAATCTGCATATCATCAGTATTCATAACCAATGATAATGATTTTTTTCCTATTCAAAGCATTCGGTATAATTCTACTGATGCGAAATAAAAATAAAGATTTAAGAAATACATCTTCAGTATACTTGAATAATCTGCAGGACTTCAGCAATTTAAGAATTATGAGGAAATGATAGTTTTATGTTATGTGTAGAGTTAATTGCAGTTTTTGGGAATTATAAAATTGATGTTAGTCTCTATTGTAGAGGACATACCTCTTATAGCACATTTAAAAACCATACATTTGGTAAATGGACCTGGTAGATAAAAATTAGGTGTCACTGAATCAAGTTACTAGACGTTTTTTGAAATTGTAAGGTAGTAGTATTTGAGTCAAATATTCTAAGCAATGAGAGTACTTTTTTGGGTGCCTCTCGGACGTAGTTTAATCAACAATGGCCTACAACCATGCCAAATGGTAAATCAAATTGAGTATCGATGTTAAAGCTGAACACTACTCGCAAAAGGCATGATTGTCCGCCATATATCTTTCATCGTCGCTATCCCTTCAATCCCTACATTAGCTGCAGACCTTTTAACAATTCAAATAATTTGCTGTAGAGGTTTCACCGTGGACGGTCATATAATTAAAGCTGAACACGACCCGTAAATAGGCATACGCAATATTAGTTTTCCTATCGATCCCTATATCAGCACGGGGGTATATAAACCCTTCGAATTCGTTACACCTGATTGTGGTCGCTGCGGCGTGTGGTAAATGTATATCTCTTCCTAGGAGAGTCCTATTTTGCGGAGTAAAAATTTTTGAAAAATAATAGAAAAAAAATCCTTTAAGAGGATGATAGATTAAAAATAAGTCGTTTTTACTGATAATTTACCAAGCGTTGACAGATGTGTATGTGGGAGCTAGGGGGAACGATAACTCTGGATAAATTCGTCGAATCTATTTGATACATTCATTGGAAAGATGATCTGTATTTTATTTTTAATGTTTGTTTAAAAATTCAGGAGATAGCACAAAGAAACAGCATAATTGACTCATGAAATCTAGGATACTTAATTAGTAATTGTAAAATGCAAGTAAAATTAACATTGATCTTCAAATAAAAAATAGAGGATATTCAATGTTTTGTAGATGAATATGGAATTTATTTCACGAGTGGGACAGGATTTTTTGATATTTTCACGAGTGCGAAGCACGAGTGAAAATATCAAAAAATCCTGTCTCACGAGTGAAATAAATTCCATATTCATCTACAAAACATTGAATTTTCTGTTTATTACATTTTCTTTGATTTTCCCTTTGCCTCTGTCTTTTCTTAACACAGTGTCATAGGCCTGACGTCATAGTTGAGCGGTTGAGACGTCATAGCGTAGAAGTTGTGTGTCAGATTGAAAAAATTACATAGCATGGATTTTAGCAACATATTTAGGAAGAAATTTGCAGTTTTAGCTCTATCAAGGTGCTTAGTTACTATCTCTAAAGAAGGGCAGAAATTATTTTTTTACTTTGATATCCTTTCACACTGTGAGAGAATATCATTTTTGGTATCCTTTCACACTGTGAGAGAATATCACTTTTATTTAATGAATAAATCACAGTATTTCACTGTTGAAAATGTAATAAAAAACAATATCACTAGATTATAAAAAGAAATTCTAGTACCGGTAATTAAGGTAAATCGCATATACTGATATTGGTTTTGTTGTAAATAGCATTTCTTCAAACAGTTTTTTCGTTGAATACTACGTAGAAGAAAACAAGGCAAACAGTTTGTGAACAAAGGATAATTTATTAGAGAATTGTATATCTAATTCCTGTTACACAAAATACATGTACGTGTACATGTATGCCGGATTAAAAAAAATGCAGTGAAGACAGTCATTCCTTTTATTAATTATGAATAATTACGTGAGCAATATATAGTCATGTTCATTACTATGCAATTTTTTTTTCGGAAGCTTTAATTCCGGGCATACTAAGTAATTGAAAAGATAAATAATAAAAATGTACGTATTTTTACCATAATACCAGATACAGGAGCATTAATTTGATTTGCATGAACAAATTCAATTTTAACCCATTACATTTTAGACAAAATCTCTGACAAACGAGTGAGTTTTTTCCCCTCAAAATGTTATCAATATATTAAAAACTGATCTAGAAATTACTTTCATAACAATTTTGTAGACAAAGTGAATTCAGTTTCCTTAAAAATCAAGGTTACAGGAGGAAGCCAGAGAAGGTTGTAATGGGAACTCCCTCGGTGTTGTAGCCTCTACCAGCATATGCTCTGGCCCACACCGCGTCCCTCTGTTTAAGGAGGTTGGATCCTGACATCAAAAGTAATGAGAATTTTTTATCAAGTATATTTTTAGAATTTATACATATAGCTTAATTAAAAATCAAAACAAAAAAATGGGGTCAATGCGCTTCTTTTGGCGCTACAGAGCATTTAGTTTGACCTTTTTGCACTGTAAAAACGTCTTACACATAAATCAATTTTTAAGTTTTTCCTCCGATATTTTTTATTCAAATAAGTTTTGGGAACAAACACAGTCTTATTTCATCTTGAATAGACCCATTAAAATTTTTGACAACAAATTTTTTTTTAATTACTCCGCACGTTCAATTATTTGACCTTTTTGCACTCAAAAAATTTCATTTTGCTAGCATTACAAATTTAACAAGCAAAAAACTCATTTAAAAGTAATGACATTTTACTGAATTTAAGAAGAATGGTTAAAAGTATCTTGTATATTCAGAAAAGAAAGTTAAAAGTGGGGGTCTGTGATGTTAATTTTTAGATATTACTAAAATAGTGCTAATTTTGAGCTTAAATTAGGGTTATTTTTTTCTTGATTTTCACAATATATTTGATCTATTTATCAAATATAATGATTGAATTCATGACAGTTTATTAAATATATAATTTAGGACCAGTATAAAACAGTTCACTGCTCAAAATAATTCTGTGTGCAGACTGCATGTAAAAATAGGAATCCAAACTTAACATACTTTAAATACTTCGAAAGAGAAAAAATGATCATTTTCTTCTAAAAAACCTTCCGCCACAAAATATAGTTCCTCACTTAATGCTTTTGGTATGGAATTTAATCATGGAGTTTTAACTGAATATAGTTTAATTGGCATTGTAGAATCCAAACTTATTGTAAGAATTAAAACATTACGCAAATTTTTTTAAATATAGGTTAAAATAAAAATCTGCTCAAAAGCTCAGGAGCGAACCTCGTTAAGCTGCAGAAAAACCATGTTTACTCCCGTTTGATACGCTGAGCCTGACGATCCCAAGGTTCTTACTTTCGAAACCCCATTCATAACAATGTCTACCTTACTATGCTGTCTATTGTACTCGGAAACAGCAAGGAAGAAGATATAATCTCCATCAATTGGGGCAGTGAAGATACCGGTTGTCGGATTGTATCCACCACCAACATTGTTAATGACCGAGGGAAATATCAATGCTCCACTGTTCCAGCCACCATTGGAAAACGTCACTCCAACAGTAAAAGCCACTTTCTTCTGCCGACCTAATAATGAGATGAATGAAATCAATTCTTGAAACTAAAAAAGACCTAAGTATGACTGTGTTCTCGATTTTACATTTAAAAAATGAATGTAATATTTTTTTCTTTGACCGACGTATCAAAGAAAAAATTTGGACGGAAAACGTCATCAATGCGCGTAGCGCATTGATGAAAACGTTTTCTGTCCAAATTTTTTCTTTGATACGTCGGTCAAAGAAAAAAATATTACTTTCATTTCTTATCATTTTATTATGATTTTAAAATAATAAAATGAAACTTTCCTTAAGAAATGAATGTAATATTTTTTTCTTTGACCGACGTATCAAAGAAAAAATTTGGACGGAAAACGTCATCAATGCGCGTAGCGCATTGATGAAAACGTTTTCTGTCCAAATTTTTTCTTTGATACGTCGGTCAAAAAAAAAAAAATTACTTTCATTTCTTATCATTTAATTATGATTTTAAAATAATAAAATGAAACTTTCCTTCAGTTTACTATTAAATTTACGCATCAAAAACAGTGCGTAGGAATATATCAGAACAATGTTGCTGAAATTCAAAATGGCTATCTAGGCCTAACGAAGAAAAAACGTTCTCAAATATTGTCTTGTCACTACCAATCTTTTCTAACAATGATTAACAGTTCTTTAATTAACACAAAAAACTTACCTGTTGTGTTATCATTTTTTTGCTATATCCCAATGGGTATATTTCCCCCGGTAACCTATCTAGGTTCTTAAATTTAAAGGGATACTACTGGGATATCTTAACAACTCTTTCTATAGGTCACAGAAATTTTGGATTTCATTTGCGCATCTCTTCATCTGAATTTCAAACCGAACATATAAATATGTATCACAACCTGTCCATGCTGTAAAATCTGAAAGAGTCTGTTGCCTACTGTTTAACATTGAAAGAATTCCGTCCTCATTCATGCAGTGTCGTTTTTCTCGATCATTCGGTTCCTAACGGCATTTCCCCGCTTTGGTAGCATGAAAACATTTCTTCACAGTTCTATTGTTCATACCAGTTATCTCAAAGTCAAACATTTAACATTGGTATGCTGATTTCTTTCCTTCTTTCCCATTACTGTATTGTTGTCATGCAGACGATCTGATTTGTTTAGCAAAGGGGGATAATTCAAAAAGAAACGAAAGTAGAAAATAAGTCAGGAACGCAACGGACAAGTTTCGAAATTCAGGAAAATATCTATTAGAGAAAAAGTATTTAATTGTTCCTTCATGAACTTCTGGAAGCGGGAAATATACATGTAAAGACAGACAAAGTAGTTCCGGCTACTAAGTGCAAGCGAACTCCAAATTCTATTGATGCGGTTATCAAAAGAATTTTTTATCCAATCAGAATCAATTATTTTATAGAAATTAAATGATTTCAGTTTACTATTAAATTTACGCATCAAAAACAGTGCGTAGGAATATATCAGAACAATGTTGCTGAAATTCAAAATGGCTATCTAGGCCTAACGAAGAAAAAACGTTCTCAAATATTGTCTTGTCACTACCAACCTTTTCTAACAATGATTAACAGTTCTTTAATTAACACAAAAAACTTACCTGTTGTGTTATCATTTTTTTGCTATATCCCAATGGGTATATTTCCCCCGGTAACCTATCTAGGTTCGTAAATTTAACCCTCTTAGTGCCATTTATAATAGAATTACGTTATGACGTCGCTAGTACGTCATAGTAGTCTGTACGTTCTGCGTACCGAAATACCTTAACGTAACAGACAATTATTTCGATGTTCTTGAACAAATTCTTTTTATAAGGAGCGAATCCGGATTTGCACACCCCTTCCTGAATTTTGCAACCTGATCCTCATACATAGATCATTTTATTCATTCCACAAATAATTTAACAAAAAGGAATTTAATAATTTCTTATTCCCGTTTTATAAAAGACTAAAACTAATAAAGCTGATTGTAAAATCTTGCAAGTGCGATAAAATTTGCTTGCATAAAATTTATTTCAAAATATGAAAAAAAGTAACTTTCAAATGTGACGGAAAAAAAATATCTGGAATAAAATTCCAGTACATTTATTATATAATTATGTAGTTTGCTAAAGTTATAAAAATTATATAGTACCAGAGAAATCCCGGCAACTGCAATTAAGTAAAAAAAAAGTGAAGAACAAGTCGTTTTAAATTAATAGGGTATTCCTTGTATCGAGTAGTGAAGTGGCGTTTTTTGTAATGAATTGTCTCCCTGTGGAGGGCGTGGTTTATGTACGCAGTAGTGTAACAAACGCCTTCCAACCAATCAGATTCGACTAATGAACATGAAAGTATAATAAAAATTAAATTGTCAAAATTTTGGAAATATTACAATACCTTCGCTAAATAGTTCATCCTTGATTTTTTTTTTAATTTAAAACTAAGTTACGTGAAAAAAGTAACTGAGAAATCAAACCAAATACAAGTACGTAGTAAATGAATATGACTAAAACTCATTATTATATATTCCATGTAAAAATAATTTTATTCTTCATAATTAATAAGAGTGTGGAATTTCCTGAAACAATTTCCAACACACAACCCGACGGAACAATCAGGGCACCAAGTACGGATCCTTGTTCCGGCAAAGTTCCCTCTTTTTCCTGAACAAACAGCACATTTCATTCGCTTCTTTTCAGGGATCCAGTCTATGAAATGTTTGGCAGACAATCTAGCACATCTCAGTACACCAAGTCGTCCCCGTCTTGATCTTCCTTCCCTAAAATTTCCCAAAAGTCCCTTTATTATCTCTTTCTGAAATTGTAAGTGGTCCATTTTCTTCTGTATCACGAAGGAGGACTTGTAACATATATAGGCATTGACTGAAAGAGATAACGGATTGTTAAATAATACATAATAGCATTAATACGTGTTGCACATGCTTGTATTTTTGAGTCCTATATATATTCGCGAGAAGTAATTTAAAGTCAAGAAATGTTGCAAAATATGTATTACCTGCAGCCATCATCAAGAAACTGAACAGAATTTTCTTCCATAGTTTGAGACTACGAAACTGAGGTTCATACTGTGTAAGAAGCTGGTCACCTAGATCTACTCCGCCCATTGTTTCGTTATACTTGTGCACAACTCCTGGTGCTTTAACAATTTTTCCTTTGGTGTTAGCTTTTCGCATCATTCTAAATATGAAATGTGACATCATTAAATGCAGTCAACAATTTTAGAGTATTATGATAATATTATGTGATAAATCTACCTGGAACTTCCTGTAGTGCTGAGGAGAGTCACCTGTCGCCGATCACTGTACAGAACTGCCATCAAAGGACCTTGCGACTTCACAATCATGTCTCCCTTGGGCAAGCGGGTAGTTTTAAAACTAACTGGCATTCCCTTCCTCGAAGTAATAACTGTACCTGTGCCAAAAACTCCCCTGTCCCTTAAATCATGCAGAAGTTTGGGACTGGTAAACCAGCTGTCAATGGTCACGTGGTGTAGGTTACCAAAATGTGGTCTCATTAAATCCATTACGACTTTATATCTGAAATGATTTTGATAGTTATTTTTTTATGAACTAAACGAGTTATTTTCAAAATTCTAATACAACTGCACAGATCTAATTCTGCACTTAAAAATTATAGTTGAAATGACTTCGCAAGTGCTTGTGGTCAGCCCCCCCAGCCCCCTCCCCCCCTTTAAAGTCGATATGCACACCCAGGCTTAGGGACTGTTTTCAAAAAAGTGTTTAAAACTTATAGAGCATGTAAGTCACCCCTCTCCTTCCTATAGTGTGGACGGGTTGTATATGTATTAACAAGAATGATTTGATATTTTAACACTATAGAATTTACTTTTGAAGAAGAATAGTGTGATTAGAGTGGAATGTAGGGACAGCATGGTTAAAGACAATACCGAAACAAAATATGATGATACATTAAAATTTTGATGACATAAAGTATAGGTATCCATGATTTTTAAGGTCCGATATCCTAAAGGGGGAAGGGGGGGGGTTAATGTAAATAAAAACCAAAGTGACTTTTCTGTTCTATTTCATAATACAATAGGAGTATTTTTAATTTTAATTTTTTGTTGGAGTTCTTTCTATATGTTGGATATTGTAAAATGTTTAATATAAAAATGTTGTATGAAATAAAACATTTAAAAAAAAATACCAAGGTTTGGGGTGTATATATTTTGGAGGGGGGGGGGGGGTGTCTACATGTAGTGAATTTGTTGTTTTAGTTGATAATCTCTTTATGTTTGTGCAAGTTTCTTTCTCATTCCAATAATTAAGAAATGACTTTTGATGAAATATACCGAGCGATTTGCTTAAAAATAATTCCGATTGTATGTTATATTATTTTTTATAACATGATTGCGGAAGGAGTCCATACTTTATTTGTAAAAATTTGCAAACCTACCTCACCCACTTTACTTCATTGAACGTATCTACTAATTATTTTTTCGAGTTTATTAATTCCCCTTCATTATTAGCTACCATTTTGACACACATAGTTGTAATCATAGCTCTTTTGAATACTATTATTTGTTAAAATTAAAATATAAACTTCATATATATGCCATAATGAAAATACGATCATTTTACTAGTATTCAGACTTAGTATACACATCTATTAAATTAACACACCCTTGGCCAAGTGGATGATTCGGGCTGTTGTGTTTTCCCTGATAAATTTGGACATGATGTGTGTAACCGGTGTGCGACTCGGCTAACACCCAGGCCTTCACTCCCCATCTATGTGCCTTCTTGTTGGCAATATACTGCTTCAGGAAATGTCTGCCCTTGAATCCGATAATCCGTTCATCAATACAAACATTCTGTGAAAGCCTATCATAAAGACGGAACATTTAACAAGAGACAAAAAAAATTATATGAACAATGATAATAAATATGACACACAACTGATTATGAATTTCGGTATATATATATTTTTTTATAATTTCTACATGTATATGCATGTATAAAGTTTTGCATTTGTGCAAAAACCAATATAGATTTCTTATTAATTCTGCAAAACGAAATGCTCCTTAATAATTCTAGGCAATACATACATGTACATGTATGTTAAAAAGACATCGGATGGATGAATGAAAAAAAAATTCAATAATTATTCAAAATTAATACAGTGTATGTATCATTACTGTTCTGCATTCGAGAATTTTACCGACTTTATAATAAAAAGGATATATTTAAAAAGACGTGGAAATTTGATTTAAATTAAAAATTTTATCAAAAACGTCAAAATGTAATTTTATTATTAGTCAAGTAAATCAAGGAATATACCTATAATTCTTTTCAAATACGTCATTAAAAAAGTCGATGATTGGTCTCACTTTATGTAGCGGGTCAAAACCTGGTAGCCCCCTTTGAACATTCAGAGCATTGTCGTTGCAATGAAGGAATCGAAGTATTGCTTGGAATCGGTTTCTGGACATTACTTGAGAAAAGTTCGGAGTCTCTGTTATAAGATCACCGGAACCTCTCTCCCAGTATGACGCATAAGTTGGTTTCCGTACGACTCCCATCGCAAATACAAGGCCAAAAAAGCGCTCATTTCATCTTTGGTAATAGGTTTCCAATTATTTTCTCTTGCAAATGGAGTCCGCTGACGGATATTCATACTTTCTTCAGCAAAGCGGTTTGTCTCTTCTACAATAATGTCCAAAATGCAGCAGTCCTCATCTTTCAAAAACTTTTCAAAATAATCGAAAGGCACCATATTGGGTTCAAAATCAACTGGTCCGTGATCAGCTGTAAAATCAGGCAGCCTTGAAATAGTGAAAGAACTTGGATCCACCACCGTAAACCATGGACCATGATTGACTCTACCGACTAGAACATCAACATTATTATCGCTGTCGGTCGCATAGCTGTCATCACTATCAGTATCAGATGACATTTTCTTTTACAACTTCTACGTAATATTTGCATATTATGACGTCATAAAACGTACAAAAATTACGTCATTTTGAGAGAACAAATTGCACTTATCATATCTCATCATTTATAAAATCTAAATCATTCATTTTAAGGAAAATAAACATTACTTTATTTTATCTTTTATTTTTAACTCCGATGCGACATATGTGTCGTTTTGGCACTCAAATGACAGGCGACCAAAACGTCCCCGTGGCATTGAACTCTCTAGCGACATACATGTCGCTGCGGCACTAAGAGGGTAGCGCATTGATGAAAACGTTTTCTGTCCAAATTTTTTCTTTGATACGTCGGTCAAAGAAAAAAATATTACTTTCATTTCTTATCATTTAATTATGATTTTAAAATAATAAAATGAAACTTTCCTTCAGTTTACTATTAAATTTACGCATCAAAAACAGTGCGTAGGAATATATCAGAACAATGTTGCTGAAATTCAAAATGGCTATCTAGGCCTAACGAAGAAAAAACGTTCTCAAATATTGTCTTGTCACTACCAATCTTTTCTAACAATGATTAACAGTTCTTTAATTAACACAAAAAACTTACCTGTTGTGTTATCATTTTTTTGCTATATCCCAATGGGTATATTTCCCCGGTAACCTATCTAGGTTCTTAAATTTAAAGGGATACTACTGGGATATCTTAACAACTCTTTCTATAGGTCACAGAAATTTTGGATTTCATTTGCGCATCTCTTCATCTGAATTTCAAACCGAACATATAAATACACCTTAAATTCTGTAAATATATTCTTGGTGTTCATAAGAAAAGTACAAATTTTGCAGTATTGTCTGAATTGGGAAGGTTCCCCCTGCATTATGATATTGTCAAATTGTTAATCAAAAGTTGGTATAGATTTGAAAATTTGTCCACAGAATTTCCTTTACTTAAAGATGCATATGAATGTAGTAAAAATCTTTATGTACATGGAAAGAACTCATGGTTCGCATTTGTACAGAAATTAAGAAATATACTGAATATCAAAGATGAAGTAATTTGTTATGGGAAGCATAAATTTAAGTCACTCTGTCATAAAACCATATTAGATTATTATATAAAAAATTGGTATACAAGTCAACAAAGTTATACTGATGGTAAATTAAGCACATATGTAAAACTCAAACAAAATTGGGGTTATGAGAATTATTTATCAGTAGTTAAAAATTTTCATCACAGAAAATCTCTATGTAAATTAAGAATTTCTTGTCACAGATTGCAAATTGAAGTGGGAAGATTTACCAACATCCCTCGTGAAGATCGATTATGCAATAGATGTAACTCTAACAGTGTAGATGATGAAACTCATTTTCTCATAACATGTAAAAAATATGATCATCAAAGAAAAGAAATTTTTCAATCAATTAAAAGTAAATTTCCCAATTTCTCGGCATTAGATGATGAACAAAAACTTTTTTGGTTACTCAATACTGAAGACAAAGAAACTCTTAATTCTGTGGGCAAATTCATAAATGATAACATGTTGTAGTAGTCATACAGTTTTATATATAGTATTCCCTTTAACTGAAATAGTACAATATTATTGTTGAAATGAGTAATGTCATTTACAAGTTGTTATACTATCCATTGGCATATCTTTTCTTTATTATTGTAATAATTTCATACTTGTCTGTTATGGGCTCTAAATTAGAAAATAAATGTTCTGTTCTGTTCTGTTCTGTTCTGTTCTGTATAAATATGTATCACAACCTGTCCATGCTGTAAAATCTGAAAGAGTCTGTTGCCTACTGTTTAACATTGAAAGAATTCCGTCCTCATTCATGCAGTGTCGTTTTTCTCGATCATTCGGTTCCTAACGGCATTTCCCCGCTTTGGTAGCATGAAAACATTTCTTCACAGTTCTATTGTTCATACCAGTTATCTCAAAGTCAAACATTTAACATTGGTATGCTGATTTCTTTCCTTCTTTCCCATTACTGTATTGTTGTCATGCAGACGATCTGATTTGTTTAGCAAAGGGGGATAATTCAAAAAGAAACGAAAGTAGAAAATAAGTCAGGAACGCAACGGACAAGTTTCGAAATTCAGGAAAATATCTATTAGAGAAAAAGTATTTAATTGTTCCTTCATGAACTTCTGGAAGCGGGAAATATACATGTAAAGACAGACAAAGTAGTTCCGGCTACTAAGTGCAAGCGAACTCCAAATTCTATTGATGCGGTTATCAAAAGAATTTTTTATCCAATCAGAATCAATTATTTTATAGAAATTAAATGATATAATAATGATGTCAATCACATTTAGCTCATGTTTCAGGCTCGTAGGAAGCAATTTCATTTGGGAGGAGGCCTTCTCGTGACCTTTTAACCTCTCTATAGGGTATCTAGAGAAAACCAATAAAAAACTTATACGGTAAGTCACATGTACCATAGCACTCTCAGATTTCCTAATACGGCAGAGAGATGATGTATAAGTTGCAGATAAATTTCCTAATATGGTTTGTCACCTGACATAATTATAATTTCACGCGCTATACACTGTGCATATATATTACATTTTATTGCACATTTTGTGCACTTGCAATCAAAAAGCGAAAATAGACAAACACAGCGCAATGAGCATGGATCTGGATTTTCTTGAACTTCCGCAAAATTTTGAATGGGACATTTCTATCGATGATCAAGCTTTCTCACAGATAGGCCAGTTGATAGAGGACGAAGTAAGCGTGTTTGATGGTATTGGGGATTTATCTCTTACTCAAGCGGATTTTAATTTGACCCAGGAGCCGGTTACACCTGAAAATGTTATACAGCAGTTAGACCATTCTGACGATCGATTTGGAAAGTTTAACGATGACGACGATATGGAAAAGCCTTCTAAAGTCTACCGAGAATAAATTAAAAGATTTAAAATTTAATTGATTTTGTATGCAATTTAAGACATGCACCGCCTATAGGTTATGAAGGCTCCGCCCATGGGTTATGGTGTAGATAACCCATAGTTAAAACAATAGAAAACATGGCTGCCTATGGTACATGAAAGACAAAAATATGTCATAATTATGGCATAAAGAAAAGAGTTTCAAAAATACCGTAAGTTGTCATATTCATTCGGAACATCTCCAGAGATGCCACTGTAGCAGATAACTTCAGTCGTTCAATCTGAGACTGCTTCAATTCAGCTTTCAGGCTCTCTATTGTAGAATTCATGTCACCTTGAAATAAATGTCGGTATATTATAATTTTTTTCTTATCCCCCCTCTCCCCATTTTCCTCTTTTTTTTACATTTAACACTCAGACCTTTTCATCTCCGAATTTTACATCTGTATTTCTTTTGTTTCATATTTACTCGAACCTCTAGTAACAATTTATAAAATGATGTAGAATGTTTTGAAATGATTTACCAAAAAATGTTGATACAGATTCAGCTTGAGACTTCTCGAGTTTGGAAACTGTCGCTTTAAGTTTGTTGTCGGTTGACAATAATTTCTTTTTGAGATTGTCTATCGAAGAATTCTCAGTTTTGAAAATCGCCATGCACCTTTCTTCGATGGAATCAGGAATATGACTTCCGACATCGCGTGTTTGTGATTTTAAATCAAGCAAGGTTACCGACATATAACGAACTTCAATTTTAATGTCCGCTATTGTATCCGAAATATTTTTCTCAAACATTTTTCGTTCATCCTCGATTTTTATTTGAAAGTCTTGATTGTTCTGCAGAATCTTTGTAATATATTCATCAATATTCTCAAGGTGTTGTTTGTGTGCATAACTTTCATTTTTCAACAAACTGTTTTCACGTTTCAATATTTTCACTACTCTTTTTAATTCATCAGCAGAAGCCTGATACTCGACAATCTTTTTTTCGGCTGCAGCGAGGTTTTGTAACGTATTTACATTAATCACAGGGATCGTACCTGGTCAATTCCAGGGTTTGGGGTGTTCAACATTAACTGATTAAAAACTGATTGGTATAATTTAAGTGGACTGCCGAAATATACAAATATGTCCTAACCTTATCTAGGTAAACAATAATCAAATGGTGAATCAATATAACAATCGGAGGCAAGCAATGGTAGTCCTAACCTAACACTAATTAAAATAGAGCCCAGTCGCCCTCAGACTACCGCATATACTGTAGGATGCCTTATTCAGGACGGACAGTATATGTGATAGCCCTTCAACCACTACACTCACTGTAGGATGCCTTATTCAGGACGGACAATGAGTATAGCAGCCTGGACGGACTGGTCAGCCAATGCAGACGAGATCCAACAAACTATGGTTAGCCTCCATACTGGAGGTCAACCTCTTTTGTGGCAGGCCTCAACTGGTTTGGCCTTCCAATTCTCTCTCTAACTGTAAAACAGGCGAGGAATATTTAATGTGAATACTTCATTCACGGCACTCGTCTTCTAACCTTGGCTGCGTCCGAAGAACAACTCCAGACGACTGCAGAGTCTCGGTATTTATACACGATTGATGTCACGTGATGTCATCAGTGACTAATTGAGAACTCTGCATGGTCGTATCTGAAAATTCCGGAATCATTACACTGCCCATGCCTCCGATGACATGCGTCCCGCATGTACAAATTTGAAACTAATTACTTCTTAAATTTAGCTGAATGTTGAATAAACAGCAAATTGATTTCAAAGTTGCAGTGTATATACAAAAAAAAAAACAAAAAAAAAACAATATATACAACTATGTACAACTAGTTCGAACCGAAGGTCAGCGGAACTCTATCTTGACTTAAAGTGCCTTACTTAAGAGTCTGTAGTTGCATCTGTCTACCGCTGGTAGATTTCCAAACACACTCTGTGCTTGACCTCTCAAAGCAACGTCTAAGTACATCCCCCTCTCAGCCAGAGTCCATCTGTTCAGTTCTGCACAGACATCAAAGTGAGACTTAAAATCAGCCCATGACGAACTTCCATCAAATTTATCTGGTTTCACCATGGCGTTTTTCCGTTTGTCAGCCTGTGTAATATTCTCAGGGCGGCGTGTTGTAATGTTTGTCTCATTCAGCAAGGGAAACTCGTGCCTGGATGTACTAGCATGGTATGGTGTGCTCGTGATAGAAATCCTTTCTGGCTCGCCATTAACAGCTCTTCTTAAATCGCTAAGATTGTCAGGCCTAGTATACATATTTGGTAGGGTGCTCGTCCTAACAGTTTTTGGTCTTGCGCCCTTACTCGTGTAATCTTGGTCATCAATGGTAGTCCGCCTACTTTCAGGCAGTCCAGAATCTCTGGCGGCTGTCCTTGCTTGACCTTTATTAATACTAGTCTGAAGCCTACTTATTTCCTGCTCTAAGGCAGTCATCTCAGCATTCATGTCACTCTCAGACATATCAATAATTTTCAAAAATAAATTACTCGTCAAAAATCAACAAAGACAAAAAGATAACATATATAAACTTTAATGATTGAATGCAACCCCAAATCCCACCGCTGACACCAAATTTTTGTAACGTATTTACATTAATCACAGAGATCGTACCTGGTCAATTCCAGGGTTTGGGGTGTTCAACATTAACTGATTAAAAACTGATTGGTATAATTTAAGTGGACTGCCGAAATATACAAATATGTCCTAACCTTATCTAGGTAAACAATAATCAAATGGTGAATCAATATAACAATCGGAGGCAAGCAATGGTAGTCCTAACCTAACACTAATTAAAATAGAGCCCAGTCGCCCTCAGACTACCGCATATACTGTAGGATGCCTTATTCAGGACGGACAGTATATGTGATAGCCCTTCAACCACTACACTCACTGTAGGATGCCTTATTCAGGACGGACAATGAGTATAGCAGCCTGGACGGACTGGTCAGCCAATGCAGACGAGATCCAACAAACTATGGTTAGCCTCCATACTGGAGGTCAACCTCGTTTGTGGCAGGCCTCAACTGGTTTGGCCTTCCAATTCTCTCTCTAACTGTAAAACAGGCGAGGAATATTTAATGTGAATACTTCATTCACGGCACTCGTCTTCTAACCTTGGCTACGTCCGAAGAACAACTCCAGACGACTGCAGAGTCTCGGTATTTATGGGAAAAGAGTACCAATTATTTTCCCATAGAACTCTATACAAACCTTCTGCTCTCTCAGTACTCTACTAATTCAATTTCAGACAAATCCTTGGCACCATTTGAAACTTTATTCTGAGTGCACATAAAAAAGCCCGGAAAAAATACAGGGTCCCATGGCGTTTATAGGTCAAAATTGCAGTTGTTTACAACTTATAGCGATCGGCAGTAAATGACACTATGCCAAAAATATCAACCCCCACTCCTACAATCTCCCCTGGTATTTCTATATTTTCTGTAATATTCCTACATTCCATCATTTATTTCAAACATTAATATTTTTACTTTAAAATGAAAATAATTATATACCTGAATTCAGCCAATCGGGTAACACACACTATTCAGTACTCTATACTACTTTGTGTAACAAACAAAACCACGTGTACATCCGGGGATTTGGTACTCTCATTCCTATATGGATATACACGATTGATGTCACGTGATGTCATCAGTGACTAATTGAGAACTCTGCATGGTCGTATCTGAAAATTCCGGAATCATTACAGTTTTCTTTCAAGGTCAACATATCTTTCGTCACAACTTGAACATCTTTTACCAAGGCCATTCTGTTTAAAGTCTCTTGATTCAGAAGTTGATGAAAAATTCGACGTTTTGTGCATCCATTCTGCCAATGTCTGTGAAATTGCGTTCGTTCTTGTCTGTGAGTGGTGAGAAAGACTCAACATCATCAATGGTGACAAACAACAACAAAAGGAAACAGGATGTATTCATTGTATCACCCAAGTCGTATTACTGAATTTAATTCACACAGCCAGTTTTTACACTAAAATGTCTAAGTTGGCATTAAATATATATAATATTCTCCCTCTTGAGATAATAAAAATAAGCTTGCATAATCTGTGACTCGCCGAAAACGGTTATCACTACATGGTACAATGTCAGAATATGAAATCTCCACAACTGAGATCATATTTTATTGAAGAATAGAAATTAAGACCCTTTTAACCATTTTCCTGATAAATCGTGTTTAGATACTTTATTTATATTAAGTTGTCAGTAGTATTTTTGCACTTAATTGTCAATTTGAAAGACGTTAGAATGGTATTTCTATCGATATAATGCAAGGGAATTTAAACAAAATTTTAATTAGAAGTACCATTTTGATATACTTTAAGTATCCAACCCTTTACAAATCTGCTCTCAAGTGCTTTAATTGGCCATTTATAAATAGAACAGGACTGGTACTCTTTGTAAGTAGGTGGTATTGGTTAGAACATTACTTATAAACACTTATAAACAGTTTTCCCCTTTAAAATCCGGCCAGTTTATGCCCCTGTTTAGGAAGTTCGGCTTTTAGGATACTCTTTTTCTGCATGTGTGCGAAAAACTATCAAACTTAAAATTCTGGTTATCATTTTCAATTTTTTATTTGAAATATATACTGTTGTATAAGTATATTGGGATATTGAATTTTTAATACCTTATCGATCATACCAGCACACATGCGTTAATGTTTTTATCATAATACAGCTTCCAAGTACTGGAATAACATTGCCTTGAGGAATTTGGAAATAGATAATCTGTCCTCGAAAATGTTGAAAATAAATAAACTGTCCTCAACTGGAAAGAAAAATAAATACAATACAATATTTATTGGCGCAAACACAATCACAATAATTGGCAAAGACAAAATATATAAGAATCATCAATTGTTCACATATTTGATATTTTTTTCCTTGAAAAAAAAATCATCAAGTTCCTTTCAAAAGTTAACATATGATTATTGTATTTTTGGCAGTTGAATAGAAAATGAAATTCATCTTCAGTCTCTTAGACTGTTGCAGTGTTGCAAATATTATACACCTATTTACTGGCTATGAGGACAATAGCAAGTTTATCGTTCCCCAAGACAGCAACTATTTCCCGAGGCGCAGCCGAGGGAAATAGTTGCTGTCGAGGGGGGCGATAAACTTGCTATTGTCCTCATAGCCAGTAAATAGGTGTTTTATTATACCGAAGCCGACTTTACTTGTGTTACATCACAATCTGGATAAAACCAGAAGAGCTCTGAAATGAAAAGCGAGGGAAACGGAATGCTGCCGGTGAATAGTTTGATGACTAAATGTATTTCACCATGGGCTAATAGCACAAAAACTGTTCCACGGTTTAAAAAAAATAGCAGGTTTATTCGCCATATTTTTATATAGAAAAAATTCATAGAGGTATAATAATATTTAATATTTGCAACACTGCAACACATCTAAGAGACTGAAGATGAAACCGTGGAATAGTTTTTGAGCAAGTAAATAAGTAAATAGGTGTATAATATATGTCCTTACCTTGTGCTACGTACGTAACCAACCCCCCCCCCCCCCCTTCACGAAATAGAGCTTTGTAGTTGTGTGTTTTTTGGTTTTTGGTTTTTTTTGGATGAAAAAGAAAATAAATAATCTGTGTCTGATTATCTTGGAAATAAATATAAATAATCCGTCCTTCGATCACTGGCAGGAACATAAATAATCTGACTCGACAAAATTTGCCAGCCCCCACCCCCATGAATCAAATGGTCGCCCCCCTTAAGGACAGTAAGGCTGATTTTACTTGTGTTATTTTTTTTTACAATAAATTGAAAGAAATATCGACAAATAAAACTGTATATATTTTTTTTAAAGTCAAATGTCAATCTTTTATAAAACATTGTCGGCATGTTTGTCTTGAGGTATTATTTCGTGTAAAAAAAAATATCTACATTCGAGACTTGTAATTTAAGACTTTTTATTACACTAAAGCCCCAAACATGAGGTATGTTAGTATGTACAAAAATTTAATAAACATGTGGTTCGTTTTCTAATTAAAGTTATCCAACTTGAAGGAACTCTTCTATGTCTCCATAACTACTTGAAACAAAGGGGATTCATCCGATTCTTAGCACTATAACTATTTTTTTTCATGATATTTGGAAGTATTTACGGCTGAACTACAATGTAATAACGAAAAGGTGTGTTACTACATTGACAGTTTTATACGTTGAGGAAATATCATTTACTTTTTTTGCAAAAATCAAATGTTTACGTGATGTCCGAATTTCCTCTGCAATTTAATTTTTGCAGCATATATTAACTTGTAAATCTATAATATACAAAGTAACGATTAGAAAATTAATATTTTTAAGCTCGAACGATTTTGTTTTGTTTTTTTAAAGAGATTTTGTAAAAGATGTTACTCAAATTAATGAAAATATAGGCCTAGTCATAGGAAAGTTTAATAAATTTGATTCATTAGCCTATATTTTATTTAAATGTATTAAATCTATTATTAGCAGTTACTATCGTGATCACAATTTTTACTTTAATTGATGTTTACTTTATTTTTCAGATACATAACTACACCTGTAAATGAATTCATTCATTGAATTAAATTAAATTCTTTCTCGTGAATGATGACAGCGTATAATTTTACTTCACGTAAACAGCTGAAAAATCTACTGAATGATGTGGAAGGTGTTCAGAAACATGATATTCATTCATATGCAGGAGGTCACTTGAATGAAGCTTTTTTGTATAAACCACCCTCATCATGGGCAAGTAGCAAGTGGACTGCTGGGAAGGGTAAGAGAATATCACTTGTTGAAAAAAGCACAATCCCAGTTGCTAATGTAAGAAAATCTACCCAGAGAGAGGCCAAAATGAAGGAGACATTGTATGACTTCAGTGTGGGAACGACAGGTAGTTTACCCCTATATCCCAGTGAGATAAACATGGCTTCACAAATACGATACAAAAATGTGAAGACCCCAGTTAGTACGATTGGGACCACTATAGGAACCACAGATGACCGTCCTGAGTCCACAAAGAGGAATCCAAGTGCCGCATCTAAGAAGTCTATTTACACAGAACTCCAAGATGGTGTTTTAGTGGAAGAGCTCAAAGCTGAGGAAGTAATGTTGCCTGGGAACAGTCGGCGATCAAAAAGGCTACCCCCTATGGAAGAAGAAAATGAAGAATATGATGTTATGGAAAACATTCAGAAAAGTCTTCAGATGGACAACTTGTTAACCTTCAGACACCAGTTTTTGCCCACTCATCATATTGGGGTTACCAAAAGGGATCAATATGAAAAACTAAAATCAATGGAAGATCAAGTCATTGGATTAAAAGATGCATCTGAACAGCATGTACTATCTGGTGTGAAAGCTGTGAAACACTTAGAAAAAAGGCTACAGGAGGTAATTAGATTTTATGTAAAACACTTTAAAAGCTTTATGTAATAGAACTGTTAATGACCATCAATATTAACAATAGTAATAAGTACAATGTAATGGATAAACATGATTAACTGAAGTCCGGGACACATCTACATGTAACACGCAAAACAAAAAAATCTGTCATCATTAACTTAACTACGTCAGTCTCTGGGTTTTGAATTTGTAATTCTAAATACCATATAATGGTTATTTTCTGCAGTTATAACATTATGTAAATTACAAATTCTTGTGGAACATGTCCCTTTTTTTATTAAATTTCCAAAATAAATGCACTGTAGAATACATGATACATTATGATTTAATCATTATAATTTTCTCAGATTTTCAAACTGATTTGATAGATGTTTGATTACATGATGTACTTACGTCTGTCTCAATCTCTTTTATGTTTTTACAGGAGCTTGAGACACTTGACTTCATTGATGATCACAGACCCAACTTTCACAAACTCCAAGTTTATAGTAATGTTTTAGAGGATTTAATAGAAGAGAGTCCAACATTTTCATATATACTAAGGGATATAAAGGTACATAAACTTTTAATTAGTCTAGTTTTCTTTAAAATTTTCTAAACAGTATTAGTTTATGAAGAAGCATGAATCAGTTATGAAATATATGATGTTTATATCAACATATTTACATTACCAATACATTTTCCTTATGATTCTTTGCAAATTAGAGGACTGTTCATTTTCTCATGAACTACCATGGATTAGCATGAATATCTCTATTGTTACGTCATAATACCGTACTCGTAGTTCATGTCCTCATGAATCTTCAAAAATTAAATTCATTTCTTAAAAATATAAAATAGATTCTTATGAATTTTTGGGATAAACATCTGTATTATTACAGGTATATATAATCATTATACTTATATCTTAAAAAAACTCTACTCATAGATATGTTAAACTTTATCCTTTATTTTTTTTATTTTTTTTTCTTGTAAATGTGGGAAGATTACTATGTACAGTTTCCATTTGAAAAAGTGATCCAGTGGTGGATCCAGAAATTTCAGAATGGGAGGGTGCAGTACCTGGGGTGCCTTGAGCCTCCAGGTACTGCAGGGCAAAACCCTGATAGGTGCCCATGGGAGGAAGGGGGCAATGCCTCTGAAAGCTGCTGAATTTTGACAAAAGACATTAATATTTTAGTTTCTGAAGTTAATTGTGATTTCATAAATTTGCTTTAAAAATCTCTTTCAGACTGAATATGACAATTATATCTCCAAACTCCTTGACCAACAGTCCCCAGATCACACCAAGAAACTCCGAACACAGGTAGAGCTGATGGTGTTCCGTGGGACCTCACGCCCCAAAGAGCTGGAGGAAGCTGAAAACAAAGTGGTGAAGTTAGAAGATAAAGCCAAGTCCTTGTTAGAAAATAATGAGAGGTGGGGTAACATTGAAGCGCACAAAATGTATAATATATACCGGTATTTAACAGAATATTGGAATATGCTTTGTACTTTGCTTTGTTCAGGATCAGCTCACACTTACATTCACATGTAGATTCCTTAATGTATGAAGCAATATGTTTATTGAGTATTCAAGCAAAATGAAGAACGGTCTTTAGTAGAATTAAATTACTGAGAAAGTATGTTACTTGTTATATGCACCATATGACAATGCTGATTCAATTATTTCTCAATCATTAATTCATGTCACCTTCATCACGTTCATAAATTGTTCATAATTTATTTTTGGTGTAAAGTAATCACATTCGATTTTATACATGTCTGACTATTTTCTGGTTTTCTAATCAGTGCTTGAAGGAAGATTTAAATTTATTCCAAGTTTTGGCTCATACACATGGATACTATGTGTGTGTGTTGGGGGGGGGGGGGACTTTAAAAAATTAATTAAGATATTTGAACAGCATTTACAGTCTGCTTATGCATCAGTTTTTGCAACACTTGAATTTTTAAAAGTGTTTTACAAGTGATCTAAGTATTTTCATGCAAATTGATACAGACTAGTGATTTCACAGAAATATAGTAATCACAAAATAGAAGGAAACAACAACACTTAAATGGACACCTTTCATGAAGAAATCTATTCAATTAAAAAAAGAAAGCAAATTATATTTGTTAAATCAATGTCAATGTCAAATTCTTTATAAACCTTGTAATACCAATAAAGGAAGCAATTATAAACTTTCTTTGTTTAGGAAAGCTGACTTTGGTGACTTATCAGAATGTAAATGTAATTTTAGGTTAAGAAAAGCCTTACTGGAGGAGGAGGAACTGTTAGCTCGGGAGCCAAGTGAGCCAGGTAATAATCCCTCTCTCTTTCTCCCTCTCTCTCTCTCTAAGTTTATACATGTATTGGTATTTCCTCACTATAAATGTAACATGATTCAGCAAGAGTTGCAGAACTTGTTATTATACAACATTAAAGAAAACATTTAAAAAAAACTTTGTGTTATAACATTGTTTGAATGCATGAATAATACCTTTCAAGAGATAAATTTCAAGAACACTATTTTCACAATTATTTTCTTTCATAATGTTCTTTAGCACAAACCAGAACACTTAACATTGAATAAATTAAGTTGATCTCAATGAACCTAACCCTTCTCCTATGTAAAATGTTTCAGGGAAAAAAAGTCTACTTTTTTAAATTGAATTTTTAAAGTTATGCTTTATAGAACCAAGAATACAACTAGCCAGTGCTTACCATGAAGAACCCACAGCTGAACTTGCAGATGAAATAGAACATGTTAAAGCACTAATCCTCGAAAAGTTGGATGACCTGAATGCACTCCGCACAAAGTTACGAGAAGAGTATGTCCCCCTGACTGTGTGCACTCATTTGGAACAATGTATTAAAGAAACTGAGGTATGCACCACCCTATTAATAATTTGTTCAGGCATTTTATTGTACATGCAGGTGTAAAATATTTGAAAACTGTACCATTTCAAAATGCATGCCAAAATCATGATAGATAAACATCTTTGCTAGTTTTAAATTTTATATGAATGTGTGAACTGTTAAAGAATTGTACAGTCCTTCTTGTTGACATTTTTTAAGTTTGAAAAACTTTGCATCATATTGTACATGTTATGACTTTTTTTAATGTAAATTTAAGAAGTCATGTATAAATAAAGTTTACAATACGAGGTAAACTTTCATATAGCTCTGTCAATGTGAAAGAATTAGTCTGTCTCCTTGTCCTAGACAATGAAATACTGGTAAATGTTAAAACTGGTAAAAGTAAAGCTGAGGTTTGAAAATGGATTGTTTCTTTATAACAGGTAGAGGTTCAGAAGCTGCTAAAACAGAATGAATACCTGGAGAGGAGTATATCAGAAATGGAGACAGATTTACGGGAGGCTATTCAGGATGCCGACACCAGTGAAAGAGACGCTAGGTAAGGAATATAAAGTCAAACCTCTCGAACTCAATGGGACCGAGAAAAAACTTCAAGATACCTGAGAGTTCGAGATATCAAGGGTAAAATACTTAAAAAATACATGATAAGAACTTCCCAATCACTTTGAAATATCCATGGTATTCGAGATATCCGTGTTCGAGATACTGAAGTTCTCAACTGTATTTGCACAACCTCCTTAGAGAGGAGTAGCTGAAAAAAGTCTGGGTTCAACAGCCCAAAAGTTCATTTTCAGTTATCTTTTAGTTAAGGCTATTTTGTGATATATGCAGTTGAACTCAGTATCTCGAACTTTGATATCTCGAATACCATAGATATGTCGAAGTCATTTGAAAGTCCCATGCTTGAGGTATTTTACCCTCAAGATCTTGAACCCTCAGATATCTGGAAGTTTTTTCTCAGTCCAGTTGAGTTCAAGATAACAAGGTGTGACTGTTAGTAGAAATTAACTGTCTTTTTGTGTGGCTTAGTCCTGGTCATGTGTTTGGACAGTTACTTGGCCATAATGCAGCGTAACATATAAAATATCCACATCTCTGAAGATCCTTTGCTAGATACAGTGACTTTTGAACATGATTGTATTCATATTTTCAAGCTGGGCCATGAATAAAATATCATTAAATCATATTATGCATGAGAAAGCTTTTAAAAAATGTATATTTTTTTAAAAGAATTTCATATGATGTTGTTTGCTATCATTTGCACTTTGTTATTTTCTTCAGGCGCATATGGAGGAAAGTGAACTCTCGGAAAGGTCTGCCGCACATGCCCAATGAAAAGAACGGAACAACAGAAAGTGATGATGACGATGATGATGAAAGCAAGTGGAACTGGTACATTTCATAATACAGAACTTTGTCACAGAATTCATCTATCTAAGTGGTGTCACAAACTGCAGAAAGTCTAGTCGGAATAAATGTTTAATAGATTTTTAATCTGTTCATGTTAAAGATGCTTAATACATGTAAATGTAGCAGTACAACTTCCAGAACTGTCTCCACAGCATTATAACACCAGTTGTCAAAACCAAGTGACCTTTTAAGTATGTTTTACTTCATACTGCTGAATGCAATTATTTTATATAGATACTTTAAATGTGATATATTTCTGTAATTATTTTGTTTGTTATTGTACTGTTTATATTGAACTGTTGATTGATTGAAGATGAATAATTTATAATAAATATTTACAACTGACCATTTGTCTATTCAGTGTTCCTTTGTCAACAGAGCAAAGCAGTGGCGGATTCAGAAATTTCATAACGGGGGAAGGGGGGGGGGGGGGGGCAGTAGTATCATTTTATCAATATATGTACTAAACTGGACTAAACCGAAGGTAAATGCTTGTTATACAAACAAAAACAACATTTAAAAAAATTCAAACGGGGGGGGGGGGGGGGGGGCGCTGGCTCCGCCTTTGCAAAATGTACAAATGTACGTGCAGTAAATATTTAAATATTAATATGAACTAGGTAGTACATGTACATGTATCTAGTAATGATACCATGGACTCGGTGATATAACAGTAACTTAGTTCAATATTTTTAATACTTTTAATTAACTTTTTAATTCACACAATTTCATTGCATTTCTCTCATTGAAAATGCATGAAATTTTAACAATGTAACGATGAATATACATGATAATACTAATAATTAAGATAATTCCAATACTAAATTCAGTATCGATGTTATACAGTGGTTTAAATAAATGACAAATCATCAGAGAGAATTTATTGCACTTTCCACAGCAGATAATCTGGAAGTTTTTTAAATGGTCAATCTTCTCTTTATATCATTTACTTAGATTGTCAGGTACATAATAAAATATACTTCTTAGTAGAAGACAGTTGTAGACTGTCTGATCAGAAATGAAGTTTCTTTTGTAAAATACAAATACATCGTACATCAAATTACAGACAATGACATACACTCTTGTGCTTTGTAACAAACCAGTAACTCTATATATATTTTATATTTCTACCCTCAAAATTAAAAAAAAAATGTTATAAATTGAGTTTTAATCATCCTATCAATTGATATTTTTCCCTCAGTTAAATTACTAACATTCATCGATTAAGGATACATAACACAAACAAAAATTTGATGCATGGATTGATATATATATATTTTTTGACTGATTTTGAAAGAAAATGACATAAATAACAAATCCCTAAAATATTAAGAAATTGTAAGTTTTGTTTAAATTGATGCTTAAATATGCGACTCTGTTTCGTTTCTATGTAATTCTATACACATTTTTGCACCCATTTTTAACATTGTGACAAAATCTTACTATAAATTCCCCCACTTTATCTGGCAAACATTATTCAGACAACCTATCTAAATAGAAATCTATGAGAAAAATTTGCTGATTTCTGAAAAAAGTTTGTGTTATTTATCTTTAAGTTACAAATGATGCTACAGTATATTTACTTATCTAGAAAGATTATTGAATTGTTACCATGGTTACTTCAAGAAAATAAAACTTTTAGATCTTGGAGTATAATTGTGGTGTTGAGCACATGAACGTCTGTACACATTTACCTACGAAAACCCTATTCTACATGATGTATAGGATAATGTCTTAGGAATCACAATTCTACGAACAGAAGGTGCTATAAATAGAATCCCGTCACGCTTGATCAACTGAGTGTTTCAAAACGTCCTCATTTTCCTCTCTACTGAAGGCGAGGAAGCATATTCCAAGATTTCAAACTGTTTGGGTTGCTCCGACAACTGTCTTCTGTGCTGTCTTCCGATCTGTGAAATTCCATCCATTCTGAAGGAGGCCTGAAAATATAAACATTTAAAATGTGACAATAAACAAGCCATTTTTTCAGTTGAACACTGATAATTATGCATATCGAATTGTGTTCAAACAAAGGTTTGTATAATGTTTTATGTGTGACTTATTTTTGCCCACTTCAGTTCCCTCTCCATGCTCGGCGTGTGTGATGGAGGAAACTACCTAAACTGCTTCATAATTAATGTCGTGTTTTCTCGATCCTAATTAAGTTGTTACAGTAATTAGGTACATTTTTACTCCAGTGAAGGAAAATTTATACGTCACAGAATCCAGATGGAGTTAAGAGTCACAGTAGGGTGGTCGAAGACGGGGAGGTGCGTTGGGTGCAATTGCATGCCCTTTATTAAAGCTCAAAAATATAATTTTGAAACACAGTATATATTCATCTGTTAAAAACTTAAAAGTAATAGGCCTATTACTATTTATATGAAAAATGACTTTCAGAATGCACCAGACCTAAGTGATACCATGCATTTATAAAATTTTCCGACTTTGGGGAGAAAGTACCCCCACCGCACCCCCTTTCAAGAAACCTGATGACGGCCGAGATCGACTGTCTGTGATATTTCATGATGGTCGGAATCGAATGGCAAATACATCGTGATTAATGTAATGACATGACCATATTTGGTTAAATTTCTGAACGATATAGAATCGACTGTCATGACAACTGCTTTTAATTAAGACGCTAGTCAATTTACTCAATTAACAACCCTGTTAAGCCCTTTTTAAAATGCTGAAATATTGTGACACGAACTGTCATGCGATGACTATCAGAACGATACAAAATACTCTTGAGTGAAAATTCCGTGTACAAATAACAGAAATGTTGGACCCGCGCCTGAAAGAAAGGCCAATCGATAGATTTATGACCCCGAATAGAAGTCGAAAACACAAAAACAAGTCGTGCATAAAACAGATTCAAACAGAATTTCATATTTCATTGTGTAGAATATTCTGAACATGACTGACAAGGTTGCTTTTCCAGACATAAAGTATCCATTCGGCAGTAATTGGTTTCTCCTTTGCCTGATTTTATTACACTATGCAGTAAGCTACAAATAAGTAAGAGGTCCTTGGGCTATAATACTCACATGAATCAGCTAACCTTTCTGACAAATAAACGAATAAATTAAACCCATTCATACAGTCCTCTTTTTAATAATTTCAGTGACATCAGCAGTTTTATTCTCAATAGTAGTATATTCAATCGTGTAGTTTAGCTAACAAAAGTCCTGCGATTCATACAGACCTTTCAAATACATTTGATAATTTTTACCATAGGGTGTCCTAAAAAAATATGATATGATACACACTAAATGGTGATACAGGCATATATCAATATGACTGTGATACTACTGCGGTGCTGTTCATCCAGTGTAAAAAATTGACACCCCTATTGTGGCTCACTGTAGCCAAAAAGACCATGTCAAATGTGATTAAATTCGAATCTTCACTACCTTAAGTTTGTTTGCATATTAATATGAATGACTTGAGCACAGGTGTAAATTACGAGGATTAAAAAAATCAACATCATCGTTTACAGTAAATGCCAACCCCCTTTTGTGGCCTCACCATTGGCCTAGCTGGTCCATGATTTGAAAATTAAATCTAAACTCAGAAAGAAAGCAAAAAATCAAGTGTTGACTTTTCTGCTTCAGTGGTTCTTGAGAAAAGGAATTTTAAATGACCAAACACCGGACAACAGAAAATATATAATGCCAAACTGCTCTAATTAGACACGTAGGAAAGAGTTACAAGTCCATATTTACTGTACTCAGTGGATTTACATCATAAATCGACCTTTGACATTAGAATGAATCAACCAATTGGCTAATTCCTCATTGACAACATCTATGTAGTCTTTGAAGACCAGAACTGGTCTTCCAACAATCAGTTGGAATTTCAATGGGCATTAATTGTGCTCCTTAATTAGCCAATCTGTTTTTATATTCCTATGAAGCAGAATTTATTCAAAAACTTCTACATGAGAAGAAGAAAACACTTGCCCTCAACTCGACATTGAGATGTACTGATGAAGTTTTATTAATCAACAATAATTACTTCCATTCATATGTTGACTCGATATATATATCCCAGTGAACTCGAATTAAAAGACACCACATACATGTATACTAGTCTGCCTCATCTGTTTCATATTTGGACGATTTAACTAAAGATGATAAAGGCCAACTAACAACTAAACTGTATGACAAACGAGATGACTTCAGCTTTTCCATCGTCAGTTTTTCTTATTTATGTAGTAATCTTCCACTATCATTTGAATATGGTGTTTATGTCTCCCAACTTATATTCGATACCCAAGACTGCTGAGTACGATCAATTTTTAACCGAGGCAGGTTATTGTAAAATAAGTGATGTTACAGGGATTTCAACAACTCCGTTTAAAGTCAGCATTTTGTAAATTATACATTCGTTATGATGACCTTATTAGCAAATGCAACCTTTTATTGGATCGCATTTTGACTGAAATGTTTCCATACTAATTGTTAGGCCTTTGCTTTTATATTAAATTTGACTACGGAATATTCCGTCTACCTGATCAATACATAGAGCACACGGCGGATGGGACCAGTTGACAGGGGATGCTTACTCCTGGCCACCTGACCCCACCTCTGGAATTTCCTGGGGTTCATGTTTTATGCCCTGTTTACAGATTTGCACTGTTTGTACTAGGTTTTTTGATATCGATCATTGTTAACGTTCCTTATCTTTAACTTTTTCTTTTTGTCTAAATTGAAGAACCGGTCGAGGTAGCCTAGTGGTAGGGCGTTCTCTTTGTGATGCCCAAGTTCGATTCTCGCTCACCACCCGCGTCAAACCTATAAGACGTAATACGGTGACATCTTCATATGAGGGAAAAATTCCCGAATGGGATGTTAAACAACATACAATCAATCAATCTACATCGAAGATAAAATTAGGATAGCTGGTCAATCTTGACGAAAGTCTACAACTCCAAAACATTTTTTTTGGCAATATGAATTAATTTAATATAATAAATTTCATACGTAAATGGTATACATGTATTCAAAAAAAAATGTTCGAGTTCTTCATAATTAAAAAGTCTATAATATGGCCACATTAAAACATATTTTTTACTTACTTCTGATTCGGAATCTATCTCCGAACTGAGATCGAATTGAACTGTAGGATTGGCCGCTAGAGGGCGAACTGTTGAGGACTGTGACACCGTTGAAAGACGAGACATCCGGGAGCTTATAGATAATGTCCTTCGGCGAAATGGTCGTTTTGGTTCTCCATCCTCATCAAAATCTTCATCCTACAACATAATTTATTTTGCGAACGCATATAAAGCAAGAATTGGGAGTTAAGTGACCTTAAGTGACATAAATGGATTCGCCATAAATAATTTTTTTTTTTTTTTTTTTTTTTAACTTTTAGTTATAATTAAGTCTTTCTATCATATTTTTCAATGGAGCATAAAATCTAAAGGCATATTAAATGATAAATACCAGGGATGATAATAATAAAATAATATCTGGAAAATGCAGAATCGTATGCATGATATTGTTCCTTACAAGTATGTCAGTTATTACGAATTCATCTGATCAAAATGATCTGATGCCTTAATATCAAATTTGTAAAAAATTCAAAGCTATTTAAAATTATTTTTTAAATCATTTAAAAATGTCATTTTACAACTGAATATTTAAAGCTAAGTGTTGCTAATATCTTACTAAAGAACATATGTACTGTAACATTATGAAATAAATATGCTAAGTGTAAATATAAATATGAAATACATAATAATTAACACCACTTTTGTGAAATAATTTTGTTTTACAACAGATAAACAGTTTTTATGAATAAATTATTCTTTCTTGCAAAGAAATGTTCTGTCTACTTAAATTCAATACAAAATAGAATATTTTATATCTAATTAAACATATCGTGATATATATCGCATCGTGACTCAAATACTGTGATACGTATCGATATAGAAAAAGTTGTATCGTCCCGGCCCTATATGATAAGTCCCTGATTTGTTTATAGAATAGAATTGCATTATGCCCGAAATTAAAGAATTGCAATAACATATTAATCAAGTATGTTATTGTAATTCTTCAAATTTTAAGCATACAATTGTGAGGAAATTCAGTCTTGTACAGAGACCGTATCATATTTTAATCTAATTCTAACCTCAGTATAAGCCTTCTGGGAGTGAAATGAAAAGAAAATACTTTTCACCTCTAAATTTCATTTGAATATATTTGTCAGTTGTCATGATCCACTCACTTAAGGCGCCATCTTTCATGGAATTTAAAAAAAATATCTGATCAGATGTCTAGATGTTGAAAACTTGATCTAAGATTTAACTGAAACCTTCCCAACCCTCCACCCACTGTCTACGTGGAAATTCAAGAAAAAGTTGAAGTGTTTTGTACAATCTTCAGACGGACAGTGCACATCCTGCCCTTAATTCATGGTGTGAACATTTTCATTTATCTTAATTGTTGATATGCTTTTCAACACAAGAAAGATAATTTTCTGGTGATCTAACTTACCTATAGTTTAAGAATTTTACACTACTTTCAATCAATCAATCAAGTGAGTTTTGTCTTGTTTGTTTGTATGTTGTTTAACGTCCCTCTCGAAAATTCTTCACTCATATGGAGACGCCACCACTTGCCGGTAGAGAGCTGCAAATTTTGACCTATACTCGGCGTTCAGGGCCATTGAGCAGTGGGGGATGTTTTTCGTGCCAGCACTTACTGCGACACGGGACCTCGGTTTATACGGTCTCATCCGAAGGACCGGTCTCCACGTCCCACTCAATCAATCTTGAGAGAGAGAGGAACAAGAGAAAAAAAGTGTCCCTTTACTTTTATAGCAATATTAATAAGCCTCTTTGATATTTTCATAATAAACAAAAGGATGGTGTGTGTGTGTGTGTGGGGGGGGGGGGGGGTCATTTGTACGTTTTATTTTTTTAACTGCATACAAATGTTAAAGGGGGGTTGTCTTTTATATTGTAACGAAAAAGCACAACAAAACAAAAAAATAAATGATTCCGTAGACTTTGAACTTTCTTAGTTTGTCACAGAAGATGTGTGGTGTTTGCTTACTGACAATATTGGTATGAGAACAAACACATGTAGGCCCTACTTTGTTTTAGGCAGAAACATCATGTTGGAAGGTTTTGTATACGTGCATATGTACATAGGACAATTAAGGACCAGACACGCTGTGCACAATATACTCCTTATATCCATAGATTTCAATTCGCGCAAACTAAATTAACCCTCTCCCTGAAAGCTAAAGAGATATTTTGTTTTACTAATTTCATGTTTCCTTATTAAATATTACTCTTCCTTTTCCATGTTAGATCAAAAACCTTAATCAAGTATCTATCTTCCGTTCTTTTATAATTAGAATTTAAAATCCAATCAGTACGATCATAATAGTGTATATCGACCACATGAAATATAACCTTTAGATACCATTTCTAGGGTTAATTCTTTTACATTCTTCTGACTACTCTTTAAGGTTTCTTCTCATTACGTGTAATTTAATCTTTTCATTATACGTGTACTTTTTACAATATACGGATGATATGCTGTAATTTCATTCTGTACTTTCATCTTGTACTGTTCACGTATTATTTATTACTATTGAAAATTATTTATATATTTTCAGTGTTTTCTCCTTGTCCATAGTGCACTAAATAAATCTGTTTATTATCATCTATGAAAATCATGTAAAATTGTTAAGTATGTTCAATTAAAACAAGCATGCTATCTGCAGTGGGTTAGACATTGAATGAAAAAAACGGTAAGATTTTTTAAAATGGTCAACAACATGTATCACAATATCAGACTTTAATCTATGACCTTAACCTTGATTTTCAACTTTTTTATCTAAGACTGTAACCTTGACTTTGGGGTTCATGCTTTGAAAAGATCAATACGCTTACAACTCTTATAACCAGCTACTAACATTTTTCTGGTTTTTATGATAGAGGATATCAAGTCAATTTTCCGGTTTTAACAGACCAACACATACATACAAGTATGTTCCCTACATCTTTTCCAATTTTTAGTTAATGACGGATATATATACCGGATCATCCTCGGAAAGTATCATTGCGTTTTCCTGTTCCGCTGCTCGGCGCTGACGTGACTCCACAAGCAGTTCCCTGAACTGTTCCTTAAGAAAGTCAATTTTCCTGATAATTTTGGTTTCGCCTGCTACATGTTTGTGTTTTCCCTCAGATTCTAACTGAATTTTCAGATCTTGAAGCTCTTGTTGAATAAGCGACATCTTATGTTGAATCTTGTACGAGAAAAAAAAGTTTATGATTTTAATGGTCCTCGCTTGAAACCTGCCAGTTTTCCTATAACCATTTCTCACAAACAGAAATAATTTTTACAACATTATTATGTCATATCATTGATAAATGTGTTTTATATTCTTTAGATAATCAAGACAAACAAACGTCAGAATGTTATGAATCGAATTATTTACTGCCTTTTATCTTCTCACAATAATGTACAGCCGCCAAGAACAAACGAATTTTTCACTGATGTAGACTAATTCAAAGGAAAATACAGTATAAAAAACAAATGGCTAATAACAGAAGAAATGCCTTATACATCACAATCAAGTTTGTAATGACTTTTTAATGTCTACCCTACAGGAAAAGGCTTATAAAATGTCTCAAAAATTAGTGTCAAGGCAATGTTAGCAACTCTAACTCTTGATTAAAATTGTTATAATCCTTAGTGCATGTGTGTTGCGGCATTTGTCGCGATTTTAACTCATAGTTTTGTCTCAACTTGAAGAATATAATGACCTTGAATCGAGGTCTTACTGTAAAGGACAATGAGATGAATTCAAACTGGTGTACATTTACTTAAAAATGTGCTAGTTATGAAACTGAGTGGTAAAAAAAAATAACTTGAGCAGATAACGGTTTATCAAATCCCTTATTTTGTTAACAACTGATTCAGAGAGTTTTTATATACATGTATATTTATTGCAGTTCTTTCTATTATACGTGATAACGAAGCAAGGTATTCGTATTTACATGTACCACTTAAAGATAGAATTGGCAAATCATGAAACATTTATCTTTATACCTGTTCCACTGTTGGTTCTGCGTGGATTTCAGAGTCCAACTCAACTGGCTCAGTTCGTTTGGTCACCTGATCTCCAGGAATTCTCCGATTGGCCAAAAGTTCAGCAATGCAAGACATCTAAAAAAGAACATACGGCTTCATGAAAAAAGAAATGCCTTGAATTATTAATTATAACATTTTTTTTTTTTTAGAATTTGAGTAACAAAACATAACACCCTCCAAAGGAATAGGTCTAACTTGCTTAACGACTACTGTTTTCTTTCGCGGTCGCATCAAATTCTATTGATACTGGAAATGATGTAATCGGCACTCTGCACAAACTTACTGTAAGGATTCTTATTGATTTCAATAACTATGTCATCTTTTCTTCTTATTTTTATCTAATTATTACAATAACTTCATATAACAAGTATCTAGAAAAGGCTTAGCAATTACTACAATTTATAATATACTGCAAAAGTTCTTTGCTGAAGGGGAAATGAAAAAATGTAGACTACTACGTCTTAGATTTAATTACGAGCATACTAATTTTGAAACAATAAAACTAAATGCTATGAAGGGCGTTTTCTTGTTCTAGTTCAGCACAATGTCTTGAGTCTAAATCAGTGTTCCAATACAGTAAATAATCCAAACAATTGCTGGTTCCGCTTAATGTAAACCTGGGTGAAAGAATTTTGGGTCTACATGTAATCATGTATTTATCATCTCCCCTTCAGCAAAGATGATTATTTTTGCAAACAGAAAGGGCATAAATGCAAAAGGAATCCGAGTTTTCTATCCAAGACAATAAATGACACTAGGGCTGATGTCATTGGAGGCAACATGTGATGGATTTAATTAATTTAATTACTCCCTGTTTTGCAGACGTAGCTGGAGACGGGTTAGGAAGCTTCAGGATTGTGAATTTCCAATAAATCAAAACGACAAGTGCCAGAGTACTTGAAGTGCATTGTATTTCAAATAGATGTTAAAATCTTGATCAGAGAAATTTGCACCACATATATATCTTCAAAAAAAAATCCATCCCATCCAAGTATTTGGATTATAAAGAGCACACTTTATATGTCACCTCTACTGAAATTTAGAAACCATTACATAATGATTGAAATTCTTTTGATTGTTCAAGAAAAAAAGTATGAAAACCCAAGCGCTTTAGGATGGCGTGATTCTGATAATTTGTCACCTTTCACGTTTATAATTCAATACATAGCTTTCTATCACGTCAAGGATGAATTACTTTCACAAATACGTGGTTCACTGATAGATTAAACGTAGCTGTCAATCTAGACCCTCTAATTGACAACAGATTAATTACTGGTTACTCTTTACGTTGTTGTTTGGACTTCGTGATTCTATAAATAATATCAGGTAACAATTCTCAATTTGGTACCTTTTCTTATTTCAAACCAAGAAATCAAAATAAAAGGCCAGTTTTTTCGCTGGAAATTAAAATGCTGGATGGCGACTAGATAGCAAAAATAAATCCGACGGTTTTCACACGGTATTTTGAAAAGGCGGAATTTAAGATGCAACATTTGAAGAATCTTTTTTTTGTACCAATAACTGAAAATAGTCCTGGACGAATTCTTTGGACATAAGTTTTTGACAGGTGGTCGATGTCATGTAAATTTCTTTCAAATATTGCTTCTATTATAGAATTCAGTTACGTTGTTCAAGGAAACAATAAACTTCCCAATGTTGAATGCATGATGGAAGCCTGACTAAGGTGCAATAGAAAATAAGCGTCGGTGTCAGGTATCTGAACGATAACCAGAAACACAACTCAGAATCAGTCTAAGACTGGTACACTGACATTATGATAGCAATCGCTCTTCTGGATTGCCAATGTCTCCCTCTAGCGACAAAATTGTGAATCAAAAGTACAGTACCAGGCTAGTGTTTTCAATTTGTTTATGAAAACAATTCTTGATCTAAACCGATTTGTGCGCATTTTCTTCTCCGTTAATCATCCAGTAGAATGGAAAAAACATGTTGAGTTTAAGCAAATCAAAATAATTGTATACATAAACATATCGCTTAATTTGTTTGATACCCATCACGAACATTTGGCCTTGCCTTTTGAAAGAATTCGTAAAAATTGACATGCTTTGGAATCAAAAATGTTATTATCATCAACGTCGGTAACACAGGCGCTTGTTTGACTTTCTGTAATTTTTTTTAACCCATAGTATTATAATAATAACACAAGGTATCTAACTCCGATTTTCATGGAGTATCCCCCTCCCAGAATCGCAGTCATTTACGTATTATAATACACTTTCAGAGAAAATGCACTGGCAAACTGCTTATTACCATCGTCTTCTATGATAATTTATCTGCACAACCATATATGGCTTGTTTGTCTTTATTTTCTTCATAAACAGCGTCAAAACTCTGCTCGAAGACGGGAAAATTTTTTCACGCCAAGGAGTGGTATGTACTAATCTCTGGCGGAATATTTTCTTGGAATTTGATTGACTAAAAATTTGTTTCTAAAATTACATCGGAAAAAATCTTGTAATATTTTTCAAGAAAATAAAACGTAAACAAATTTTCTTTATTCACTGCAATATCTTAACACTGGAATTGAATTGTTAAACCCACTCATTTTTTAATTTGCTCTCTGCTCGAGATTAATGCATACCTTTTCAAGGTAGTAGTCGAATTTTTCAGTCGGCGAGCAGAGTTTTGACGCGGTTTTCGGAAATAAAAGAAGATGAAGACAAACATGTCATATACTGTTGTGTAGATAAATTACCGTACAAGACAGTTGTAATGAACAATTTGCCAGTGCATTTTTCTGAAAGTGTAAATGACTGCAATTCAGGGGAAGGGGTATTCCATGTAATTTGGAGTTAGATACCTTGTGTTATTATTACATGTATACTATGGGTTAAAAAATAATTACAGAAACAAGTACCTGTGGTCGGTAAGCATGATTATTCATCATGATGAAACAGTATTATTTGATTGGATATAGCACAGGAACTTGTTTCGTATATGGGGGTCACCCCCTTCTTTTTCTTTCCACAAGGTACCTAACTCAGTTTTAGGCATCCCCGCTTCAAGCTCGTATTTTGTTAATATATCAATCATTAACCTACTTTAAAATGACATCGTTCGCTTCGAGACGTTTTTTTTGTTTATTCCTCGACAATCATCTCGATATATTTTAACTTTTAAGACTTCAGATAGGATAAAAATTTCTGGTTGGAGTTATTCATGTAGGATAAAACCAGAGAGTTCCGAGTTTTCCATTCTTAGGTCTCTGGTTTTATCCTACATTTATAACCCCAACCTGAAGTTTTGTATCCTGTCTAAAGTATTAAAATATATCGAGGTAATTTTCGAGGAATAAATGAGTGGTTTACAATAAAGAGGCTCGACCAGAGATGTCTGAAAAAAGTCTCGAAGCGAACGGTGTCATTTTAAAGTAGGTTAAGGCCCGTAGGAAGCAATTTTAGTTTGGGGGGGGGGGGGGGGCACAGCCATACATTTTTCAGTTGACAGTTGAGGGGGCACTACCAAAAATAATTAATTTCCTGACAAGCAAAACCAAAAGGTCATCAACTACCAAAAATTCCTTGACAAGCAAAATTAAAAAAAAAAAAAAGAAAAAAGGTCATCAGACGTTTTTATTGAGGGGGCACAAGCATATAGTATCTATGTTTACTATAGTAATCTATATATCGGCAAATTTATTGGGGGGGGCACGGCCCCCCGTGCCCCCCTCCCCCGGTTCCTACGGCCATGAGGTTTATGATTGATATATTAACAAAATACGAACTTGAAGCGGGTGTGCCTGAAATTGAGTTAGGTACCTTGTGGAAAGAAATAGAAGGAACGACCCAATATACGAAACAAGCGCCTATGGGATGTAGTCTTTTAGCTTCTACGAATTTTTAAACGTTTATGGACTCTAACTTTTAGCTATTTCGTAGGTACTCAGCATTTCCACTTTCCTATTACCGGTATCTCCACAAATGTTCAGTTTGGAAGGTACAAGACTGTGGAAGATTCATCAAAATATTTCAAACAGAAAAACCTTCTTGCGTGTTTGCAGAAGATAGTTATATATCACATAATTAAATTTTTGTTTACACAAATACTATATATATAGCACCAGATGTATGGTGCTCAAGAAGTATTGGCAGTTTAGAGCAATACGCGGATTTGTGTTAACAAGTTCCTTCCTTTAAAAGTATCCAAACTGTTATAAAAGTATCTAAACTGTTATATATTTATCTTCATAACATCTCAATAGCATTACGAAATGAGTTAGGATTTCCTGTTTTTTTTCTTTCAGCGGGTTTTAGACAATCGATAAAAACAAATTCAGATGATGTATTTGCCATCAGGACCGCACTGGTATCGATTTAATATCAACTCAATTCTAAGTTGAAATGTTGATGATTTTTATGATTAAATGATGTCTAGAATGTAGTTCCCAAATGTAGCATTTCCTCTTGCAGTAATATCCACTGTAATTAATTCGCTGGGATTTATTTAGTGTTGCTGTTATAAATATTCATGCATTTTATATCGTGAACGTCCGGTATGTTATATTCTGTAGACAATTATTAATTGGTCCCCGCAAAGGAATCTATCTGTGAAATAAAGTTTACATATTCGAAGGAAAGACTACAGGTTCGACCATTCCTCAAAAGAGTACTCATTTTGTACCCAATTTATCAATTTTAATTTAATTTTTGAGCTAATCAAATACAGTATTATGTCTACATTCATTAAATATATACTAGTAGGTATTAAAATGTACGATCTTACCTGATAGGTAAAGTGTTTTGTGATAAGCTCTGGATTGGGTAAAACCAAGGGATCCGACATGACTGTCATCTTTATATGATCATCAAATGAGATGAAATTTATTGAAACACACACATCATCTAGTGGTGGGTTCCAAACCACCAATTCCTTGATCAGTCTTGACCCAAATCGTATTGGACCTTCGGGCCCAGGGAGATTGGAAATGATACACGTGCATTTATTCCGAACACGTTTCCAAAGACGATTGTAAAGAATACTTGGGAGGGTATATAGGGTCACAAATCTGATCCATCTAATGACTGAGAACAATGCATTATGATTCACCTCCTTCATGAAAGACTTCATTTTCCATAACCTTGGAATAGCACCTTCAATATTTGTCGGGATCGGAATCACCAAAAATGTATTTTGATTATTGTCGATTGAGTATTCTGAAAAACCTGACCGATAATGTACTGGAATGAGGCTGTGCATGTTATAAGGGTTCTCTACTCCGTTCAGTTGGAGATAGGACCTCAAAGATCCCGCAGCCACGGAGACAAGAACCTCATTTAAAGAAGACCGAGTTACTTGGCAAATTCTACGAGCATTTTCTAACAGAAATGGTTCCGACCATGATACAACTCTTTTACTTGAGCGAATCGTGTGCCGCCCATGGAGTAAATTAAAGTCCGATTTTGCAAATAAACACTCCTTTAGGAAAATAAGTGGGCCACAGAAGAATGATTTTACAGCTTTGTAAAATTTCCCACGCGTAGAATATTTTGGCACTGAGTATGTAATCGAATCCAAATCAGTCAATGAAGCTAAGACGCAATGAGCAAGAGATATTCCATCTGACAAAATAGGATGTACACGTACTAGCAGGATTGTGTCTTTATGATCCCCGTAGTTTTTCACCACTTGTATTTCCCACAGTGGTGAGTTTAGCGAAAGTGGTTTGGATGACGATTCAGAAACGAATTCAAGTAAATCCTCTTGATTCTCTACTCGACAAGGAGAAGAATATACATGGTTGTTGATTGTAAAGCTATGATCTGGAATCCACACCATTCCTGCACAAGATGGAGCAAGCTTTTTGGTAAATTTCGGGTATAATTTTCTCTTTAATTTATCTTCTGCGCATATAAGTCTTGCAGTTATTAAATCTCGTATACGATGAAGATCAAGACCGAATTCGATTATTAACAATGCTTGGTATATTGTTGTACTGTCATTTAGACTGTCCTGCCAAGCTCGCTCCTTCCTGGACAACTTAATACCACATTCACAACAAGTATTACAAGTACAACCACACGAAAACAGGGACGTTTTGATTAGGAAAGAGACAGGAAATATCACAATTAACAAAGCTGCCGTGGGGCAAAATAAAAGAAAAGCACCAATACTAAAAAACAGAGATCCTAGAACAGCCACACATATATTTTTATGATTCATTTGTTTTATACGTTTATAAGGGGCACTAGGAAAACCATGTTTTAGACCGTGTTTACTATATCCTTCCAATGCTTGGAATGAATAGTCACAGGATCCATCCATATCCACAGTTGTATCTGCGGACACACCATTGCGAACACAAGAAGCGTGACTACCGTTCTTGAAACCTGTCCTGAGAGGTATAGACGCTTCACTGCTATCTTCATCCGAGTAAAAATATTTCTGGTGGCGGGAAAACTTTCTGATAGACGGTTTGTTTTCAACATTTTGCATGTCATAAAACGTTCTAAAATGTTGCATGGATTTTGTTTTTCTTTTAGAAACCAATCTGGTGGTATCTGTATGCATGATTTGAGATTCGTCTGACGATATCGGTGAGTATTCACTGGTTGAATGTGATTGCTTGGATTTTTGATATGATAAATCTGATTTACTTCTTGTAAACTTTGATTGTGCGTCACCTTCCGACCGGTGTCTATTTCTGGAAGACGTCGATCTTTTCCCCGAAGAGATTCTTGTGCTTTCGTTGACGTTTCTAGGAGAAACATCATCCTTAGTTTTGACGTGCAATTGCTTGGGTGTTTTACGTCCACTGATTTCTTCTCTGGACAAGGATTTTGAATTTTCATATTTAAGTTTGTCCCTTTCTCTGGGTAAAGACGTTGAGCGACCTTTGTGGTTTTGAAAGTTTTGTTTTTCTTCATACTTAGGTCCGGATGCGACCTTGTATTCATTCGACTTCCCTCTACTTTCAATGCCTGCTCTAGACTCTGCCTTTTTTGTACTGTGTCGTTCTTTAACGGCGATCTGCCTTTGGTTAGTCGACCGGATGTTGTTGATTTCTATGGATCTTTGCTCAAAATTGTATTCTCTTTGACGGTTGCCATGGATACTTCTGGTTGTATATTCGTCCATTGATTTGTATTCTACATAGTGTCTGGATATATCTCGTCTCTGGACATCTTCTGCAAGATAGATTTAGGTATTGTATACTAAACTTGAATACAAAATAACAAAATTCTACAAGACCTACTGATAATTCTATCAATGAGTACTGATATTCCTATCAGTAAGTCGCAAACATTTTAACTGAGATGTTTGCTGGCGTATCACTCGAAAAAATAGTTATGTATTTCAATATTAAATGGCTAGTCGATAATAAACCAGTTTTAACTGGCAAAAAGCTCAATATGTCATCCGCAGCTTGATAAACTTCTTAAGTTATCAATGCAATAAATTAATGCCAATTTGTACTTATTTTGATCATTTAAATTCAAATAAATACTTATATAATAATAATTGGTTTTACTCGTAAATCACGATGTGTACCTTAAACGCACATGCAATAAAACTGTCAATATAATTAAACTTGCTAATAGAATACAGAGATTACACTGCGATGAAAATTATCTTACAAATAAGCCTATCCTTTCATAGAAACAAATCATAATTTTTAGGTACTGATATGTTACAGACCTGGAGATCGTTTGGTTTCAAGTATTATCCACACAACAAAGGCAAATTAAACTTGTAATACTACTGAGGGGAGAGGGTTCTGAAAAGTTTTTTTTTTCCCCATCAACAGTGCGGTGCATGTGCACCAATGTATACTTCTCTGTAGTACACGAATTAAACACTGCATGTAGACCAATGCACATAAAACTTTATATATAAGCATCACATTTTCTTAAAACTTAAATGTTCAAAGGATTGGTTCAAATTATAAACCATTTACCATCAGCAGTAAACACATTATTCACTTTATATTACATGTATTGAACACAAGATGCATCGACACATCCTTATACTCAGTTCTGAATTAAAATAGGAACACAATGAGTAAAAAAAAACGGTTGAACTTTTCAAGAATGGTAACATACCCACCACAAATGGAAAAATCCGGTTAGACATTAAAACTCCGTGCCTAGCTGACGAGTGAACATCTAACTTGTAACTATTGCTGGTTATTAGCAAACAATCTTTGAAATAGCGCTAATTTACTCTAGCAATAACAAGCCTAACTGCAGTACGACTATTGATTTTATGGGGTGTTTTGAAGAACTAAGCATAGAAGGCGGGGGGAATCCCTCTGGCTCAGTAGATGTATTCCACCGCCATATCGATTAATGGAACCATCGCTATATTTTTTTTTCACTCTGGAATGTCATCTTTGTTCTTTCTTTCGTTGCACTGGAAGTTTCATTGTTCTAAATGCGATGTTATTGTAGTTTTTCAAGTGATGTCATTCAATATTTCCTGTCAATATCTCGATTCAAAGAACTACTGCAATCATTCAAAAAAGACCCCCTCCCCAAGGTTTCAGTTACCATAAGATACAGTTGGAACTTTTTCACTGCATCTTGATTATTTATAAAAGTTTCCCTTGTGACTGAAAAAGAAAATACGTTTAACAAGTTATCAACAGCATAAAAGATGTCATAAATTTACAACTCCAAGCATGCTAAATGATAAAAGTAACCTTCAGCATTGTTGTTTAATATGTACAGTGCCAAGGCTGTTAAAAAAGCAAACAAAAAAAATGCAAAATTAAACTTCATTTAGGAAATAAATAAATGTGAAGGGCTTTTTTAAGATCCTATACCTCTCTCGGCGGCACTTACACTAAAGCCAACTAAAAATCCAATAGGCTTTCGTGTTTTTAAAGACTTCTTCGTGGTAAATCTTAATAATCCTTTAGAGTAATTCTCAGTCTTATACTATTTTTCCACTTTGAATTTCAAATATGTTTAATCATGTGCCAAGTATGGCTTTTTAAATACACACACAGGTAAGGAATCGAAGATGTTCATAGCGATGCTCCACTAAATTCTTCTGCGAACATTTGCCACTTTCTGCACTACATGTACATGTAGATGCCAATCAGGACACGCTTATAGACGGTTCAATCAAACAAGCATCCAAACACATTGCAATTATTGGATCCTTTCCCAAATGCCTCCTCAGACACCTGAGGTATTCACGTGGAAAATAATTTCCTAATGGGAAAAAGTGCACGTTTGCACTTTATTGTGATTGCAATAAAATCCTGCGAATCGCGATCAACTGCTGCTTCATACTCAAAAAGCTGAGTTTGTTTAATTTGAAATTCCTTAGTATAAAAATGATATTAGCAAGACAATCTATCTAGTTTAAGATTCCATTATAATAGGTTGACTTTAAAATAAAACCAAGAAAAAGACACGGAATCACAAAATTGCTTTTAAATTGACACACACCCTTTTTTACTTACTTCAGACTCAATACTAAATTTTTCTTAAAAAAAAAAAAACAAACAAACAAAACAAGCAACATAAAGCATTGAAAAAAGTTTTCTTCAGCTATATTTCAGGACAAGAGGACTCCTAGGACAAATATATTGAAAATTGGTAAATTGTGCAAAATATTATTGAGTTGTGGTAAAAACAAACATTACTCTGGAGTAGTTTTTAGAACATGTATACTCACACGTTCTTGAATTAAATCAGTGAACATATGTGTTGCTTAATTAATGACGTACGTATTGACACATTTAAATTCCAGACCACATTGCGAGTGTGTTCGTGAGTAAAACGTACATTGTCTTGATATTCATAAGTGTTAGGGTATCTGTTGGAAAATCTTGCGATATAAATGCTCTTCTCATCCTTTTGTGTAATATTCAGTGTGTAATATAATGTAGATTTAACTTCTAATCAAGACAGCAAATATTTTTGAATCGTTAAGTTGTTAAGGAGAGCCTCTTGCTATTTATGGGCAATTTATGAAGAAGCATTCTCAAACGACAACAACGGGTCGGTATATAGTCAGTCTCATCAACGGAGAATACCCCCACCTCCAGCCTTTCCCGGCCTAATATCACAAAGAAGAAAAAAGACGTAGAAAAAAATCACCACCCTTTTAAGTTCACACCACACAGAGAAAGATAAATTGATGAATATAAATATTTTTTCTATTCCTAATCGTGAATGAAAACATCAATCAAACCTTCTAGCTACATGCTATTTTATTTTCCCTCTCGACAATGAAACGCCAGACCACAGCGTGTGTTGCAGTATCTTAGAACTGATGGAAGTCGTTTCGATATACCGAGAATGTGTGTTATCACTTTCCAAAACGTATATTTCTCGTAATATCCATATAAACACCTTCCTATACATAGACACACTTTAATATATATGAATGAATTAGTATATCTTTTCTTTTTGACATGAAAACACGTGATGGCAGTTTTCCCGAAACGTTTGAATATACGCCTGTTTCTGATTACAAACTAGAATACATCTATCAAACCAACCGGAAATAGCAATTCTCAAGTAGGAGAGTACCACTTATCCAATACGGTACATTTGGTACCCTTCTATTCCCTTTGTAGAAGACGTCGATCTCTACAAGAAAACAGCTCAACATAGCACAATCAAAATCAAAAGCAATGCCCAAATTAATTTTATAACACTCATTCAGAAGAAAAAAGTATGAAAATTGTATAAATAGATAAAGATGAAGCTGAGAAGTCGGATTATGTTGGTGGGGAGGGGACATTTAATGCTCGATCGTGTGCAGGTGTGAAGATGTACACACAGTTTCAAAGATACCTATAAATCAATAGTGTGTGACCACCACGACATGATGATGAAATGATGAAGCTGATTGTAATCTTCAGACCTCATATAAGTATAGGAAATTACAAGTATAACTTCTTATTATGCCCCCGTATCGAAGATTCGGGGGTATATAGTTTTTGCCCTGTCCCTCCGTCTGTCTGTCTGTCTGTCCGCAAAAAACTTTAACATTGGCCATATCTTTTGATTGGTTGGAGCTATGGCGTTCATATTTCACATGTGCATTCCTTGTGACAAGACCTTTCTTTGGATACCACCATATTTGACCTTGACCTTGGAGTTTGACCCAGTTTTGCAAAATTTTACCCAACTTTAACCTTGGTCATAACTTTTGAACAGTCGGTGCTAGGACTTTAATACTTCACATGTATAATCTTTGTGACAAGACCTTACATTGGATACCAACAATTTTGACCCTTTCGCCGTGACCTTGGAGTTTGACCTACTTTTGGAAAACTTTAACCTTGGCTATTACTTTTGAATAGTTGGTGCTAGGGCATTCATATTTCATATTTGTATTTCTTGTGAGAAAGCCTTTCCTTGGGCACCATTATTTTTTACCATTTGACCTTGACCTGATGTTTGACTTACTTTTGAAAAACTTTAATCTTTTCCATATCTTTTCAATGGTTGCTGCTAGAGCTTTCATATTTCACATGTATATTCCTTGGTACAAGACCTTACTTTGGGTACCAACATATTTGATTTGCATTTGAGAAAGTTTAACCTTCGCTATAAGTTGCCATACGGGGGCATCAGTGTTTCACAAACACATCTTGTTCTTCAGTTCTTTTAGTTCATTTCCTCTCTTTTTCATGATTGAGAAATCTTTAACAATTATCATTGATCATCAGAAAATACTTACATCCACTGAATATTATTTCCTTTATTTCTTGAGAAAACCATTGTCGTTTAATATCAGTCAGTAAACACCGCTGAGCATATCACCTCTACAGATTTACTGAGCATTGGCTCTTCCATCAATGAAACGTACATTTACGTACATATCAATAATGCAATATTTTATCTACTTAATCTTTTTTTAAATGATTATTTGTACAGATAGAAATATAAACAATAAAATATTTTTCTTTGTGAGTACGGGAATTAACGTTGCAGCTACGCGGGTTATGCATTTTTTCTGCAACAGCTGCAACATTAACTCCCGTACTAACAACCGAAGAAAGCATTTTATTGTTCAAATGAGGCACCATTTCAACCAATGAAATAAATGAAACATCTTGCATTTTCTACCAATCACAAAAGAGAGAAGTTGCACAGTCCGCATTCTTCAAAGAAGACGGAAGCAATGACAACGGTTTACATTTATGTTTCTTGAGAAGTATGCGAATTTATGACATCATCAAAATATTTATTATACCATTTGGCATTCAAGGCAGGATTTTTAACTGCACTTTTGGGCATACAAGGATAAAATACAAATAATAATGGTTGTTCTATTTATACTGAATTTGATATACCCCCAGAATGTAGATTTTTTATATCTCGGGGAAAATTATCTACACACAGGTACCAATAATAAAAAAAAGGTTACCTTTCTGCCTGAATCTTACGTACTAGATTAATTCCGTTTGTTATTTGTAATACATATTCTCTCTAGATCTACTCCAGCTTCTAACAACACAATTTCATGTATCAGCGTTAAATATTGTTGATATTATATATAGTCATGCATAAAAAAGTGGGGGTCTGTCTACCATGTGTCTTGACAATTATATCTCCAAGATAACGGAAGAATATGTCGCTGACGTCAACGGAGTTATAGGTTTTCACTTGGATGAAAAGTTATGAAGGATAATGTTATTTATTAACTCCATGTATTAATTACAAATGTAGTGATTACCGGGAACGCTTTAGTGAATATGATATAATTTCTTACAAATTATACTTATTTAACTATCTAACCACTACTTGTAGTTGCAGTTACATGTTTATTTACTGAAATGATATTTTTAAGACAACTGGTATGCTATTCTATACGATAGGGGGTTATTCGTATCAGCACTCTTATACTTACAGAAGATGCGATATTTATAGATAAATAGCAAACTAAACAGATGAGAAGAGCCTTTTGCATTAATGGAGAATTTGCGCCTTTATGTGAATTAATAGTGTGATCAGGAAAAATCTCTACTTATTTTCATTTTTGGATAAATGGTTGACGTCACTTATGTCAAGTGACATAAGAAGTAAAGTTATTTGTGGCTTCTCATGACAGAAATTTCTAGGTAATGATGGCAATACCGTCCAACAATGCTACATTATATTCTTATATCATTACCAGCCCTTTATCAATATGTGATTTTTTCGAAAATCCTCAAAGTTTAAATTATATAATTATTTTCATCTCCTCATTTACATACATTTCCTATGATATGTTGATCAGTCCTCTTACATAGTCATTACAGACTACGAATTGCTTCTGAAATTACTACTATATTCTACAAAAATATTGGTTTTTGTAATGTATATCCGTGTACATGTAATTTCTATCTTTGGACAGTCCGTCTCTCTGTATGTCTGCATTATGTGTACATCGGATTCAGTCGAAAGGAGATTTTTTTAGAAATAGAAGAAAAAAAAAACATGTAATTTTTTTAAAGACCGACAGCCCGCAGTTCTGTTAAGGCCTAGATCACTCAATACCGATGAAGAACTTCCATTACTATTGCTTTTTTGATGTGTATTATGAGAAGTTTTCAATCCAGGAAATCATCTTCTTTACATTTCAGATTGTACACCTCAATTTCAGAAATGAAACAGGCTTTTCTAACAGGTACTATTCCTGTGCCCGACCATCTGTCAATCTCTGTGTGTAACAGCATATGCTACTGCCACTGACCTTCTGATTGGTTCTACGTAGGGGTCATAAGAGGTCATGAAGCACCACTGTCTAACATGCACCAGAAAAAAAGACATCTGACAGAAAGATCGCGGACTTCTCATTCACAAATGATTTTAATTCGGGTATATTCAACTTAAGCATGTAAAATTATCACAACGTTTATCGTCGATTTCAAAGTCAGTGCAAAGTGGTTCACTTTAGAACAACATGTTAATTAAGCGCAGACCTATAACCGTTGCTCGTCCTAAAGAAACCTGCCAATTACTAGATCATTATTCAAGCAAACATCCCTCAGTCGTGCGATGGTTCATCTCCTCTGCGAAAGCATTTACCGACAGACTCACAAGCCAAACAATACCTAATTATTTTATCATGTCTTAGTGTTCACATTCGTGTCTTCAATTAAGAAGTGATTCAGTCCGTAAAACATAATAATTTTCGTAAGCGCATTATGCTTATTTTTAGTCTGAAACGAAGTATCCAACACGGTTCGTTAATAAACACAAGTTCTTCCGATCCGGAGGCTTAGGTATTACCGAGTCGTATCAGTTTCAAAGATGCGTTTGTAAACCACAACTTTTCATCCTGATTGTTAGAGGGCTCAAGTATTATACACGTATCTTGTTTTATTAACTTTCTATTTCATTCCCTCCAGCATTTGAATTATTGGTAGTCGTACCGCTTTATTGTTACGAAGTATCATGTTTCTGGGTTTTTTTGCAAAATATAAACATTTGTTGTTCAGAGATTGTGTGCGTATGCAGTGTCGTTTCTGATAGACATTTTGTTTTGCCAAATATAAATCCGCAATACTCTGCGAAATAAAAAATCTGCAATATCGCTGTTTTGTAAACACAGAGAATAATGACAAATGCGTAGTCACGTTTGTTTGAAGAAAATAAAATACAATTGCTTTTCCAGTGAAAAGACATCTATCTAGTAAATTAATTATCTGCTTTTTATGATAGTGGAATAAACAAACAACACATATTTACCTTTAACAGATGGCCAGCGTTTTAACAAAGCGATTGTTGACTTTCCAAATGACAACACTCTGATTGAAACTAACAGCGAAAAGCTACTCACGTGTTCCGCAACATACAACCACTCGCTATAAGAATGCAATACCGATAGACATTGCTTGTTTTCATGGGAAACAACAAGCGCGTGTGCCAAGGGTAATATAGGCTTCGGTATCTATCATATCTGTTATCTCCAAGTATTTATGATACACGGTTAGGTTTTATCGAAGCCTGCGTTTTTTGCAAATATGAGCGATTTTTCCCCTTAGGAGACTAGTAGATTGAAAAGGAAGCAATTTTTGTGGAATCATGTCATTGGTTGATTTGTAGTTTAAACCCTTTTTTCAAGCTTCATAAGCCACAGCACTGTTGTTTACTAGTAAGAATTAATGAAATACTACGTTGTTTTTTTTTTGTGTACACAAAATTGTTGCAAGAACTGACAGGAAGGCTTCATTGAAAATTAACAGTAACGTGAAAGTGTTTGTGCCATGTGTCACGAATTAAAAAAAGATATAACCAATGCTAATCTGAAAGTTTTGTTTATTTTTTTGTCTGTTTGTTTATAGTAATGTATGCATATATATATATATATATATATATATATATATATATATATATATATATATATATATATATATATATATATATATATATATATATATGATGTACTGTACATATACCTATAAAACAAGTCTTATGTTCATATAAAATATTTTGGGTATTCCCCTACTTGTGTGTCTTTTCTATCAATCAAGCAATTCTTTCCCTCTTATGTATATGTATATTGTATTTCGTGTGTATGATCATAATCATTATATACATTTTAACAATGTACTTTCATTTTGCCCCATGAGGGCCCTTAATTGGTCAATAAACGAATTGAATTGAATTGTTTAACGTCTCTCTCGAGAATTTTTCACTCATATGGAGACGCCACCACTTGCCGGTGGGAAGCTGCAAATTTTGACCTATAATCGGCACTCAGGCCATTGAGCAGTGAGGGATCTTTTTCGTGCCATCACCTTTTGCGACACGGGACCTCGGTTTCATCGGTCTCCGCGTCCCACAGTAGGATTCGAACCCGCGCCTTTACTAAGGATCCTTACGTACTCCGCGACTGTTCTAGAGCGAACGCTCTAACCACTGCGCAACGCGGGCGACGTTTTTGTATACATGTATTTAATTTGTTTTGTATATTTAATTCAATTAAGAACAGGATTGCTTTAGTGCAATGTTCAAAATTATTTATAGGCAGCATAAAAGAATATGTTCACTAATCATAATTTGGACAGCAATGGAAAGACATTACACCCCAATTCAGATACTAGAGATTTATATTTATGAGGTAAATACGAATGTGAAAAGAGCTGTAAAGATCTTAGTTATATGTTAGTTAAAATGATGCCTTATCATCCAAAATAACTTCCTGTGCACTATATACTTACCACAAAATTTCTCTTTATCTGATTAACGTAAATCTATAATCTAACCCCCCCCCCCCAAAAAAAAAAAAACAAACAAACAAACAAACAAAAAACATATAACACATTCTGTGTCGTGGAATCCACGAACAGAAGAATATATACATCTCCAAGACAATTGCAGTTCGTGCATTACTACCATTTGCTGATCGAGCGATTTTTCATCACGTGATTCGTTACCACAATACCAAAGGTTTTACCTAATCTACCGTAATCTACCGTCGATTGACATCAAAACACATAATTATCTATTCCAAGAATCAATCCAAATATTCATAGCCACTAAGAATTGACTGACACGAAATCCATGCGTGTATATATAAAGGGTGTCCTTCCGGTGTATTCTGGCGATTATCTTAGCGTTCTGCTTCCTATCGCTGTCAGTCGAATCTTCCGCGGTTTAGAATGCGATATGAACCACCAGCAAATATGACAATAAGCCTGCATGTTGAAGCATTGGATTTCGCGAATTAATGCTACCCCCAAGAGAGTTATATCAAGTAATGACAGATATGTCATGATGTTTAACAACCCCTCATACATGATCTTTTCATTTGATTTACTAAGTTTTTCGTATATCCTATTTTTGTTCACTACACTTTGAATGATATAATCAAAGCTTCAGAGTTTTCACAGATGAGCCAATATGCATATCACAC